TCGTTCCATAAAACCTATGTTACAGTTAAAGTTATTCCATTAAAGTATAGACGTCCAAATGTAGTTTATAAAAAATAATAATAATAAAAAAAAGAATCGTCCAGACCGGACGAGTCTGAATAAGATTCGACTATTTATTGTATCTGTTTCGTTTTCGATATCTGTGTGTTGTGCATTATTGATATTGCGCGCGTTCGACGCAATTAAACATGCCGTTTCATCGAACCATCGGGAACTCGAACAGCTGTAAATTAATGACGGGAGTCTCGTCCGTCGTTCTAATAATTGTCCACACGCCACTTAGTTTACCATAATAAATTTTGCGCTTCACATGCAATTATATTCTAATCATTTATCGAAACCGCAAAATGTATAGTTTAGGCATACGTGTTACCGCGGGCCGCGACTGCAATGATATTGTTACGTACGGACAGTTTAATTTAAAACAACCTGTAGGTGTACACGATGTGGTCTGCTTTCTGATTGTTTGTTCAAATGGCCATCAAAACGCATCGTTTGTTCAGTGTGATTTTTTTTTTTATTTTTTACGAATTTCCGAACAAACTATAGTATAATATAAGTATTGTACAGTACCGACCGTTGAAAATATCCTCATCCCAAGGTGAAAAAAAAATTTTTCGCCGAAAAGCAATTTATTAATCCCGCAATTCTGACGCGTAGCAAAACCGTTGTGCACGTCGCGATCGTTGCCTCTTTATGAATCATATTTATTAGATTCGGTGCGTAGCGAGGGATCTATTGGTTTTACTCTGATGTGTTTTTTTTTTTTTTAATATAATTTTGCCTAGTTGTTGCATTGAGGTTATTTTTTCGATTTTTTTAGTGGTAAGATAAGAGATAGATTTTGTTACTTTTAATGTATAACCACAGACAGAATAACAGACGTTTATTAATAGTTAAAACATTTTTCTTAATAATTGAGAAAAACCATAAAAAAAACCGAAGTATACGATTTTTTCAAATAACGATGTCATTATTTTAAATTTTTAAGAGATTTTTTCACCATAAATATTGCTTCAATTGATAAACGACAAGACCCCTTTTTTTTTTTTTACATTTTTAATCTAGTTGGTGATCAAGACGATCATTTTTTGATTTTCTTTGTAGTTTTTTTAAATAATTGAACAAAACAGAAAAATACATAAAAAGTACGGGAAATTTTACGAAAATAATCCTTTTATTATTTTAGGTTCCGAGCGTTGCGAGGGAGCTATTGGTTTTATTAAGATGTTTATTTCTTTTTTTCTTTGTTCTTGACACGTTTTTTCTTAGTTAACTTGCTCCGATTTTTACGTGTAGAAACTTTACTAAAATGGCATTTTTGATTTTTGACGCCATTTTTTAAATAAAAACATTTAAGTGGAAAAAAACGTAGAAAATAGTATAATATCACGATTTCATTATTTTATAAAAACACAGACGAAGTTTTCTGCCAGAAAAAAATGGTTTAATCGAAAAATAATAAAATACTCTTTTTGTTGCCTTTTAGATTTACTTTCTAACAGTATTATCGCCGAAACTAGAGCTTTTAAGAAATTTTAATTATTGGTAGTTTTTTCTTGTAATTCGGTTATAAATACACGTTATATTGAACTTATTTAGACGTCGTAAAATTTCCAAAATTATTGGAAAACTTTTTTTTTTCAATAAACGTCGATGGAAATTAAACAATTTGTTACACTACCCCCTCCCTCCCAAAAAGTGAAAATAACGGTAATATAATATTTTAGGACTGCTTGTTTCAAAAAATAAAAAAAGTTAACATTCGATTTAACGAGTTTCTCATCAATTGTTGACCGACCATGTATACCTACCTACACATCTTCCCATATGTTTGGCTTTTATTCTTCTTTTGTACTAAACAAATTTCGAAAACTTGTAATTTTACGATCAGATAGAATACAATAATTAATGGGTACAAAAATTATTATGCGTTATACGTTTATATTCCACTCGCAATAACCGTAAAACGGTTCAATAAATAAAATATTGCACGAACTCACTGAACTCTGAAGTGTCATATCGAGAGATTTATAGATTATTACGCCACGTGAACATAATAATATCGTGATGTGTGCAACAATACCAAATTCATATATACATATAATTATGCGGAAACGTTGTTCGAATACATTATTGTTTGAAATTATTATTATTCAAAAAAATAAAATAAAACATAACACCTGTAACAGCTAGCAGAGTGCGTACTTACTGATTTGAAATAGCATACTGTGTAATCATGCTCAGTCTGTATTGTTGAAAATAAAATTGTATACAATTATAATGGCATAACCATTTTTATTTTATTTTTAGCCGAAAATGATGTCGTTATCTTTTCGACCCGTCAATGTCATGGCGTGGGGAGTAGATATGACCTCCTCATCCCCCCCAGTGAGCACGCTCCCAAGCGCTGTGATAAATTATGCGTTATTTTGTATTTTTTAAAAAAATATACGATTATTATAATAGTTAAAATCTAAAAATATAAACATAAATTAAAATATTATAATTTAATACGTGAAGTTAAATAATATTTTGTGCATTTTGAAAAGTTATTTTAAAAATATTAATTAAAACGATAAAATTAATAATAATACAATAAATTCGTTTACCTAATAAAAATAAAACCAATGCGCGTTGTCATAATATTTTGCTGTTAGATTTTTTTTTTTTTTTTAAAAAATTTTAATTGTCGGCTATCCAGAAAAACTGTGCAAATAAAATACCACTACGTGAAAATCCGCGTCTTTTAAGTATAGAAAACTCTAAGCATTTTTATTAACCGAAAAAAGTATTTTGCGAGAAAAAAAATTGTGCACGTCTAAGTAAAACTAATAAAACATATATTATAGATTCTTCGTTATATTCAGAATCATAAAACTTGCAGGTCGGGTTACCAATTTGATTTTTGCCCGTTTGTAATAAACTTATATGGTACCATTTTATGACACTTTTTAGCCCATTTACGTATAATAATTTATAGGATTGATTCCTGGAGGATGATCTTGGTGTCGATTGTAGAATATTATTATGTATTACATTATTCCGTTTGGGTGGGACGGAATATCGAAAAAAGTTCAGGTTGTATGTATGCTTTTTTTCTCCTGTCTGCAGTGAATAACATTTCCATCGGAGCCTCGACTTCGTGGGTGGTTTCTGGTTACAAACTGTTTTGTTATTACAGATCTGTTCTTCGTGGACTCGGAGCCATTTCATTCGGTCCTCTAGCCAAGACCTATCGGTTCATTTTTATCAGTCTTGTAACGAATACTTTTATTTTGTATCCGCAATACCTATTCGAATAAAGCAGTATAAAAGTATTCAGAATGCGCATTAGAATAAGTTAAAAAAATATATGTTCAAAATAAATATTCGAATATTTCGAAAAGTATTTGAGTACTTTTCAAATATTATTTTTCAGCTAATTTATGTCAGTTCCAGGAGTCAGGATTCCGTAGTTCTGAAATTGATGTTTTATGGTGCAATATTTTATTAACTAAACTAATTACTGATTAGTATAACTAAATAAAACTAATCAAATATTATGTCATTAGTAGGTCAAATCGTAAACTTCGATTAAACATAAAAACTAAATGGGTACTACGTGCATGCATAAAGTGGTGGGATACATAAAGTTTAATTTATATCTCTAAGCAACGATAAACCATTGCTAACGAAAAACGATTCTTATCGAAATAAAATCTAAAATAATAATAAGCTGTCTTAGAGTAATGGGAACGGGTGCAGCCACTGTTGTAGGTGCGAAGTTGGTACAAAAGGGAATTTAATGTGTATCGGTAAGCTGCGATAAGCCATTGTTAACGAAAAAACGATTCTGAGTGTAGTTTTGTTGTACATATGTTTGAAAGGCCACAATATTTACAATTTGAAAATAATATACTTCGTATAGTTTTTCATTTTTCCTAAGTTTTTCCCGTTTTTTCCTCATTTATTAAAAAAACTTCTGGGAAAATCAAATTATTATGAAAATCGCTTGGAAAACCGAAAAAAAATTTACTCCCTTCAAGTACCGTCCTAGGAAAAGTCTCTTTCAGAAATGTGGTTACACTTGATACTTCAGAAAAAAATTTCTGGCAGAAAATTTGTTCACAGAAAAAAATAATAAACAACATTGTGAAACCAATACATTCCTCGCTCCGTTCAAAATCGATTATTTGAGTTAATTTATTCGGATACTTTGCGACAGTATGATGTTTGTCAATAATATAGTCAATCTATTTAATCGATTTTAATGAGCACATATTTAGTTATTCGATACGCAATGCGTATGTATTGTATTCTGATTTTCAATTATTAATATGTGCTTCTGGTTCTGACGTAGTGTTTCTCATGTAGTATGAATATCCAATTATCTGTTTTGGTTCGAATTTATGAATAATCATTACAAATTTGTATTTACATGTAATACCTCAAATTCAGTTTCAAAATTAGTATTATATCTCAGTTTGACAGAAAAAAAAAAAGAGAGAGCGATTGCTTTGGGGAGGCCTATTTTTCGACTTCCCTCGCGGTTTTCGTAATAATCCGGAAACGACACGGGAATGCGAAGGGTGCGTGCGAAGGAAGTCGTATTTTTTTTCTTCCGCTCGTGTTTACGCGTGTACACTTAGCCGCCGTAACGTAAACGGTTGCGAGTTCGCGACGCAATTCGCTATAATTTAGACCTTGGGCATTTTTATTTAACGCGTACACCCACGACTCAGCCGCCGAACATAATAATAATGATAATAACGATAATAATAATAATGATAGTATGACATTATTATTTCGCGCGTGCGCACTCCGCCGGCGGTTTCCTTCGCCGTCCCCCTTTGTCTGTATGCCGGGTACCGGCGGTACCGCTGCGCCGTGATTGATTTTCGGCGCTCGGCCGCGGCGACGGCGGCGGCGGCGGCGTTTGTTTTGGTAAAATCGTGTCGCGCTACGCGCACACGGTCTCCGGCGTCCACGGCGAAAACATGTCCGCCGCCGCCGCCGCAGCCGCCGAGCCCGGTCGGCCGCCACGCTGTCTCGTCGGTTGCGCGCTCGTCGCGTCCGAGGCGGCCGCCAACATCGCGCGACAGTGCCGGTCCAATCCCAGGCTGTTGTCCATGCTGGTCGAGGAAAAGTGCGACTCCGAGGCCAACCGCAACCGGTTCGCGCACGACTTCAAGACGCTGGCGGACGTGCTGGTGCAGCACGTGGTCGCCAAACGCTTCGGCTTACAGGTACGTGCGAAAATCCGAACCGGCCTGTTTCCCGCGGTTAAATTTGAATTCACGTCGCCCGCGAGATTTTCGTCGACCTGTTGTTCGGCTTCTATAATGTTTATGTGTTTAACAAACGTCGTCGATCAAACCAAATAATTAATTTACGACCGGTAGTTTTTCGGAAAAAAAAAACCAGTATACCTAATCATTTCTCAAGACTCGGGAATTTTAATTTTGACATTGTATATCTGTACCCAAACATTTATTACCGTGATAAATTATAAGAGTCGGATTTCAGATTCTGAGCGGAGCGAGGGATGTATTAATTTTACAATGATGTTTATTTATTTATTTATTTTTTCTGTGAACAACTTTTCTACCAAACATTTTGCTGTTTCAAGTATAGCATCTTTTCTGAGAGGATACTTTATTTGGATGGTATTGTTTAAGGGCAATTTTTTTGATTTTCTAAATGGTTTTCATAATAACAGAAAAAACGTAGGAAAAACTGGAAAATTTACTACACGTATAATTTTCAATTTTGTTTTTTGTTGTGATTCAATTAAAAATATTCGTAGAGCCTTGACATTTGGACAGAAAATTTTGCTTTTTATAAACGTGGTACAATTTTCAAAATATTTTAGCCATTTTGAATACTATTCTGGTACTTAGTGGACCAATTAGAAATACTTGAAAATTAAACAAAAGATCTATTATAAGTCGTACTAGTGGTAAAAAAAAAAAAATTGAGTGCAATGTAGAATTTTTTTAATGAGAATTTTAGCATTTATCACATTTTGACGAAAATCGTAAAAATGACATACTACTGAACTCTGCTCAGTATCGTTTTTCGTTAGCAAAGATTAATCGTTGATTCAGATATACATTTAATTCCCCTCTATATCCTACCTTCCCAACTTCTCTTCTACAATAGTGACCCACTCATCGTGTGAAATATGTCCATATTTTTATGATTACAGGTATTGCTACGAAATAAAAAAAAAAACCTGGTACTCTGGAATGCCTCCCCTTCCCTAATAGTCATTATAGGGGACCGTTTACGTTATTACTTTTGCTTTAAAGATCCGATAAATCCGATGGCTTTTTGTTTAAATTTAAAATTCAAATATTATTTATATAGGTACTTACATTGTTTGTGTACGACGAGTCGTCGTGTTTAATAATTTAGCGTTTTAAATTTTACGAGCGGAGCTGTTATATTCTATTGCTGTGTAATATTTGTCTTCGAGGGAACAGTCTGTACTAAAACTGTTCAGATTTTATATACCTACTTTATATATAATAGGGGAAATTTGAATTACTTCATATTCGAGACAATTGATTTTATTTTTGTAGGATAAAACAAGAAATTGTTCAGATAAAAGTATAGGTTTTTATTTAAATCGGTTTTGGTTATTTTATTTTATTTTTCGGATCTAAATAATTCTATCGTAAAACCTTGGAATTTTCAACTTTTATATTTAAGTTCGCGTTCTAAATAATTATTTTAGATTAGAAGCGTAGCGAGAAATTTATTGGTTTTACAATGATGTTTATTATTATTATTTTTATTCTGTGAGCAACTTTTCTACCAGTAATCTTGCTTCGATGTATCTATCTTTTCTGAAAGGAAATTTTATCTAGTGGATACTTTAATCAGGTAATTTTGTTGATTTTCCAAGCAATTTCTGTTATAATTGGGATAAAACGTAGGCAAAACGGGAAAATTTACGTATACTATGTATAAAAGAAACTCTGCTCCGAATCGTTTTTCGTTAGAAATGGTTTACGTTACGTACAGATATAGGTAAATTAAATTCCCATATATGTCCTACTTTTCAAACTTTTCACCTACAACAGAGCTTCATCCACTGTGCGAAGTATGCCTGTCTTTTTTAAACTGCAAGTACGTGTTTTGTACAAGATTGATTAATTTATATTAATGCATAATTTGAAATCCTAATCTCTCAAACTTTTAACATATTATTCGGATTAATTAATCATAATAATAATAATAATAATAATAATATTATATCACTGTATAATTAATTAATTATATTTATTAAGAAATCACGTTTATTCAAAAAATGTTTCGCGGTCGAATATTACGACGGCACGCAATATTATTATTATAAATTATGTACCGAAAATATTATTGTTTCAGCGTAATTTTGCGATATTTTTATTATAACACGATAATTTATAAAGTTCGAATAATTAGTGAGTTAACTAATAATAATGCGTTTATCTTGCAGTATTGTGCCGTAAAACAATTACAATAACAATTTTGTTGTAAGATTACGTATAGTATAATGTAATAGTAATTTGTATTTCCTAACTTTACGATTTTTCGTTAATATTCCTTTGGCGCAGCATGGAAACACATAAATTTATTATACTTTTTATCTGGTCAATTCAATCTTTGGCAGTAAAGTAATATTGTTTACTGTATATGCATATAGGCATGCGCACGTGAGGGGCAAGGTGGGCAGTTGCCCCCCCCCACCCCCGGGGCATTACTGCATTTATTCAGGTAGTCATTATTTAGGTAACCGTGTTCAAGAGTTCGTGACTGATATAAATATGATAACAATTTACCACGAATCTGGGATATGAACAAAATGATCAAGTTCATTATTATTAATTATTGTTTTTATATTAATAACAATGCATTATTTTGTGATTAATAATGAGAATATAGTATAAAATAAAGTTTGATATTTTTGTATTATTTTAGTTACCTATTAAATTATTAAATTCACTGAAATATATATATTTAATATTAGATTAACCTATTTGGTTCCCTCTTCTCCTAGAAAATATTTCCACAGTCACTGGTGATGTTGACAAAACAAAATGTTTGCCCCACCCCCTGCCATTAAGGTCTGTGCACACCAATGACTGTAAGGGTATGTTATATAATTTACGTGTGTTACTATTACTAGGATTTTCAATGTGTGGAGGGACTAAAATATTTGATTAAAAAAAAAAAGTTTTACAAAATACATAATTGTGTGTAGTACAATTATATTTTGTACTCTTGTTAAATAAGTAGTGCAATTGTTCGACGATTATATTATTTTATTAGTGGTAATTTTTGAGTGCAGCTAAAATAATTTATATTTAATTTTTTTGTACATTATACGGCCAATAAGTGGGACTGAAACCTCTTTAGCTCCCATTTATTTGTTCTCCGCTGCGCGGTTGACCTCGAGTTGGGTCCCGACGACATGAATTGGCCGACGTATTTTAACGTGGACAGGGGTTGGGTCTTGCCATATTTTACATTATTATTATTTATTATATTGAAATCGTTAACGTTAACTAATTAGTCTAGCTTAATAGAATTAGATCCAGAAGATACTACGTGAACGTTGGCTAGAAATAGTCTCCAAAAAGTTTGATTTCTTGTTACTTTATTCTTGTAAAATTATAAAAATATAAAAATTATTACTATCATTATCAAATTATTTAATAATAATATATTAGTATCGAGTATTATTTTTTATTTCATAAAATTCACATTATTTTATCGACGATTATTATTACGGATATAATATAATACTGTTATTAATAAATAATATTATTACCGCATATCTAAATCGAACACTATCAAATAATACCGTGTACCCAACTCGAATTTAATTTAAACGATAAAAAAAAATTACTCCCGGGATAAAATATCCTGGGAGGTAATTTCATTACTTTACCGTATAGCAGCGGTTCTCAACGGGGACGTCATCGACCCCCTGGAAGAGGGGGCGGTGATGAATGGAGATGTCCTGCGGGGTGGTAAACTTGTGTTGGATATTCGAAAGGGGAGAGGGTTTGAACATGTTTTATGAATGATTACACATTTCCATGTTTAGAAAAGTAAATAGTAATTCGATTACATACAATTTTGAGGCAGTCAATGAAAGCGTATAATTACTTGTGAACGTTTTCTAAAGGTAATGGAGTTTCCCTTGAAAAGTAACACGCTTGTCCGAAACTGAGATTAATCGTGTTAATTTCGGAGAAACAAAACATTGTAATGTTAATATTATATCGATACTTCAGACTTCTTAATTAATTGTTGGTAATATATTACTGAACAAATTATTTACTCGATTCTCGTATGTATTTTAATGATTATTAATTAAACATACCCAAATTATACCTATACAAGGCAATCTATGAAAATTTCAACTCATAATTTACTAATTACAAGTGTCGACATTTTTATACTAGGTAATTGTTTTCGTGACTCGAGTTGTAATAATATGTAGTTGTACAGTTTGTAATACAATTTCAGATATTTTCTTATGTAATTTTGAATACTACACTACATGTATACGTCGTGCACTTCACCTATTGTTTGGTAATTTATTGTCCTGAGACCTGTTCCGAAATTTATTTGAAAGTCATAATCCCCCAACCGAAAATGAACGAAATACGCGTACGCAAATAGCTAAATGTCAAGAACAAAATTACAGATAAAATCAGTGTATTCATCGGCCACTGCCCGTACAGTTTGTAACGTGCCAGTCAGAAGAACAAAGATTGGAGGAGCGTGAAATAATTTTTATAAAATATACAAAAGTGTCATAATATGCTCGTGGCTTTATCACCGCCGTTCATTGTTGTGCTGCTATATTTATTCTGTCGTTGTGTGGTCGTATCTGGCCGTATTTATAAGTTAGTTTTAGAAAGTATTGGGGTGGAACGCGTATCTTTCATAGAAATGAAGCTTCGAACATGTTCGAAGAACGGGAAAGAGTTCTGCATGAACGTAAATTTCCGTTCCTCCTAAAAATTTATTTTGGACTACATTAGGTAAAAAAAAAAAAAAAGGAATCCTTAAAACAACGAGGAACGGGAACGAATTATTTTTTAAAAGGTACTTTCCCAACGCTGAATTCAGACCACATTTGGAAACGTTGATACGCACTTGCTAACATTTAGTCTCCTACTCTTATTTATTGTTGTCTGTTATAGGCCCTATATTAAATATCGAAAATGATGTTATTATATATTATTAATAGTATTCTGGCTGCATTGTACTATTGCGAGTACAATATGTGTCGAGATCTATTTCGGGTTTACGTGAGTTTTACAAGAAGCGTGCGAGCACTTAACAAGTTCGTATAAGAATACAGATTGCAGATAATATATAAATTTACCATAGTATTATTATTGTCAAAAAGTATAAAATTATATACAATAAAAGAAAGCAACGAATCTCAAAACATACACGAGTATTCATGTATTTACCGCCTATACTACACATAGGTTTTGTGCCGAACGTTCAATATGTTTTACTTCACAAAACTCGCAGGTAAAAGTGGTACCCGTTAGTTAATAATTTTGTTTAATATTATTTTTTGTTTTATATGTACGTCTACAATTAGACGACCGTGAGTCCCCGGGTGGTGGCGGGTGGCCAACGCGTTTACGAGCATTCGGTCAAATCACCGCGTGACCTTTCCGATGTCGTTCAAAACTATATTATCTATTATACTACTATATAATAGACCACGATAGTTTACAGTACAAAATCAGAGTTATCTATTTATCATTTACATTGTTCTGTAGTCCGTTTAAGACCTCGAGCGTGTAATTATTATTGTTTTAGATTTAAAATAACAACGTAATTGGAAATAACAAAAAATAAATAATTTAAAATTCGATAAAAAAAAAAAGGACAGTTAATTTTTCCATTTTAGATTTTGAGCGGAGCAAGAATTTATTGGTTTTATGTTTGCGTTTTTTTAAAATACATTTTTTTTTTTTTTTTGTCTCTGTGATCAAGTTTTCTACCAGAAATCTTACCCCAATCAGAAAACGAAAAAGAGAATATTATTATTGAATTTCAGATCTAGTTGGGTGGTGAGGATTGAGGTGGTAATTTTTTGATTTTTCATGTGGTTTTAATTATAATCAAAAAAACCGGAAACAATGTACAGGAAAAATGGACAAATATTTACGTGTACTCTGTATTATATTTAAATGTTCATTTACTGCATTTTATGATTTTTTCCCAATCATTATGGAAACCGTTATAATTGAGATACGCCGTTCGTCGTCTACAATATCCCTGCGCACACAATCGATACGGATATTATGTATTATTCGTGCATGTTATAATGCTACTTATTGAGGGCACGATTGTCAACCGAGTCACCGTGGACACTCATAGTGACTGTATTGTTGTGCCTGTTGATGATAAAAGGTCTAATGAGACTTTTTTTTTTTTTTTTAAAACTATTAAGTGTATTGGGCGTATTTTTAACCATGGTATATAGAATCATCACACAAACGCAAAGAATCCGTACTATCACCTATAATTTGCAGTCGGTTTTATTTTAGTTTCATACAATGCCCCACTGAGCCCCACTGAGTGAACTCGTGTGGGGGCCCAGGAATTGTAATTGTGATACGTTTGACTTAAGGCAAAAGTGTCTAAATTTCAGATTCTGAGTGTGTTATAGCGAAAAAAATTTTTTTTTTGCTATACAATTTGAGCTTTTAAAATTTCTCTTTATCTGTAAACTTGCGAGTTTCTGATCTAAATGACTTGGTCTAATTGGAAATTCAGCATAGGTTGTTGATGAAAGCTTCTAAGCTTCCGCACCGGACATTTGATTTTCCCAGGAGTTTTCAAATAAACAGGAATAACGGGAAATGTGTTATTTTCAAATCGTAAATATTACGGTCTTTCAAAACATGTATAATCAAACTTTGCTCAAAATCTTTTTTCGTTAGGAAATATCAATCGTAGCGTATATGTTAGATATACATTAAATTCTCCTCTACATCCTATAATTTACCAACTTCTCACCTACAACAGTAGCCCCCCTATCGTGCGGTGTATGGCCGTATCTTTTTTTTGTTTATTTCTATAGTACCTATTGATTACCCGGAGAAAAAACTATTTTTTATTTTACAGGTGCCCTCGTTTTAATTTTTTGTTCGTTCAATACTGTGCGTAGGCAAAGCCGGATAATATAGCTAGTATAATATTATACAAAGACAAACTTTAATATCCGACAACACGTCGTGATGTTTCGTAAATAAAATGTGTAATAAAACTGACACGAAAAAATGTAGTATTTTTATTATGTGTATTAAAAATGTTAATTTGATCTTTCGACTATAACACTGTTGTAGTATCGCACACCAAACGTACAGATAATGTTTCTATGGCACCGTATATGATAATTTATTACACTGATTATATACAGTGTAATTTATTTATCACGAACTAGCGATTTTTTGAATGGGTTTTAGATTAAAAAACGGACCACCCTGGTATTATTATTATAATATACACATTTTGCAAGCGAGTCGACTTGATTGTCAATATTTTTACTGTTACAACATTACAACACCGGTCGTCGGAATTGTCGCAAAAATAAGTTTTACGTCGGAAACTCATTAGCGCCGTTACACGTCCGTACATAATTTATTTGTTGTAATTACTCCCATATTGTGTTCAAATATGCACATTGCGAGTTAACCCCGTTGCAGGTTTTACATTTTTTAACGAGATTTAAATAACGTTTAAATTCCGCGTATTATATATATATATATGAGTTACCTCGTATATCTATGAATATTGTATATCTACATAACACCACGATTAGCCCTTCGAGTGATTAATTTTAATCTCGTTGCTAATTGTGTGTTGTTTTTTTTAATTAAATATTTGATTACTTCGTTGCACAACGGATAACTCTAGTTTTTTTTTTTATTAAAAAAAAAAAAAAACGTTTAATTGGAACAAAGAAATTATTAGTTTTACAGAGATAAGTTTTTTTTCTTGGAAAACATTTTTTAGTTAATAAAAATGTTCCAATTTTTTCGTTCTATACCGTAAAATATACGAACATTCCAAACATTACTCCACTCACAATTATATTTCGTTTGAATCCTATCTACCCAACTACCCGCCTCTAACTGTGGTCTATAGTGCGGAATGTGTCCGGCTTATATAGACCTGTAATATTTTTTAGATTCTGAGCGAAGCGAGAAATGTATCTATTTTACAATGATGTTTATTTTTATTTTTTCTTCAAGAAATAATTTCTACCAGAAAGCTTACTCTGATTATCAAGTATAGCACCTTTTTTGAAATTCTCATTAATATTGAAGATAATGAGGGAAACCTGGTTCTTTAGGTTAAAATATATTAAATCATTAAAAATAACGTTGTCAATTGGCAACCGTTCTTTTTTTATTTTTTATTATTATTAAGTTTTTATTATTTTAATTTTTTTTAGACAATCATTTTTGTCATAAGAACGTACATTGTTGAAAAAGGTAGGTAAATAGGGACTTAAAATTATAATAAATTATATTGTATAAAGTTAATTTTTTACGGATAATAATGATAAGGGTAAGAATGATGTTTCACCTACATAACACACAAAAAATTGTAAACATTTGGAAAAGAAATTAGCTAACTAATTGTAAATTTATTGAAAAACACATTAAAACTACTTATAATCAATATCTTGTTAGATGTAATTTATTATTTATTTTATTATAAATCAATCACAAATATGGAATAGTAGAATAGTAGAATATGTTTACTACTTACATAAAAACATAAGCGTTTATTGGGTAGTTAGTTGTATTCAATATTATGCATTATACTTTGATATGACATATTTATTGTTAACAAAGTATCACAATCAACTGAACTCAGTTCAGAAACATTTTTTCGTAAGCAATGGTTTATCGTTGCTTACAGATATACACTGAATTCCCTTCTGTATCTTACCTTTCAAACTTCCCATCTACAACAGTAGCTGCACCCACGTGCGAAGTATGTCCGTCTTTTTTTTCAGATTTATTTGATTTATAAACATTCCCTTTCTAGCTGCTTGGAGTCTAAGAAACAATTTATAATTAGGTTCTCCTTTAGTATTCTCCAATATTATTTCATTTTTGATTGGTCCGTGTATTTTTCTCAGCATTTTTCTCTCAAGGACGAATATATAGTTTCTAATGGGCTCCTTGTGTCGTATACCACGTTTTGCAAGCATTATTGGATAGACTATTGGTTATAGGTAATCTCAACACAGTTTTTTGTTTTTTTTTGTTTTGGTCGTCTTTACTCCTAAAATAACGTTCTTGGACGATTTGATTTCTGTAGCTCGACTTATACCGATTAAAAACTTTATATAATTATACAACGTTTGTTTAAAATTATAATCATATTTCTGGAGGAAATAATTGCTACCTGTGTTAAAAATTGGATTTACGCTCAAAACGAGCTGAGATTGTTAATGCGAATAAAAATTATTATTTTACCGGGTTGAAAATTAATTTTAATACAAGCGCTTTATGTGGTCAATACTTTGGCCGGCCGGCGAAGGTATTTCAAATCGTTTTTCGACTATTGAAATTCGTTTGAAAAACAATTCATTCATAAGTACCTTCTTAAAATATCGTGGCTGTAAGTATCTATACTGCGACAACAAACCGCTAATTGCAAATAATTTCCGAGCACTCATTATTGAAATAATTAGCGTGCAGTTGAACAACTTTTCGTTTTAAAAATCCAAGACTACATTATGACTTAGTTGTATGCTGGTCATACCTAACGGTTTATATCGATCATTGAAATGTTTAAATGGCTAGTGATAAAAATTCAAATGCTGTAAATCTTTACGCGAAAACTTTTTACATACGAATTTTAATGAAACCAATAGTTTTATACTTAGTTTTATTTCGTTGTTAATGTTCAAACAATCATTATTAAGTACAAAACCTGTGCACTGACTTACAAATAGACTAAAATATAAATTATATCGCATGATTAAATATGAACTGTCAGTGATTTATTGTACGTCAATCACACTCATCTGATAAAAGTTGACTACAACGTTCAATACAATTTTGATGTGCATTTTTTTTACCATTCAGGAAATTGGGTCTACTATGACATAAAGTTGTATTGCAGTAGAAATTGTTGCAAATAATGCATTATACACATGTGGAACGTAGGTACCTTTACATATTGTTGTTTAAAAGGATGTCATACCCTCATGTTTTAACCTTTATTAATGCGTAACATAGCAAAGTTACTTAACGTTATAAACGGTATAGAATGCAAATAAATTTGTAGTATTTAGATTTCAATTGGCGTTTCGAGGTTAACGAAATTTAAAGAATTAAAGTTAATCAAAAAATGCAAAATCTAACATGGTTGTAACTTTTTTGTATTACAATTTTGTTTAAAAAAAGAAGCTATGTAGGTACAGCTCTCAAAAATATTTTTCTCGTTAGTTGTTGTTATAGGTGTTTAAATTCTAATTTCAACCTAAACGTCACATTTTACATTTTAAATATGAGAAAAAAATGTTTTCAGATAGAGAGACAGCCGGATCTGACATATATATATATATATATATATATACGATTATTATAAAAATTTCATCTCTGTTTTAAGTTCAGGCATACTGTGTAACCGAGTGACTGACGAATACTTGTTTTTTATTTTTTCTAGTTTTTTTAGTTATATACTTCAGTTTAATTAAAACAATTAATAACATCATTGAAATAGTGTTTGAACTCTAGTAAAATTCCTCGTAAACATTTTTTATTTGCGTGTCTGGCTGTAAGCGTGTTTTGGATTTTCTTCGACTATAATATTTTGCCACAGGGAGCTAGACTAATCTTGGTCTGTGAGTTTATACAATTGTCAAGATTGTATCGAATTCCCATAAGTCTGCATCTTAGTAGGTATTGATTAGAGTTCCCTATATTTCATAAACTTTCCTCGTTCTTTGGATCTTTTGCTAAAGTTCATGTTGTTATACGTTATTTACCCTTGTTCGAGAATCGCTACCAGAGGGTATGATTATAACAAGTCTTTCCAGATTGACCATTATTGATCAAACCTTGAAGCTGAATTTTCGACAGCCCATCTCATTATATATGGATGCTTTCTGGTTTCTTCATCTCTTGACTCGTTTGAGTTCTATTAAGCTTTTCTCTGATAGGTATTGGATTACTGGTTGTGAGAAAACTTCTTGATTTTAGTAGACGTCAAGAAAGATACTACGGACATAAAAAATAATCGTAAATAAATATTTGTATAGGTATGTATTTTTAATCGTTGCCGTTTACCAAATTGTTAATATTGAAAATTATAATATTACATCTCATAAAATATCGTCTGACGTTGATCATTAAATTTCGTCGATTACTGTTTTATATTATTATTTATAACTAGTTACGACGTACAATATGTCGATAAAAAGTATAAACTTATATAACATAGTAAAATAATGAATTTAATCAACTGAGTATATTATACCTTATATAATATGTAGTCTTTTTAATCAATTTTACCCTGCAGGAAAATAGCATAGGTATTTTAGAAAGTCGGATTTAGGGGAGGTGCAGAGGTGCCTCGTCTTATGGGTCTACTTATAAAAGGGCTTCCTGTGTCGTCTGCATTTGTATGCATATAAAGCGTTCATTAAAGAATTAAGCGTAAAGAAATGTACATACAATTTATATGAATACGGCCCATTTTAAATTTCGGCTACGTGTACGTGACCCATCGGACCTTTAATGATGGTTACCTATATTCCAGAAATACATTCAACATGTTTAAACATTTTCAGTTGACGATAAAAACTGTTTTCTATTGGACTTTGGTCCTTATTTTATTATAAGGCTACTTGTACAACGCGCGGTAATAGCCCTTGAAGAATATACTCGTTACTATATTGATTTCTGTTTTTTTTTTCCTTTTAGCACTCGCTATAATATTCTTAAAGCCATACAAACAACTATTAAATTATTATATTCTCGTATGCGAACGATCCTAATTAAATATTTGCGTTACAAGTACAAACATACGGTTCGTAAATATAAACGGACAAATAAAAAAAAAACCTCTTCAATTTTTAAATCGTTACACGTTTATATGTTTAAAAATAATATTGTTGTTTGACGGATCTCCAAATATATATAAAAAAACAACGTGTTTTGCTTGAATCAACAGCATTTTCAACATTTTTATTTGCGCGTATTATCCATACGATGGTAGTAATTTTGTGATGGTGTTACAACCAACGTGATAGTAACTATCTTAGATACAGCGTCTATACACGATAATATAGTAGATAGTCACAGTGTAGAAGACATTATAGTAGAGCGAATTTCAATAGAAACGGCTAGGTTACGTGCGTTACGTAAAACTAAAATTGAACGATTGTATGTCCGTCTGTGTTCACACGGCGATAGTTACTATTATTCACATAGTCTCACAATAATTACTTCCATGATAGTTATTATGGCCCTATATTCGGACGACGATAGTTTATGAAAGGTAATATAACTATCACGGTTTAAATTTTTCAACTATCAAGATAGTAATTTCCGAGCTTTAATTTTCTGTAAAATAAAATAACAATTTTTAACAATGATTATTTTTCGCTTTTATAGTTTCCCGAATTGGATGGTAGCATATACGGCGAGGAAAACGATACGATCAAAAACAACAAAGGTCGGGACGTGACGATTAAAGTCGGCGAGACTGTGGCTGAGACGTTGCGCTGTTTGTCCGAAGCTTTGGACGATGATTTGGAGTCGGCTAAAAGTTTGGCTGAAGCCGCTCACCGGGAATTTACACTGAGCGACCTCAATGTCGATCGTTATCCATGCGAAGAAGAGGAACACATCGATTTGAAGAGAATCGGAATATGGATCGATCCGATCGGTAACCCTATGAATTATTATTGTTAATACGTTGACAACACTAATTCGAATAATAGGAAAAATGTATAGTCTTGCCCTCGAAAATATTGTCTTCTTTTTTTTTTTTATAATAGATGATTTTACTCCAAAACCAAAATTAACCGAGTTTTACGCAGTCTGTGTAAGGTGGATTTTGTTATGCTGCCCGTTAGTTGACTGAGACAGCACATGCGAATATAGCGTGTTATATTTCATTCAAGAGTAACACTTTTTCTGAAAGTAAATTTTGTTTAGTTTTTGACTATGAAAGCCACGTAGTTTTCTAAGTAATTGGGCAAACATGGGAGTGTTTACGGAAATAACGGTTTCATTATTTTGAATTTTGTTTTGTTGTTATTGTATGGTTACAAATATTCATTATTCATAGACCTATACGATTTCTGAGCTCTTTATAGGCATTTTATATTTGCGATTTTTTTTCATCTAGTTTTTATTTTGTAGGTATTCTGTGGATAATATGGTTTGATTAAACATAAATGTTAAACAATTGAATTTGAGGTTTATTTTAAGTTTAACTTAGTGGTAAAAAAAAAGTTTAGCGTCATTTAGTAGTATTTTTTCATTTTTATTATAAGCGTTTTAAATTCATATTAATTTGACGAAAACAGTAAATATTATGGCATTTCAAAACATGTGTAACCAACTTCTTCCAGAATCGTATTTCATTGGTAATGATTTATTGTTGCTTACTTCAGATACAAATTAAATAACTTTATGTATTCTACCTTCCCAACTTCAGTGTAACACCCATCAGCATTATTAGCACTTTATTTAGTTTTTTTTTCTTTTAAAAGTCATGTAAGCATTTTCGGTTTTTTTTAAGTTTGTCAAAGCACACATAATTTTTAACTATCGCGCAAGACAAAACACGGATTTTGTATATTAATTCAATTAGTATTTTATTTTTTATGAGTTTTTTTTATTCTATACTTATTTATTTAACAACTGTTATTTATTACGGCTAAACAAATTAACTTACTAATGCTGTGGCATTTCAAATGAGTTACGTGAAATGCCGGCGACATTCTATTATGGCTACCCACACATTTGTGCGGTGTACTTAATTTTGTAGTTCGTTGTTCGTTGTTATTGCTCGCCATTTATTTATTTTATTTATTTATTCAACGTTTTGCGTTGTTTTCGTCCGGTTAGACAGTCGAAATTATATAGATTAGATCAAATAGAAAAATAAATATAATACTCGTATGTATTTTTTTTGCCACTGGAAAATTACTGTTTTTTTAAAACTAAGTCTATATATCTGATAGATTAGTGTTTTTTTTTTTAATTAGGTATAAATATTTCTATATTTCTATGTAGACAGTTGTTTTTATTCTGGCCCTTATATTATAATATGAACGTTAACGAATAATATTGACTTCCGTTTTATTTCATCTGCGTTTTTCCTGATATTATGAAAACTACTTGAAAAATCAAAAAAAGATCTTCCTATAGTACCATCTAGTCAATATGGCAATATTTTTTTTCAAAAATGATGCTAGATACATTTTTCACTGCACCTAGAATCTAAAATTTAAATTAAATTAATCATTTCCAATTTTTATTCTAAAAATATATTATTTTATTATATTTTTGCAAGTCGATTTTTCTCACTTAGTTTTCCATAATTTTATCTCATCCTTGAGAAAATATTTATTGACTTTTACAAATGAGAAGTGTTTTATTCTTGTTTTAATCAAAGTATTTCCAAGATCCGGAATCATCTTGATGGCATTTGGAACTAGTTGCATTTGTATTTAAGAATTATGGATATTTTTTATAGCAAAAAAGACCATTACATGGTTTATGGGGGAGGGGGACGATCGCTTCTACTCCTCTCAGGGACGCGTCTGGAAGTGTCCCTCACTTCATTAGACCAGGGCTGAACTAAAATATATTATTCAAGATGTTTGTTATACCATATTACTTCATGGTTATAAGTTATCCAATTGTTATCAGATTGACTGATTTGTATAGCTCTTTTCACCAAAAGTTTATTTATTATTCCGAAATGTCCTTCCATTCATCGTTTGATTTCGTCCATTTTCGGTTTTATTAGATTAGCTAACCAGCATTATAAATTATAAGTCGCAGAGACGGTGTATACATTTTATTGTAATCAAACAAATTGTCGTTGTGGCGTTAACAATATTCGACAATATTCTTTTGCTGCAGATTCGACAAATGAGTATATAAACGGAAACGTCGACAATGTAAACGAATACGGCTTTCATTCCAGCGGACTCCACTGCGTTACCATCAATATCGGATTATTCGACAAGTACACCGGTAAACCCATTGCCGGTGTCATCAATCAACCGTTTTTTAAATGCGATTCTGCCGAAAGGTAGTACTTATTTATAAGTAGTATGGTTATATACATACACGATTTATAATACTATATTTATTACTTATTGTCATGGGTTTCGCTGTATAAAATTCGATCAGTATTTTGTTTTGAACATATTTTTTTCTACCGCTATAATGCGTTTATTTTTTTTATAAATGAATTCGGCAAATTCGTATAAATTATTATGTGCATAGAAAGTTATATATTATCTCGTTTTATGTAAATGAAGGTCGGTGTACATAGGGACTTATCCTTAGTTCTCAGTTCACCGCCCTTTAATATTGTTGTTTTTAAAACAAAACATTAATGGTGTAAAATTAATCGTTTATAAAATACAATAATTTATAATATCATAAATACTATTTTTTAACGTCTAACAAAATTTATTTGTTTTTGTGAATATATAGGTGGATCGGAAGATGTTATTGGGCGTTTTGCGGCGGCCAAAAAGGTTTACATTCATTGCCAGAATTTGTCAGTTGTGAACAGGTAACCTACACACACAAAAAAATACGATTTTTACTCGATATTTTGAACAATTTTAAACGCACAAATTCATATTATACGAGTAATATAGCTTATATGTTTTAAATTTGTTGAAAAATCGAGAAAAATTTAAATTTTTTAATCGATTTTATAGCTGTATTTCGGCTGATTTTCGAAAACAAATATTTTATTTTATTAGTCCAAGTTGTTTAGAAAAAAATATAAGTTTTGTAGTGTGTGTGCACACTAACGGCAGATAGGGCTATTGATTGGGTCATGAGACCAAGGAGCGAGGATTCTATAAATAAGTATAGACAGGTACCCATCGAGAAAATTACGATTTTTTCATAGGCCTGTCCGTTACTGGCACGTGTGCATTTCAAGGGTTAAAATTTTAAAAATTAACTCAAATGCGTATTTCAATACATACGATCTTGCTGAAAAAAAATACGGGTTCATCTGGCTGAAGTATTTCGTGTTATACCATTCGAATGAAACATTTGCTATACAATATATGGTTAATTTAATTGGATAGTGTTAACCTTTGTATAATATCGTGTTAACATGGAAAACTGTTTTATGTACGAAGCGTGTAGAATCTCCGTGTAAACTTTTCTTTACATTTATTCTATTCCGTCGAAAATTCGTACAGTGGTAGCTGCGGAGTAGCTATTTATTGTATAACTTCAAAATAGGGTCTAGGATATTTTGGTATGGCCGTTTTGGCGTGTAAATTGATATAAAAAAAAAATTGAATTATAATTTATAATTTATTTAATTACAGTTAATTAAAAATACTATTTCAAATGTATACTAAAAAACTTTATAAATAAACATTATATTGTAATGAAATACTATGTGATACATTTCTTAAATATGCCAAAATTGTCTTGTGTATCTAGTTCTTGAATTATTTTTAGTAATTTTTTGTCTGTTGAGAAATTTTTTAATTTTTTAGGGACACTTCTTCCTGGTTCCAATTGGTATATGCATCCCTTTTAGCTTGGATATTTTTTAAGCACGTTATGAATGAACTTAATATAGGATAAAATGTAGGATTAACGAAGTCCAAAAAAAATATTATTTATTATTATTATTATTATTATATATTATGTATAAAAAATACCTACTTAAGTTGCTTCTGATAATCCAACCAGATATTTAGATGTATATTTTAATGTAGATTCAGCGGTTTCAGGTGCACGTCGTTGTTTCATCCGGTTAACTGCTTTATCCCTTTTAATTTTTGCTACTTGGGAATCATGAGTATGTTTGTCTATTGATTTTATTATTTCAATAGCATCTATTGTTGCGTGTATACGAGCTTTACGTGTAGTTTTATTTCGGTAATGTCAAAAACAGCGTTTTCCGTCACTACTTAATGCGTCAAATAAATACATAAAACCATTATTCACTAAGACATCTCGTTCTTGTGTAGATTAAATTCATTTCGACATGATGAATAAATATCAAACTCACTGTTATTTTAACAGCTGACACGAGCGACGAGGTTGAGAGACAACAAATGATGCTAATGATAAACTTATCGGGCAACAAAAAATAAGAAAAGAACATTAGATATTTGGTTAAGGGGTTGGAATAAAAAAAAAAAAAAAAAACTTGCGATATCGATACGACGCGCGTTTGTACCTATTACTTGCGCCTCATAGGGTCCGGAAAGTGGTGGTATTCTCATTGGATTGCACTTGTTCATTTACTTCTCTCACACCGACATAACCCGTGTACTTGTTTCATAAGTTGCCTAAACCTTTTTTCTTAGAATCGACCGTGCTGCGGTCCCCTTAATACAATTAATTCAATATACTTAAAACATATACGTTTACATCAAAACGGCTTCACGCTAAAACGTTCCATTTCGTAATAAATAACAATTTATCATTTATTTTGGTGAGACGGTACTATCGAAAAGTTCTTGCGACAAGTACGCCACAGAAAATCCGTCATAACATTATGTTTTAAAGGTGCGCAAACGCTTATAAAGGATACCACGGACTAAGATGGTAGACTGTTGGACTGGCATCGAACAGCTATTTATCAGCATCAAATTAGGATACAAGTGCGAGGGGTCAAAATGCAGACCAACAGTTTACAACGCTATTTGTTAACTAAATGTTTGCAACTTTTAAATAATAAGACGATAGTACCAATTACTAACTACCAATATAATAATAATACATAAATTAATACTAAAACAGTATTAACAATTTAAATTTTTTATTTGTATGCGTTCACAAGTTTTTATTCTATATTATTATTCAATTATAATAAATAAAATATTACCATGATTTAAACTTCGGTGCCAAATATGATAACCGACAGCGTTAAAACCAGTTGGAGTGCAGTGTTGATGATAACGGAGGAGACGTTTGCTTGCCATCCCCTCAGCAGTTAAATTACTAGTCCATCATATTTCAGTGTCTTAGTCCACGCATAACAAAATATTATATGTGAATATAATATTTCGTTCGAATTAATACACGTCCTAGCTAATATTAAAATTACTAAATTATATCTCTTTCACTTATCCGCGCTGCTTTGGATATTGAAATTAATAATATTATTATTATTACGATTATTTAAACTACGGATGAATGTGTATGCAAACTTTGTGTTTAACACGGGCTACCTACTTAAAAAATCATAGACATACACAATAGATAGATCACGCATTATACTCATTTTATGTACATAACACTTTGATGCAAAGATATGTGCGAGAAACACGGACTCTAACGTAACTTTTTATTATTATATTACAAAATAATTATAAAAAAATTGATAGATAATGTAAAAAAAATATTAATTAATTCAAATTCGAATAGTGTGATGTTATCAGTTATCAGTTTTCATCTCAATTATTACCTAGAAGTGTTATAAAATTGCATATGACACCATTGAAAAAATCAGCTATATGAGTCTGTTTTTCTCACACATATCATGTTGGCTTTAATATATTTCACTAATGTGTGATCTATATATTATGTGTCTATGTTAAAAATATCTGTGTAAATAAACGGATAAAAGATAAAAAAAAAAAGATTGTTTAGTCTATTGACGTCTTGTCTATATAATATGTCGGTAATTTCAGGCTATTTTATCTCTTTAATCTTCACGGTTAAACTACATTCACAGGTAAACACAATGTGATAGATAAATACGCGCAATTTTAGAATATTCATCTAATTTATTTTATTCGATTTTTTCCCTCAAAAAAATATTACAGTAATAATAATTTGTCATTTTTCTTTAACGCGTGGTACCTACGCTGCAGCGTAGCAATTCATACCGATTTTCCGACAATCATTATCCGATCAACAAACCGAAGCGATAAGAATGCTGAAAATAAATTCGAATTCAGCGTGAATAATAAATACTTACATAATGCAATGAGAAAATTGTTTAAATTTAATTTAATTTTATTATTATTATTATTTTAGGAGTTTAAACACCTGATCTCGCTTGGGTACACTTATTTACGCTGAATTCAATTTTTTTTTTTTTTTTAAAAATTCGTATCGCTTCATTATAATATCGATAGGTCCGACTGTAGGAAAGAATAAAAGAACAAAGAACGGTAGACAAGGAAATCCTAAATCCTCGAAACATCGGTGTTCTTTAAAACAAAGTCGATCACCAACTATAGTGCGCCTCGTTACGTTTCGGCGGAATTTTGTAAAAAAAAAAAAAAAAAAAAACGTAGTTTTTTCGGCGAATGTCATTCTGCGCGTGATCAGTAAAATACGGTTGTCTTAAAACAAATACGAACCGTACAATAATTCTGGTCGGTGGAATTTGTATGGTTGCCTGTGTATTTCGTTTTAAAACGACTACATATCGTAGTATTACAATGCTGTCTCTTAAAATGCAGTCGATTCAAAGTTGACTCTTAATATTTATGTGTTACATGCACGCGGATGACAGGAGCTGGTGGTGATCAGTAACAGCGAGACGGACGCGGCCAGGGTGGCGCTGCAGCGGTCCGGCTACACGGTGGCCACGGCGTCCGGAGCGGGTTACAAGCTGCTGTGCGTGGCGCTGGGCGTCGTCAAGTGTTACGCGCTGACCAAAGACTCGACGTACGCGTGGGACACGTGCGCCGCGCACGCTATGCTCGCGTCCCTGGGCGGCACGGTGTGCCGCCGCGGCGGTCCGGCCGAACCGCTCACGTACCGGCCCAAGGGAGACGCGGGCCAAGGGCAGGCCCGTCACTGCAACGCGGGCGGCATAATCGCGTCGCGCGACCCGCGAACCGTCGACCGGGTGCACGCGCTGCTGTTGGACTGCAACCGATGACGGCGCCGGCGACGGACGTAACGCAACGCCACATGCCACACACCGCTACGCACCACGAGTGCGTCTGCAAGCAGCACAGCCGGCAGCTAATAGATAATTATAATATTGTTTAAGTGTTTTGGAAAATCGCCAGGAAAGATGGACGTATTGTCGAATCGGCGGTTTTGGACAATATTTCTCCCAGCTGTCCTTGTGTCCCGTTGCAGCGCAGAGTCGGCGTAATTGTAACGATTTAGTGAACGGTTTTATATGCAATTACAAACATGATAATATTTATACATGTGTATGTTGTTACAATACGCAAATGCGTACGTTAGCATGAAATGTTATGTACGAAAAAAACATCAAAATACGTGGGAAAAAATGCACATTTTCGGCAATTCGAACATTAACTATCTATTTATTCTACAACAAAAATGTGCATATACATATAAATCCGTTCTCTAATTACAATAATATATTTTTTGATTTATTTAGAGGAAAAAAAAAATAGAATATAGGTGTATCTATTATTATTGTACGTGGCAATGTTCGTGGTCTTTGCTCGAGTCCGATTATTTATAAGAATAGTAATATAACTATCGCGACTTTCAAAGATCCATATATTATATCTGTTCCCTTTACTCATCGATATATTTATAAAGGTTCTTCTGCTTTTGAAATTGGGTCTTTCACCTAAACCCCTTCCCCTCCATAATTTTGGATGATATCTGTGGAAAAATTATTTACGACAAACGATCTTCGAGACTTTCCTATTCGGTCAACTCACATTGTGCAATGAAAAATTATGTACAAATTGTGTATGGGGGTGAGGGTAATGTAATGGTGGGCTCTATCAAATGATGTAGCTTCGGACGGAAACATTTTTTTTTGCCCTCAAAAACACAATGTTTGAATGAAAATGATTTTACGTCAACATAGTGAGAAAAAAAAAGTAGTGAATCCAAAAAGACTTAACAAATAGAATACGATGTAAAAAAAAATAAAATATAGGTACTGACATTTGGTTTCAGTGTTTTATTTTATGAAATTAAAAAAAATTAAATCCATCAATACGGATGAATGTAAAGAAAATTAAATTATACGTAATTGATTCTTAGTAAAAATTATACGCGCCACTTTTCTTAAATATTTTAATTTTAGTTTTGTACCATAATAATTTTATTACGTGCCTATATTTAAAATTGCTATAAGTGTAATGGTTTAGCAGTACCCTTGTAATTGTCTCGATTGAAATTGAGTGACTTCCGCATTAGTTATATTATTTGTACGCCATTTAAATACCCATTAGAGGGTACCTATAATAATGTTTGTTTTAGTTTTTGAAGCATCGCATAAAAATAATATTTTAAATTATGACCACCATTGTTTATTGTTTGCATATACAATGTAAAACGTACAGCTACAATACAGTAATGTACAGTCATGATATAAAATAATTTTATCATCTTGATGGTACCATTTCCTCAGTTCGGTGTCTAAAGCTGGCTATCCTAATGGATTCTGGTGGTTTTCTTAGGTATTAACCAGCTGGCTTGGATGAAATTCGTTCTGGCAGTCTTGCAGCATGGTTTTACACAACAAACCGAAGGTTTTTCGTTTTAAACATTCCAAGTGAGAGTAGTGAAACATGAACCATGTATAATAATCATTATTCGTAATCGTATATTATTGCTATCGCCGAGCGTCGGTAGACCCGACCCTTTATAGATTTTCTAAGAAAAAAAAAAAAAAAAATCAATAATATATAAAATAATATACTCGTATTTACAACAGTATTAGGGCAGAAATTGGAAGTGTAAATAACTGGAGGGAAAATAATTTTTAGACTGAATAATTATGTAATTCTCAAAAACTTTCTCATTTTATCATTCCGATGAACTTCTTATTAAATTAAAATATCAATGTGCATTGAGTAAAATATTATTTTCATCTAGGCCTGGTCTTTCTGAATTGTTTTACCAAGCACAAAGTTATCAAGTTGGATTTGAAAAATCAAAAAAAGTAATCGAACCTGTAATTGTAATGTCTGTATCTAGTTCTTTAGCGGAAAATTCTAGACTAAATGATTTGACGTTACTTTCTATAGAAAGGAAAATAAGTGGACAATTTACGGATAATCGGTCAGCTGTTATTGACGAGTTTGCTGTCATAAATAAAAAATAATTGGAATTTGTACGTTAAAAATATTTTATAAATGGACAATACGTATATTGTAAGTTACGAGTATAATAATTATAATTTTATTTTGTAAAATTATCTTTTATTCAAATAGTTATAAATTGTATTTTTTAAATTATCTTTTATTCAGATAGTTATAAATTTTATTTTTTAAATTATCTACTAATTTTTTGGATTAATGTGTTTTAAGTTATTAATTAGGTATTAAAAGAGAATAATCATTGATCATTTTAAAACTATGGAAGGCTAATACAAAAATTGGTATAAGTCTTCATTTCCGCACTAATGAGTAGTTTTATAGTGGGTCAACTCAAAAAAAAATCTTAGCTACCTCCCTGGTCGCATTTCGTCTTCGTTCACAAACTCGAGTGCCGGTTTACTCATCCATTTTGTGAAACTCTCATTGACGGAAATCATATAATATATTAAATGACGCTCCGTATTATTTATTTTATTATAATAATTGGTAAATAATTTTAGTTTTAATTAACATAGGAGCCCACAGAAATTTGTCTATGGAGAGGGAGCAATTCTGTATTACACAAAATTAATTAACAAATAAAACTTAACATATACACTTTTAATTGTTATTGTAATATTGGAATATTATTCCGTACATAAATAAATAATAAATAAAATATGTATGTAAACATAATTTTAATTTCACTTTTTTAATAATAATTATTAATATTTGTTAATCTAAGAATTCTGAGTACAGCGAAAAAGTCACTTATAATACGTGGAATTTCCGCTCTGCAGTAATTCATTTGAAGCTTTTTTTTAAAAAAATTCTCATTGATTCCCCCCCCCCTTTCGTTCACAATCACTTTTAATTCAGGGGAAAACAAATGCCTCCAAATTGCCTATTCCTCTGTGGACGCGTATTATTTATTTATTATATGTAATTGCATGTCGTTTTTAATCATAATATATTATGTTATTTTATTTAATATTTATATGTAGAGTGTGTATGTATTTTAAATTTTATTGTCTTCTCACCATGCTATATAAAAAATGTATTAGTTTTCGAATAACAAAATTGTATAATATATTATTACACAGCTATTATTAATAGCAGATTTTAATTAACAAAGTTTGTATTTGTTTTTCAACGCCTGCGTATATTGCACCGTGAATGTCTGCAGTTGGTGAATGCTGATAGTCACCTGCGAATGTCGTCGTACACCAAATCATTGGTTGGTTGATATATTGATCACACCACTGCAGTGTAAATGTAAAAAAATGAACATATTTTTGTACGGTGGGTGGGCCACTGTTGTAGGTGAGAAGTTGAGAAGGTAGGATATAGAGGGAAATTTAATGTATATCTGTACGCAGTGATTTGTCTTCGCTAACGGTAAACGATTTTGAGCGGAGTTCGGATAATAGTGTTACTTTGTCAATAATATGTATGTCATATTACGGTTAAGTAATTGCATATGCATTATATATTTTCTTTAATAATATTTGTTTAATATTGTACCTATTTTTCCCAAGTTTTTTCCCGGTTTGTTTCATTTATTGGGAAAACTGGATGTATTGAAAACTGACTTCCCTAAAGTACCTCTTCAGTTGGATTTTCTTTCAGAAATCGTTGTAAATCGGAGCAAAATTTCTGGTAGAAAATTTGTAATAAACATCACTGTAATAGCAGCACATTCCTCGCTCCACTGAAAATCTGAAATGTATTCAAATAATTTTATAACTAATAAATGAAAATGCTACCTGCGAATAGTTGAACTATTAACAGCGTTCTAAAATTGCTGTACTAACTGGAAGAGTGCAGAAAATAAAAAGAATTGTTCTGACACAAGAAAAAATAATATAAAGACAATTTTCAATGGCATTAAATACATTGTTTGATGAAACTTGTAACTGTAAAATAAAAAAAATTAAAAGATTTTTTTGGAAGGGAAGGCGATTGCTCCTATCGCCCAAAATTTTGGACATAAATGGACTGTATTAATTATTGGAGCTTTTTTAAAAGTATAAATACTTTTTCGCCCGATTACATTTTTAGGCCTTCGGTGAGACTGCTTCCGATTATATGTATTTTGTTTGCTATGTATAATATGATAATCTGTTAAAAAAAATCTTAAAGTACATATAATAATATTATCCATTCAGATATTATTATATAGAGTAAGAATGTCATATGTAAGATCAAATTATTTACTTTATTGCTAAATAGCAAGTCAACTTTTTATTAAAATGCTTTATCATTATTTTATTTAAGATATTAATTTATATTATTATATTTTTTAAATTATTGTATAAAAACACAATCAACATAAATATTTCGTAAATTATTAATCACTGTGGTACCTATTTTTTTGGAATTATTGTATTTTCTTTCCTATTTCAACTATTTTAGTATTGTATTTTTCTTCGTAGACTGTTTTAAACATTTTAATGCATCTATGGCAGTTAATGTATGTATTCTGTTAACTAAATAGCTGGTCTCTTCAATTATTTTTCAGTACATTACAGGAAAAAAAAAACTGAAAATAACCTAACCATTGTATTACATAACTATTAAAGTTTTCAGATATTTTTGCTAATTTTCCACTGTTAGAAAACTACAATGGAAATCAAAATATATCGTACTCACTGCACCAACTAGATGAAATTTACTTTCAAAAAAGATATAACACTTGAACATATAAATAAGATGTCTGGTACAAAAATCATACGATATTATTATCCGTGACTTCTTTCTTTTATGACATTTGAAACTTTAAAAGTTTTCGCTACCATAACAATATTATGTATTATGTAATATTAATGTATTCCTTGAATATTATTGACTTGAACTACGTCTCTCATGTAGTATTGTCAGCATCCGCTGTTTTGATCTTTTTCGAGAATGTCCATCCATCTTTCTCTGGGTTTACCACGAGGTCTCTCCTCTTTGTCCTTTAATACAAAAAAAAAAAAAAAAATGACGGACATACTTCGCACGATGTTAGTAGGCACGTGGGCACGATGGCCACTGTTATAGGTGAGAAGTTGGGAAGGTAGGATTTAGAGGGGTTTAGATTAATTTAATGTGCATCTGTACGAAATCATTGCTAAAGAAAAACGATTATGAGCAGAGTTGGGTAACACATGTTTTGATAAAGTTATAATATTTACGATTAAAATAATACATTTCTTAAATTTTCCCGGTTTTTCCAATGATCATGAAAGCCGCTTGGAAAGTAAAAAAATGACCGCACTAAAGTAACACCCAAATTAAATCGCAGAAAAGGTGCTACATTTGAAATTCGCATCAAGCGTTTTGATTGAAAAGGTGTTAAGATAAAAAAAAAAAATAAACATCTTTGTAAAACCAATATATTCCTTGCTCCGCGCAGAGTCTAAAATATTATACGAGTAGGTATTATACAATTTTAAAATAACACGTAAATGATAATATTCGTTGTCATAGAAAACCATTTACATAATATTTTTATAATTTAATATTTGTACTCTGTATAGTGTTGGTTTTATATTCGAAAATTAATATTAAACCGTTTGTGAAATATTGTTATTGTATACTTACATTGCGTCATAATAATATGAATTCGATTGTTAAAGTGGTTATTTGCGTTGAAAATAATGTGTTTAGCATCGATTTGGCGTTTAGTTTATTGCAAAGGAGAGTGTTTGCCGACAATAAATTGTTTTTGTGTATTTTGACTACGAACGTGGATGAAGTCAAAGAAATGGCCGCGCATGTAGAAAAATGTTGTTTTTCCAATATGATAAGTAATGTTACATTAGAATGTATAGTTATTATACTTGATTTTAGATTACTATAGTAGGTATTATAGTTTTAACTTCTGATCTTTGTAAATCTTCTGATCAATCTTTCTTGAGTCTTCCTCGAGGTGTGCTCCTTATAGCTTGCTTGATGTGGGTTTCCAATTCATTGTTTTTATATAACAGTTTCGTTTTTTACTCTCCTCATATATGGCCTAACTCATGTATCTTTTGTCGTTTTACGAAGCTTGTCATTGGCATAAAAGTTTTACAGAAAAAGCTCTTAAAGAGTATGCTAGTAAAAGACTATAGAGAAGTATTATAGTTCATTTAGAATTTCGCCGTAGAGAAGAGATTATAATTGTCTTCTTCGATATCCCCTCACAATATAATAATTAGTATATACTATTAGAATTGACAGTGACCGAAGATTGTCAAAAAGCATTCCGTGACGCCGATTACTTACTATTGACTTCCAATAATCCAAAATCCAAAGGCATTGAACGTTTCCAGAATCTGAAGCATGTTTTTGAAAAGGTAAGTTATATTGTGTAGGTAATGTGAGAAAATCCGGGGTGCTCGTGAGCAATAGTCGAGAACAATTTTAATTTTAACGTGCGTTTTTGCGAGTGTGCGTTATCACTCCTCTACAGGGTTTGATATCCTGTGATATTTCGATATATACCTGTTTATCCTAATACCTATTACCTTCTTGCTCGCATCAGGCCGCACTGTTCGACCAATTGGCCAGACGGGACGCTCGGGTACTAATGATTGGTCCGAAATCCAGCACTTGGCTGCAAATTTTTGCCGAAGTCGCTATTCATCTGCCTGCTCACAATTTTACCGGATTATCAAGGCACTACGTGAGCAAAGCCTTGGCGCTGATTGCCCGGAAGCTCAACGTGAGCACATTAGATTTTAGAATCACAGTCGTGTATTTATATAAAGGGTCATTCAAATTTCATGATACAGTAAAATTTTCCATGAAATACTTATTTATTTCTAAAATGACTTAGGTATGTAAAAACTTTTTGGAATCATATATTCTAAAATATTACATTCTCCGCAATTTTGTCACCCCTATTTTAGGGGGTGAAATGACTATTTAATCTTGATTTCAAATGGTCAGCCTATATTAAAGATTCTTTAAATAGATAGTGTGAATTAGTTTAAATTAATTTTGATGTAGTAGAGCATTATTTTAGTGATGACAGGAAACGCAACATTTAAAAAGCTCTTCACTACTCTCCCCTTACCCAAACTAAAAAGTGAAATATCTCGTAAATGGATTGTCGGAAATCAAAAGTGTCAACAGCAAAATGTATTTGAATTAATATTACATGTCTACATCTATCGAATGTATTTCGAATTTAGGATGTCGTTTGAATTTTAAATGTTAATTATTTTTGTTTACTTTTTTTAAACGCCTCTTTCAGTGTCAAGTACGGGACGTGTTGGGAGTGCGCGTTTGGGCCGAAAACTGTTTGGACATAACGAACGGTGAAAAAATCATCGTGTTGGAGAAAAGTTTTAATAATTTTGAGGGTCCGCCATCACACCTTCAACTGCGGGATACGCAGAAATTAACGAAACTATTGCCTTCGGATTGGATCGACAATTGCCTTACGCCACAGTGTGTACGTCATCGTATCTATGGCCAGAAATAATACTCATCTTAACGCGTTTTATTTCATCTTAAAATACGATATAGTATATTATATGATTTTTTTTTCTTTTTACAGAAATCCGTACACGTGAACACCGATAGACATTGCGTCCTCTCTGCGGTGTGCGGTCACTTAACCGACTGGTGTCAGGGCACCGTCGACAGGACAGTGTGCATGGTAACCGTTGTGCAAAGGCCCGGAAGGATCGAAGACGGTATTTATTCGTCTTACCCTGTGACTGTCGACGAATACGGTAACATTTCCGTTGTCCGGGTAAAAATGCCTTTTTTTTTTTGTTTCTAATTTGAATTGTTCGAAAAACTTCACTTGTTTTCCTCTGCATTAATGTGATTTGTTAAATGTAGGATGTTAACGCGGAGTCTTTGCTGCAAGTGAAACTCTACAAATTTTACCAATATCAACAAAGAAACCGATATCGAATTCATGATTTCTTAAATACCACCTCAAATAAAACACCTTGACGAGCTATTGAATTGACGTAGTGGATTTATAACTTTATTTATTAACAAAATTAGATAACAAACGAACCCATTCCACTAAATACACCTAGGTATGTTCAATACCTAAACTATAGGTAACAGTATATCTATACGTTTTTTATATAATTATATTCTGGTATTATTATTATTATTATATATCTATGATAATAATTTTCTACATTTCGCTATTTTTTCAACGATTCTCACTTGTAAGTTTTTTGAGTATATTTAATCTATTGGCTAATCCAAAACAAATGAAAATTTAACCCGAAATTCATCATAAGTAGTATTTGTTGGTATGATATATAAGCATACTTATATGCTATATCTTTCTAACTTTCCTCCTACAATCCACCTATTGTGTATACAGGTTGAAGTATAATACTCGTACTATAGTAAGATGCTTTATTGAACATATTTTAATTATTTTAAATTATTTTATTTTACCAATTAAATATTTTAAATATCAATTTAATTAAAACTAAAATTATTACTTAAAATTAATCAAACCTTAAAATTAAAATTAATAAACTTATGAAACCGACGTAATGACATTATTTCAGTATTCTAATTTTTTATCAATTATTATACTAACCAAATTTCGTTCAACCCGTGTTTAGTCGCGGTGGTGGCGGCGGCCGCTTGTTATTTTTGATTAGAGGAATATTTTTGTCCGAAAAAAAGACCAAAATAGTTTTTGGTTTATTCACGATCGCCTATTAGCAGACTTGATGCCTATACGTATAGTTGTTATTAAATAAACCAATAATTAGCATACAACATATTGTAGCTAAATAAATTGATAATTAACAAATAACATATTGTATACAGTACCATTTGTTATTTTTTTAACGACAATAACGTACTGATATTTTTCTCGTAATTAACTCGTCACTTTATTTTGTAGGCACTTATTTAAAATTGATTATCAATCAATGTTACTTTCCGGATAACCTTTTATTACCGTTACCGTATTTTGTAAATAGTATATTTGAAAAGAAATCAGTGTGAGGAGATACTTTAGAAAGGTCATTTTTCGATTTCCTCAAGAGATTTCTCATCAAATACGAAAACCCGAAAAAAGCGGGAATATGTACGAAATATATTTGTACAATATTACGATTTTTTCTATAGCCTACTTTTACAACTTTTCACCCATAATAGTGGCCCATCTATCGTCTGAAATATGTCAGTCTTTTCTTTTTTTTTTAACACTTTCGATAGGTAGCTAAACATTTTCAAAATATTCACATCGCCCTTAATAAATAAGGTGCTGATTTTTCACTCAGTGATACTTAACTTGAACTTTTTGTTTTGTATTTTTCGAAATATTAAAAAAACTGACAACAAATGAAGCATTTACATTAGTTTTTTTTCCATTATCCTGGCTTCAAAGTGAAAAAAATACGATTTACTGTTGATTAGTTCAATATTATACCTAAGAAAAAAAAAACATTTGAACTTGAAATATGCCTACAAACAAATTACATTAACTTTAAATGTACAAATAATATACAACAGTTAGCTCTCTTAAAAACTAATATTATATTTATATACAAATACACACAAATAATTGATAAAATGTCATTTTACAAAGATTAAATACGAATATATCAATAAACCTCGTATCTATATCTAAATTTACAGAATATATTGTTATTTAGGAAACGGGACAATTAAACCGTTAACAAGTAGAACAGCCCATAAATTACCAATAAGAGCAGTATGGATAGAAACGCCAGTAACGTGTAATGAGCCATATACAATCTAAAAAAATAAAAATGAAATAAAATCACGAGAAAATAAAAACTCCGACTGTAACTTACTTTCTCACGTGTTTCACTCCTGCCGGCACGGTTTCCAATGGATCTCCGAGAATGTATACACGAACACCCTTGACGTGTTTCGTGAAATAATCATTCCAATTCAATTTGGCTATGTCGAACCGGAACAAAGACTGATCAAACTTGGACATTTTGCTCAACAACGATCTAGTGTTCGTCTCGTGGAACGTCCACGATCTTAAACTAAAATAGCTTGTGACGTTGACGAATTTATGTAGTTTTTTGTATGTCGCCATTGTTCTGTAAAAATAATAAAACATATGAGTGGTATATCTCCATCACCGGTCGAATTTTCCTCCAGCCAACTTGTTACCAAATAATATTTCATTTTTTAAAAATTTGTATACCTAATTTATCAAAAATAATTATTATAGGTAGATTTTTATTACATTGCAGTCTATTTGAGTATTTAAAATCAGGCTTTTTCTATGCAATACGTGAAATATAAGCTTAAAAACTGTCGGAGAAAGTGTTAAAATTTGAAACTCTCAAAGATACATCATTAATATTTACAATTAACATATGCAAAATTTAATCTCCAGATTTTATTTGTATCGGAGGGGGCTGCAGGGGTGTGAAAAGTTAAAAAAACACCTTTCCCGTCCCATGGTTCAAACAATTTCGAGTTTTTCCTGTGTATGAATCAACTAGATCACAAATGCTACATTAATATTTTTATGAAGTTTTTGATTGGATCAAGATTTTTTTTAGAAAATTTATTTACAGATATAAATAATAAACGTCATGGTAAAACTAATACATTCTTCGCTTCGCCTAAGATCTAAAGCCGTACCCAATTATTACCCGTGTACATGTATTATATTATTGAAAGGCACACGTACGTGGGCGTCTTTCCCGCGAGTTTAGCCACGGAGTCGACAATATATGCTGGTATAGTGTGCACTAGGAAACACATAATCGCATACTCGTATTTATTCTGGGACATCCACAACATGATCGGCCAGTACTAAAAAATAAAAAAAAAACCAATTTTTTTGTTATTTAAAAACGCTCCGCAGCAAACTCACCGACTTTACACTGGGCGTAGCCTGAACGTGTATCTGATTGTATCTGGAAAACTCTCGCCACGTAAGTCGATTTGTATTGGAAGACACGTAATTGTAAATGGGTGGTGAGAAACTCTTCGGTTCCGAAGTACTGTCGTTTTTATCCTTCATATTGGCTGTATTGTATTTGACGTTGTGCTCTTTCCTATTAATTATACAAATGCATTTGTACAATTCTAAGCGAAATATTTTTTTACGCGTATAAATTTACTTTATACTTTAAATTTACTTGGATTGTAATTTTCCGTGATCGTTGATTATTTTGTTTTGCATCTCGTATAGAGATGTGAAATGTTTTGTGAGATTTAGTTGGTAAAATCTCGAATTATTTTTTAATTGTTTGCATAAAAGATAAAAAAACTTTAAAATTACAGTTAGTTACAGTCCAGTCGTCTTGCTGGAAATCCCTACACAGACTTTTGAACAGTTATTTATTTTCGAAATCTTATTATTTTAGACTAGTTTGTTAAAAAACAATTTAATTGTTTCCAATTCTAATAGCTTCAAATACATTCTAACTTGAGATTTTTAAATAACTGGGCATTATTTACGTTTTAAATTTTTTCGGACTTGTAAGGGTAATTTATTGCCTTATCTTTGATAGTCGAACTAATTAATAGAGTGCATGATATTAAACTTTAAATTTAGTTCCAAAGGTCTAATATAGTTAAAGATATCATTATCAGAGATACATAAGGAATCATTATGACTAATGTTGGTGTGTCGTACATGGATTAAGGATCTTTAGTTAGGTAGGCGATTGAAGAAAACTCTATGAGAAAAAGACCTTTAGGGAAGCTTAAGTTTAAGTGGGGACATTGTGTGAAAAAGAAATCTAAATTCTAATTGGAAATCAGGCGATTAGATTTGTACATAATGGTTTTGGTAGTTAAGATGAAGAAAACGAATTGTACGAAATTTATGAAAAACTGAATTATTACCTCATCAGGTGTATTATTACCATTTGTTGTGAATGTCCCAAGCGCAGGCCAACACTGCATTACTGACATAGTCCCCGGGAACGATGTCGGCTATTTTGTTGGGATCGACTCTCATTACCCTCATAAGACCTAAGCCGATGGCCGCGGTCACTCCGGTTGGCCCGTAGAAATTATTGATCCACGCGGGTAAAGGTTCGTTTTCCGTGGCGGTAACTAGACAATGATAATAATCAAAAATAAAAAAAGAAATAAATGCACTAGGGAAGAAGTTAAGTAATATATTATTTTGATAATATGAGATAAATTTTGGCTATATATATTTTTTTTTTTTTATAGCCTGAGAGAAAATTTAAACGAGTATATGTCTATTGTATACTTTATACTCACTCATCGAAGGCCTTAAAATTCCGATGGGCAATTCTTTACCGTGGGTAAATATTTCATATTCGGCAATAGCCTTCGTAATCGTGTACGTATTTGGAAATTCGTTTAATAGCCTAAATAAATAAATAAAATTTTAGTATAAATAATAAATTATTTTATAGAGATATAGAATGAAAGAAAAATACGGCCATATTTCGCACGATTGGTGAGCCACTGTTGTAGATGGTAAATTAGGAAGGATATAGAGGGGAATTTAATGTGCTTATATCTGTACGCAATAATTAATCTTTGCTAACGAAAAACGATTTTGAGCGGAGTTTGGTTATACATGCTTTGAAAGTCCGTAATACTCGTATTTACGAGTTGAAAATAACACATTTGGTAAATTTTCCAGTTATTCCTACCAACATTTTTCCTAGGTTTTCCTATTTATTATGTAAACCCCTGGGAAAATCAAATATCCAATGTGGGAGCTTAGAAGCTTTCATCAATAACCTTTACTTATATTTATTTTCATCAATATTAAAGGAAGTCGTGTTAAGGTTAAGGTTCTTGGAGAGCTGTTCTGGCCCTATATTTACTATACTTACGACGGCGTAATTCTTTCAATTTGCTCGTCCTCGAGAATGTTTACGAGTTTTACGATTTGGTCACCAGATAACGGTGGTTTGTAGAACATTTCTTCAACGACTTTCCTACCGGCGCAGTTCGAATAAGCAGTGGAAATGTAAACGAAAGACTGTAAACGTAATAATAATTAAAGTTTGATTCCGCATGAGAGATTAAAATTCGAATAAATTACTTTTAAGTGTTTCATCTCTTTGCATAGTTTTATCATGGATTGCAAGGAACCTATATTGATGTGTACTGCTTTTCGCAAATGTTCGTCGAACCGTACGGTTGCGGCGGAGTGAAGAATTATGTTTACCTTGTAACATAGTTAAGTTTAATATTAAACTTTAAGCATTCAAATGTGTCGACAAACTATATACAGGATGATTCACTAAGCGTGCTTATTCTATTTTGTTTTCTAGTTAAATTTCGCATATACAGTGAGTATAGCGGACAGTTACGGGACCATAATAAATGTCATAGACAGGTGTCCGTAATAGACAGCTACGGTAGGTGACATTGCAAAGAACATATTAAAACGAAAAGAGAAAAATGTACGACGCTTTAATAGCGAAGCAATATGGAATAAACACTGAATAATATTTACGTTTTATACGTGTTTTTGGTTATTTTTGTCCTCGCAATTAATTGTATCCTTATCATCTAACACGTAATCTGTCATTGTCGGTATTCGAAATAAACCAGTGACGCGGGTTGCGTGATATGTATGTGCTAGGTACGCATTTGTAATATATTTGATTTTGAATTAAGACAGTTGTCTGTTATCGAGGTATTGGCGAAAAACGGAGAGTTACAGTTTTCAGAAAATTGATAAGAGGCCAGTCATAATATTTCTGATGGAATGTTGAAGTGTAGTTAAAGCCAATATTTTTGAAAACTCAGATTTTTCACAACATTTAAGAAGTAGCTTGTGGTGATACTGATTTCGGTTTTTTCAAATGAGAACCTATATTAAAAATTCCATAAATAGTTTGAGTAGGTATTACATTAAATACATTTTAGTGTTAAAATTTTCGATTTCCGTCAACCCGTTGACGAGTTATTTCATTTTTAAGTTTAGGTAGTGGGAGAGTAGCCCTAATAAAATGCTGCGTGCCGTGTCATACAAATGATACTCCACTACTCTCCCCTACCTGAACTTGCAAGTGAAATATTTCGTTAACGGGTTGATGGAAATTTAAAAATTGTTGACATCAAAATTTATTTAAATCAATGCTCTGTTTATTTATGGAATTTTGTATGTAGGTTCTTATTTGAAAAACTAAAGACGGTACCGCCCACACGATACTCCTTAAATGTCGTGAAACGTCTAAGTATTTGAATAAAATATTCAAAATTTAATCCTAAAAAATGGGCGAGCATGCTTAGTAAATCATTCTGTATATAATATCTTATTTGTATTTATATTGCTTTTATTACTTCGTATTTGAAAATCTCTCGATACTGTTCTCCGATCCCCAAGTCCGGCAGTGCGCAATCGCCGATTACAGCCGTGATCTTTTTCAAATAGTCGGGAACTTTATTTTTCACCAACTCAAATACCTGGAATTATATTTCACGTATAATTCATTCATAATGTTTCCAATTTGTATTAAGTTATGAAATTATATAGAATTATAATTAAATGTATATATATAGTGAAAGCAATGATAAATTATTGCAATCATAAAAAAGTTATTGGTTGTAGTTATTTACCTTGTAGCCAATTTTAGATTAGGTTGACTTATCAGAAATTAACAAAAATAGAAAAAACATATCAACCATTTGTTATCAGTTTTTTTTTTAATATTTTAGGGTAAATTGTGAATTTTAAAGAAAATTGTTCCAATAAAATACGACCGGACGAAAAGTATATTTTAATCCTTTAAGATATGGCATAAAAAAAATCGGAGAATTTTTCAAACCGAAAAAAAATTTACTAAAAGTGTTCGAAAACTGAGTTTCTTCGCTACACTTAGAAACTAAAATAATATGTTTGCTTTATGATATAATTTATAAAAAATATATTCAATTTGCAGATATTTGATCAATTTCTAAAAACAATTTGTATAACATTAGAAAAATGCAATTACTGTAGGTCTGTATTCTATTACATGTAACTATTTATTAATATACAATGATAATTTAATTGTCAATAAGTATGTATACTGTATAATTATAAGTTATCGAGTTCGCATATTAATTTGTTGTGTTCTATTTTAATGGAAATAGGACCAAAAAAACGTAATTTATACCTATACTAATTATTTATTCAAAAAAAAAAAAAATAATAATAATACGTGTCGACAATAAGAATAATAATTGTTTAACTTATTTTATGAATACGGAAATGAAAAAAACCGGTTAAATTATTTTAAATTGAATTATATAACTATTATGTACCTATAAATACCTTAAATGTTGATTTAGGCCAAATTATAAATTTTAATATTTTCCAAAGGAAATTAATATCACAGGGAGATTCTCTAAGTAAAAAAACGTAACGATCGATTGATCAAAATATTTATATAATATAATTATATGCTAAATACTTACAGGGCCTTCGAATAGTTCAGTGAACCGTTCTTCTGGTGTTTTCCCTTTCTTCTCTCTGATTAAAATGTAAATACGTTTTATTCCCGTGCAAGTTCTAAAAAGGATAAAAAAAAAAATCCAATATCGGGTTAACGACCATTTATAACAAAAAACTTTTCGCTTAAGGATAATGAATTCTGTACAATTATTATTTTAAACATGTTTGTAGTGTATCGTTCACAAATATAAATGGTTTAATGTATTACTATTATAAATTCAAGCGATGAAATATTAATATTATAACGTAATATATAGTTACTATATAGTTACCTCAACAATTTTTCCAGAATCAAACTTCCGATGAATCCGGTGGCGCCCGTCAAAAATATTGTCTTGTCGTTGTAAAACGATTGAATTTCCGAACGAATTTCGCTCGTTTTACTGCATGGGGCCGTGTTCTGCATCGTTGTATCAGTAGCTATTCTGAATATTGATAAAAGATAAAGTTTTCATTAACCAAAAATATGTTTTACGGTACTGTTTGGTATATGTTTAAAGTGTATAATATTTAATTAAGTTTATATAGTTATTCAAAGTGAAATATGGGTAACTTCACAAAGATTATGCGTTTCGAAGTAACAATGTAAGGCCGCGAATATATTTATTATGGAAGACGAGAATAAAAATAAATTAAATAAATTACGTAGTTAAATACAAATAGTTTTTACTTTTTTTTCGATTTATAACCTGTGCTGGTCGGCGCAGACATTACATTTTGTAAAACCGTTGCGATTGCTAACGAAATACTGCAGTGACTGTTTCGGTCACATATTATTATTGAAAAATGTATTATCCATTACTTTTGATATAGAAACATAATAATCAGCTCGATTTTTCGTTAGCACTATACAATGAAACGCGTAAATTATTAAAAACATTTCTTTGGAAAAAAATTAACATTTCTTTTATTTTTCCAAAACTTTGCCAAAAAAATCAACTAAGTTTTACGCTACCTCTTTATTATATAAACGCAAGCGTGACGCTAATACACGATGTGTAAGTACTGCTCATAGATATCGGTACTGTTCGTCAATGTGTTGGACGATCGCAATTCGGACTACGAAAACACGAACTATTACGATAATAGTAACGAATAGCGGCGATGGCAACAATCCTATAGCTACATGAAAATTACGCGACAACGAAAATGGTACAGATAAGAAAAAAAGAAAAAATTTAATGCGATTACCGACGCGTGCGGGCTATAACAAAACGGTATCGTCAACTTTGGAATTCAATGACATGTCGTTGCGTTTTATTTATAACTATTAATTTTTGTTCCTATTTTTTATGTAAGTAAACAACTCAATAAAGTATTACCGTAAGTATACCCGTCCGTGTATGTAACGCTATAAAATCAAATGGCATTTAAACCAGTGGTTCCAAAAATGCAGGCAAATGTGTGGAGCGAAATATTATCATAAATTGTATGGCTTCACCTGCAACGGGGCCTACAGTGTTAAGACGCATCAGGTAAGTTCAATTTATCTAGATGTAGGTGAAAGATAATTGCTTATAATAGATATGTTCTAGATACCTACAGAAAAAGATCGAAGGATGACAATTATTGAAATTATCTTAGAAATGTGGAATTTATCGAGATGGAAGTATGTATATATTTTCTTTTTCCTTTTTTTTATTGTTGAGAACTATAATTTCGAGAACGTTACAGCAAAGAGATAAAAATTTAAACTGTTAAAATAATTATGTTAACGAAACTTTGGTGCAAATACCTATAGATAGTTCAGTAGCAATTTCGAATTCAAATAACTAAATACGTAAAACTTATACAGTAATTTATTATTTTCTACTATTGGTAAAACATAGGATTTTTATTTTTCAAGTATATTTATTCTATACATAGTTACTAATAAGTAATAATGACTAAACAATTATTATTTGTTTTACCATCAATGACATATCATAATTTTCATCTAGTTAAAATATAGTATAGGTAAACAAATTATATCTAAAGAAAGAACTACGTGAGATATTGCTTTTCAAAGAAGACATTAGAACTATATACCTGATACTATTTGAGTCTCTAATATCGTATGGTATAATTGGGTGAAGTGGTGCATATAACAATGCTCTTCTACTGCTGCAAAAATGCCAAAACACTATACTCAGGATTGCAAACAAAAAAAATTGGAAATATCCATTCGAAAAACTATTCGAAGACTTTAATGTCTTCAATATAGAGCTCTATACATAAAAACAATGACCATATATCTGAAAAAAAAATAATCAGTTGGATCTTATAAACCATGGGGTCAGCACCAGATATTATACTGCTAGTAGTTTTTCCTTAGACTGGCCCACAAAAACTAGTTGCCGTAAAGTTTTCTACTTTCTGGAGACTCAAATATTTAACTTAATGCCCAGTGATGTAGCTAATGTACCGCTATCCATTTTCAAAAAAATAATTTCCGTTGGCTCCGATATGAATTTACTGTGTCTAAAACTGAATATTTAACATACTAAAATAATGCGTGTAATGTTACCGAAATTATTTATGTATTTACTATGAAAAATTCCTTGTTTGTCTTTGTATAAAAATGTAATATATACATATAATGTCAGTAAGAATTATTTGTAAACTAAGATAACCCTGGGCTTCCACACGAGTTTCTCTCGGTGAGGCCCACTAATCTTTCGATATTAATTTAAATAAAAAATGAAAAATATCTAAATTAATTTATCTGGATGGATTTCAACACTGCTAATACCGGATTTTACAATTCTATTAAAATAAACGTGTTTAAAAATCTTCACTTAAAGGTACTAACACCATAAACCATGTAAAAAATATAACTGTTCGAATTTAGTGTAAAAATCCTTTGTTTTGAAAAAATAGTTTTTTATACCTCATTTTCTCGTCGATTTGAAACAACAAACGTATGCAATATATTGATAAATATTATAAATTTTCGAAAAAACTGAATGACTGAAAGATAACCGTTTCGAAAATAATCGCCGCGTTCAGGACACTGTGCAAGGGCACACGGTTTGGTTACTGATGTTGCAGTAATGACAGCGAGAAATATACGCCTGGGTATCTACTTAATTATGCGACAAAAACAACAATATTATTGCGGCCGAAGAAACAGTACGAGGAATTAGACCGGACGTATAGAACGCCCTAGTATTATAGTATACAGCTGTTACCCTTTCCCACAATTTTTATTGTAACTTTGCAAAAACAATTAATCACGACAATTAAAGTACATACAGAGAAATAATATATATCATTTTGTAAAACAACAAGAATACAGCAAATAAAAAAGGAACTACCCAAAATAAGTACATTAGACCAAAAAAACCAGTCTGGTTATTGAAGAAATAAATGGTTGATTGGATGATAGGAATTAATTGTGATCATTAAAAAAAACAAAGTAGGGATTTATTAAAGTAGAGAAACAATTACGCTGTGGTATAAGAGAAGGGAAATTAAAAAAATGTAGAATATTTTTTCTTTTGTTAACCTTTTACTATAAACTAAGTTACACACACGTACCGCACGTGTGGCCAATGGTCATATATGGGTATCACGTCCTCTAAGTATTACAAAATATATTCGAATTTTCTAGTTTTTCGTCCTTATTGATCGTGTTGGGCATTTCAAATGACCCGATTGTCACATGTAAAATGTTCAAACAGAACACAATTATTATGTATCGGGCAGGCGCGTATATTTGAGTTCAATTCCCCCCCCCTCCCCCCCGAAATAATTTCTTTGAAAATTAAGTCAGTACGATAGTGTGAGTTGTAACTTAAGAAAAGTGATTAAATAATCAAATTTATTAATTATTATATATTTTATTTTATTTTGTTTATAATGAAAATAAATAGTGATCAACCATTATTTTTCAGTTTTAGTGTAAACAAAATTATAAATAACAAAGATACTGAAAGTGAATCGAGTAATATTCAAATATCACAACTGAAGTTAATGTACCAAATGCTTTACAGACCCAACTTGATACGAATATGGACAATGAATCGTTAAAAAATTATTCTCTAGATATCGGATTATTTTTATCAACTTCTAATAATATAAATGATTCAAAAAATACGATTTATTAAAAAATTCACAGATACCACCTAAAAATTACTAAATTCCTATCGAAAAATAAAGGCGACTGAAATTTCATATAGATTGGTTAAATCGTTATCATTTGCTTGTTTACTCCCAAAAAGTGCAAAGTGGCTTGTGTCAATGCTGTGAAATATTTGCCAATAACAGTGTTGGTAAAGGGATTCATCAAAAATTAGGGGCTCTGATTATAAAACCTTTTACAAAATGAAAGGATGTCATTGGACGTTTTAATCATCATTTTAAATCTATCATAAGATTAGAGTATCATAAGTATTAAGAGTATCATAAGATTTCAATCATTCGCTCTGAAGAATTTATTAAAGTAATGGAAAACAAAAAGAATAATATTGCAAATGAGATAGATACTTCACGAAAAAACAGGTCATTGAAAATCAAGCTAGAAATTTTAATATATTTCTTTACAAGAAAATATATTAAAAAATATCAGAGTTGCAAAATATTTTTCTACTTTGGTAGACGAAACACAAGACGTATCTTGATTAGAACAAATGTCTTTTTGTATCCGATACGTTGACGGTGTGTCAAACTGAAATATGGAAAATTTTCTTGAATTTTCAATTGTTCACGATATGACTGGTAAAGGATTATCTACTTCTAAACTTCAGTTGCTAGAGAAATTTGGACTTGAAAAAAAAAAACCTTATAGGACAAGATTATGATGACGCGGCATCAATGAGTGGGAAATTCAAAGGCATCCCTAGCAATACATCACAGGTAAAATATAATTAATATCATATTATTTTAAAGTTCTATATATTTTCTTCTCTTTTTATTGTATTTAGAAAATGAACCAATTAATTAAAAAGGTTATATTGTTTACAATTTTTAAATTTTAAATTAAATTAATATAATATAATATGTATTTATAGACACTAGGTAACCTACCTATACAGTGTTCCAATTTTTTTAAAATTTTTATATTTCATAGGCTGTTCCACTTGTGCTTTATGTACATTTAGCTTCTCATTCATTACATTTGGCTGTAGGAAATTCATGTAAAATCGTATCAATTAAAAACTGTATTGGAACTTTATCTTTAGTAATAACATTTTTCCGAGCTTCTTCACAAAGGACAAAAACACTGATTGAATGTATTAATGAATATGCCCCACAAAATCCAAAAATAAACACTAATAAAAATGTGTGAAACGCGATGGGTAGGTCGACATAAAAGTTTAATTCGATTTAAAGAATTATATAAAGCTATTTATTATGCCTTAACAAAATTAGAAGAGTGTTCAAATATAGAAACATAACGTACAGCTTTTGAGCTTTCAAATGCCATTAATAACTAAGTTTTTATCAAAACTTTACATGTGATTGAGAAGTTTTTTTCTGTAACTTCACCATTATCTATAGCGCTACAAAAATTTAATATTGATTTGTATTTTGTTATATTGTTGTGAGCGAGTAATAGATGTCTGTCAAATATTTAAAGAAATTCCAGAAAATGATGAGTTTGAACAAATATATTCTAATTCAGAAGAGTCTATATTGAAAGGAATTAATAAGGTACTAAGAACTGTAGATCGACAAGCTACACGTAACAATATTCCAGCTGATTCTCCGGAACAATATTATTAAAGAGAAATATTTTTTTCCTTTTCTGGATCATTTTATTTGTTAATTACAAGATAGGTTTACTAATCATCATCGTGTAATGACTAAATTACAATCACTTATTCCAAATTTTCTTAAAAATACAATTGACATAAAAGATTTTCAAGAGGTAGCGCTTTTTATAAAGATATTTTACCTAATTATGACACATTTGACGTGGAAATTAAATTATGGCTAGCTAAATGGAAAAATGTATCAGAGAGAGACCGTCCAACTACATCATTGACTACTTAGTTTGCAATGTCTTATTATTTTTTCCCAAACATTTACAGTCTTTTGACAATTTTGGCCACATTACCTGTTACAACTGTTACTGCTGAACGGCCATTCTCAACTCTACAAAGACTTAAACATACTAACGAAACAAGTTGAGAGGAATTAGACTGAACGGATTGGTCCTACTAAATATATATATACCGAAATTTCGATTTAAATGTGGAAGAAATTATCGATAGATTTGCTAAGTTACCACGAAAATGGGATTTTGTACATTGATTTATAATTTTTTTAATATCAAATATATAGATTGTTTGATTTTTTTTTCTATCTACTTAATAGTATAATATACCTAGGTAATTTGATGTGCATATTAATCAAATCAATTTCTGTTCTGTTCGTAACACTTATTATTTAAAGTTTTATTTATTATTATTACTATTGTTCTTATATATTTACTTCTAAACAAATGGCATGTATAAAATTTGGATACTTAGCATAATATTGTCACATTAAAAAATAATGAGTTAGGAGGGAAAACTTGTTTTATTATGTTGCTGTACAATTTGTATTGCTATATTTCGTAAACCCCCCTCCCCCCGAAATTGTATTTTATGTACGTGCCTGGTATCGGGCCGCTCCAAAATGGTGGAGCGGAGCGCGTAAGGAATTCGGTTTTTATCTTTGTTTTTTTTTCGTGGACGATGCAACTATTGCAACTTAAATTTCATACATACTATTACAATTGCGTGTATTATTAACTCTATCACGGCCTATAAATTGTTGGACTGGGAATAATCGAAATTATTAAATTTCAATTACTTAATAATATTTTATCTTTGACCGTAGTTTTTTTTTTTTTGTTATAGACGACACGTCATAGTCTCGTGCGAAATATCGGACAACACGTCACTAGCGCGTGTTTGTGTGCGCGTATGAGAGGGGATGGGTTTACCGACACTGTGTTAATCACGGTGTTTTTGATTGTAAAGTTCCACAGCGATCAAAAATGAAAAGGGTAGAAGGATTAAGTCAGATATGTATGATGGATTTTAATGCAAGTAAATTCAATTATTATAATATGCATACTAATACACCGATACATTACATATACGAGTACTGATATTGAAAATAGATTAACTTGTTTGATTTACACCAAAAGAATGGTCTAAAAAAAATTTCAAAAATCGGGGCAAGATTTGGCTGATAATAAACTGTAGCACAGAGGCATACTAATTATTTAAAAAACAAATGTATCAAAAATATTGAATAGAGTAAAAGTTATTTCAAGTGGAAAATCATCGTGGGACACACTGTAGATATATATATATATATATACTTATTTTAAAATAAAATAAAATTACCTACATAAGGAATTTTTAATAAATATTTGTGATTTTTAATCATCATGAAATGTTATTAAGGTTTTCGCCATGATTTTTCTGAAACGCGTCGATGTGCGCGCCGTATTTCCCACTGTTACGTATAAATAAATAATTTTTTATAGGTAGCATAAAAGTATGGGCTTTCAGCGAAATATTAGGCGAGTTTCACCGCCTAATAACGTCTGAAGGACAAATTAGCCAAGTGATAGACATCTTGATAAGCCTTGATTCGCCGGATGGGTACGGGTTATTAAATCCGACGACTCAACTGAGGCCAAATCTTGGGTATTACAGTGCGGCCCTCGAATAATCTACAAAGAACCTACGCCGCAATGCGAACGGCTATTGTATGAATTATATTAATGTAACGTATTAGCTGTCCCGCGCCCCGCGCTGCCCGTGCCAATTGGTGTTATTATTGTTTTTATCCATATTCATTTTTAGTTTTGGCCGTGTTAGAATTGAACGAAAACAATTGGGTGGAAAGTGGGTAGTCTACCATCAGCGGACTAAATGTGTTTTATTGTAAAATTTGAATAGTGTAAATAATAGTAATAATAACGATTATAATAGTTTTATTTTCCGTGACGACCCTTGAATATACAAAAATCTTATGTAAATAAAACAAAGTCGGGTTAATTACAACATTTATACCTGAAGAACGGTTGGGCCGATTTTAATGTTCATATGATATTTTCCGACTAATTTCCAATAATAATTAATCACCATTTTTTTTTCATCTCTATTACCGGGGTAACACAAATCAACAAAACGAATTGTATTTATTATATTATGAACTAAATAATTTGATGTTGCTCGTGCGTATATGTAAGCGAAAATACTAAAACCCGCTATCAAAAAGTGGTGGGTGGGGTAAGGAGGGTGAAAAATACGTTACGACCTGTTCTCATAAATACCAAATATACAAAAAAAAATGTCATTAAAATCGGTCATGCCGTTTCGGAGGAGTGCGACCACACACACGTGGCACGAGAATTTTATACATTAGATAAATCAATATGATTGCCGATAAAAACACCTATGCGCGTAACTACTAAAGTCTCGGATATCAGGGGCCGAATACTTTACGCCAGTTTCAATTATGAAGTTGAATTGAAAGTTTTTAAATATTATCAACGATTAATAAAATATATTTCTAAAATATTGTATTATAATTTCTGATTTCGGTGTTAAATAACCTGAAACTGAGTTGGAAAAGACGCCCGAAACAGTATTGGTAATCACGGTCTTTTTATTTATAACATTTTATTATAGAAATGTGACGCTTTTGGTCTAACAATAATTTGGTAGCAAATAATATAATAATTTAAAATTATGAATATAAAAATTCACAAAATTATTATAAATGAGTCGGTTGGTAATGGCAATTGATATAGAATTAAATTAACAGATAATAAAATAATATCGGAAAAAAATGAAAATAATTTACTTACAATGACTGGCTAGCCGCTACCTTCTTCTAAACAATTAAAAATTCACAACAAAAATATGAAGTTGACTAGAGACGTCTTCGGTAACAATAGGTAATATGTGGTTATATGAGTTATACAATATCAGCGACTATACAAGTTGCCGTTGATCGCAGAAACAATATTAGGTATTGAAAAATTTTAATGTGAAAAACGATTCTGAGCGGAGTTCAGTTTATAGTGCTGCTTTGTTAACAGTATACATTATGTCATATTATGATAAAATGATTACAACAAGGTGCGTTTCTATGACAAAAGTTATTATTTAAAAAATATTGAAATTATAAAAACTTAACAACAGAAAAATAAACGAAAACGGTTGTCAATGACGACTTTTTTTCGTAAGCGTCTTTAAGCTACAAGGGCCGATAAAAAAAGAAAAAAGAAAACAATACTATACATTTAAAATACGCGCTTTTAACGTGTGTGCACAGCGGAAGGAGGCGAACCAAAAACGATAGGTATAGGTATTTTAGACACAATGGGCCGCCGCACGGCTTTGATATCTTATTTAACTTAAACCTAACAATAATTCACGGTATTTAACATAAACTCAATCTAGAATGTGTGTGTGTGTGTGTGTGACTGGACATCGACCTTGAGGAGCCTATCCGAAATGGCTGTGGCCACCTACGCGCGCACTCAGGCTTCAACAATCACGGTAAAATAGAATCATTTCATATATTAAGGACTTTTGATTATTGTGATGTTCTAATAGTGTGAACCGGGATTGGTCCGTAAAATTATAAAATAGTAGCAATCACCGATAGTTTCACTGTGATTTTTTTCGTCACGACGTGATAAATATTTTGAACAGTTTAACATCACTATAATTGATGACGGTATAAACACAATTAATTTCCAATCATATTTTGCTACGTGGTATTTATAAAAATAAACTTTATAGAAGCACCGTGGACGCAACTCGGACGTGTTGAGCAAATACCGCGGACGCAATTAGGTTGTCACGACTTATATTTTCCTTTGGAGGAACGCAATTCGTATGGAACCGTACCTACCTTAATCTAACCTATAGTCAACCGCTCATCCGATATTCATTGAATATGTATGTACTTCTATTTAATAAATTAAAGAACGAAATTGATTGTATGTTTTGATTTGGCAAAGCGATTAATTATGTCATTAGTACCTATTTAATGGAATATTATTATGAATATTCGTAGGCACTGAACTATTCGAACGTGCTTGCCCCATTTGATTTCTCAACCAAGTTTTTAATCTAATAAACATAGACAAGCAAAGAAATAATTATAAAGCAAAAACAAAACTAAGTACAAAAATTTAAGAAATAGAAATACACAGTGTTAAAATATTAATTTGTTGAATGAATCAGTCTGTACTTACATTATGATTAATATGTTTCTGTGTTTTTAGTAATAAATCTAGTTATTATTACCCAGTGGGCATTATACATAATCCTATAATTTTACATAATAAGTAAAACTTCTGTTTAGTTCAATAAATAACACATTTATGAATTGTTTTATTAAACTACAAATAACACTTAAACTACTAATTTTATAATAATAAAGACATATTGTATTTATGGTATTATTATCAATAACCAGCCATTTAGTTGCATTAAAAAGCAATAGGTAGGTAGATATAAAGAAAATAATTATAAAAATTGAATATATTTTATTAAATATATAGTATACACCATATATTTTTTTTCAAAACTTTCTGGGATATATGACCGATTCCTCTAGAATCTCTGAAACTAATAGATTTATTAATTTAAAACAGGTATTAATGATAGTCTGATGTATTGCGGTGTTGCTGATTACATGATTTTTTTAAATATCGACTAGGTACCTATGCTACTGGAGAGCGTAGTACCTATCCCTTCCCAATAGACATTTTTGAGAATGCTACTGCCAGTAGGTATTGGTTAACTCTTTCTAAGTCGATATTAGGTGACTTGAAAAATAGTCGGTGATGGGCAAGACTTTATTTCAGAAAAAATTTCGGGGGAGAGATCCGTATTTTTGTTTGGTCACTTATAAGTTCACTCATAATTTTTTACATTAAAATATAACCACTTAATCTACTGTTGAACAATTTCCGGGGGTCACTCCGCTCTAGATACGGCCTTCGGTATGAGGGATGTATAGTCCACATACACTACGATATTGCCTTATATGGATGATAATAATATTTATATTTACTAACCGAAAATGTTATCCGAGAAAAAAAATAAATCTTAACTAAAACTATAATTACTTCTTCGTTGTCCTAAGCTACTAAAAAAAAAAAAAAACAATAATAAAATAAGATTTATAATTTAATTTCATACTAAAACATAATTTTAATAATTTAAGTACAATTAACTTATAAATAAGTAAAATGAAAATGTGGAAGTGTATCATATATACCATTATATTATATTATATTAAACATAATATAATCATGCTTATCGTTTATAGGAAATAGGACATTTGTATGTTAATCACAACTAGAACAGCCCGTAAATCACCAATAAGAACAATGCTGCTAAAACCGTCAATAACGTGTAATGGATAAAGTACAATCTAAAAAAAAAAAAATACGGAATATACATCAAAATCAGTTTTATAGATAATCGCATAATAGTGAGTGATACTAACATTCGTAAGCGTTTCAATCCCTGCGGTATGGTTTCTAATGGATCTTTGACAATGTATATCCGAATGCCCTTGACGTGACTTTTGAAATATTCGTTCCAAATTAATTTGCTCATATCAAATTGGAAATTGAACTGATCGAACTTGGACAATTTGCTTAACAGTGATTTGGTGTTGGTCTCATGGAACTTCCACGATTGACAAGAAAAGTAAGATATAACTTCGGTGAACTTGTGTAATTTTCTGTATCCATCAATTAATCTTGAAAAATAAAATAAATAAGTACATGATTTTTCAGTTTTTTCTGTTTGTAGTTCATCAGTTGCAGTACTTACTGTGGTTTCTTTCCTATCAGTATGCATATGGAATCGACAATAAACGCTGGTACGATGTGCAAAAGGAAACACAAAATCATGTACACGTATTTGTTTGTTACCAAATTCAACATGATTGGCCAGATCTAAACAAAAAGTTGTTCATTAAATATATAAAAACAACAACAAACACACCCGGCAACGTCAACTCACAGCTTTTGCGCTGGGTATGTCATGAGCATGTGTTCTGTTGAATTTCAAAAATTCTGCCCATGTCAATCGATTCATATTCGAAGACACGTAATTGTAAATTAATGGCAAAAAACTCTCATTTCCCATACTATCGTTGTGCTCTTTCCTAGAAAAACATGTAAAATTTAAATGTAGCTCTAAATGTGATCCATTTAACACACATTGGCGATTTGTCTTAAGATTTTAAGTAAATTTGATTATTTTTATATACATTAATTTTAAAATTGTTTACCTCTACTTTTTAATATAATTATGGTGTAAAAGTTTGATTTTAAAATAGGAACATCACTTAAACACCGATAAAAAATATTTGTCTAAACATTTATATTAGCATACTTAACTCTAATATTGTATTTACAGCATAAAATGTTCAGACAAGTAATATTCTCTATTGGAATCATATTTAAAAGAGACGGTACCGTAACTAGGAGTTTTAAAACCCAAAGATAAAAATATTATATATCTGTGTACTAAATATTAATACTAACACTACATAAATACTAATTTAATTCCCCTCACCCCATTCAGACTCTAATATTTATAAAATTTGAAACGTATATATGATAACTTATTTAATATTTCTCATTGTTCCAGAAGATATTGACTAATTAAATTATTAAAAAATAGTACCTATGTTATTTTTACGCGAATATGTCCCTGAAAATTGTACACTCGGCGATAAATTCTCGCCCTCCCCCTTCCTAGTTTCAGCCCTGAAATGATGGTTTCTATTCGAAAATAAGATGTACACTCATATTTTAAAGAGTAGGAGTGAAAAATTGAAAATAGTGTTGAAATAATGCTTTTTCGAAAATGTTTAAAAATTTAATTAAGTAACCGACTATATCGGAAGTAGATATCAAGAAATCCCAAACTTCAAACATAGTAAATAATTATCTTCTTCAATTTGGTGAAATAATTTTTGGTTTAGGTCTATTAGATCCTAAGTATATACTGTTGTACGATTTGGAAGTACGATAATACATGTTTGCTATGTATAATGCCCGTTGGTTAGACAGAACTGGCAACTATATTACTGATATTTCCATAATGACTAAAAAAAAAAAAAAAAAATCAAATTCGCTGTTTACCACTTGTTGTGAACATCCCAAGCGCAGGCCAACACCGCGTTGCTGACATAGTCTCCGGGAACGATGTCGGCTATTTCATTGGCGTTGGTTCTCATAACCCTCATTAGGCCTATGCCGGCGGCCGTCACTGCTCCGGTCGGCCCATAGATATTGTTGATCCAGCCAGGAATGGGTTCGTGTTCTGTGGCGGTAACTGTGTATCCATGTTTAATTGTTATAAAAAAAAAAAATTATTATTCCATGACGCGAAAATTATACAGGTATTAAAATATAGGTGTTTAATGCCCGTGTTAGTTTTTTTGGGGCGTAAATAGGAGGCTTAGCACTCCATGAGTAATCTCAAACTCCAACTACGGAATCGATAAAAAAAAAATCTTTCATTATATTTGTATAGTTCGAGTGAAAATGATAAAAAAAATCTTGACGATGAACTGCACTCACTCATTGACGGCCTAATGATACCGATGGGCAATCTTGTGCCATGAGTAAATATTTCGTATTCGGCGGTGGACTTGGTCATTGTGTACGTGTTCGGGTATTCATTTAATAGCCTACAAACAGTTACAGTTAAAACCGTGTATTATATAGGTAGTTTTAATAACAATCAACGCAATACTTACGAGGGAGTAATTCTTCTGATATAATCATCGTCGAGAATGTCAATGAGCTGCACCAATTGGTCCGCGGATATTGGTGGCTTGTAAAATACTTCGTCTATGACTTTTCTGCCGGCACAGTTTGAGTAGGCAGTGGAAATGTGAATGAATGACTGCGTGTAAAATATTAAACGTAGGGTTGGGAGTTTAGTGGGGCGAAACCAAATTTAAAAATGTTTATTATCTTTTCGACCAAATTCATACCTTTTCCTTTTCGGCCAAACTAAAAATAGTTATAATTATTCACGGTGATTCAATAAGCGAACTCACCCCGTTATTTTTGTTAAATTTTGCATATATATATATATTTATTCAAATTCTGATTTTTGGAATGTTTAAATGTCATTAAACCTGATATTTATGAATACTTAGATTTTATATAACATTTAAGGAGAACCCTGTGTTGATAAAAAGTTTGGTTTTTCATATGAGAACCTATATTTTAAATTTCATAAAATGCTGGAGTAGATATTACATTAAATATATTTTAGTGTTAAAATTTTTGATTTCCGTCAACCCGTTGACGAGATATTTCACTTTTAACTTTAGGTGGGGGGAGGAGAGTAGTGGATCACTATCGCATAAAACGCTGCGTACCGTGCCGCCACACATGATAGTCCACTACTCTCCCTCAACCTAAACTTAAAAGTGAAATATCGACAGAAATTAAAAATGTTGACACCAAGATCTATTCAATGAAATACTTACTCCGTATATTTATGGAGTTTTTAAAGTAGGTTCTCATTTAAAATCTAAAGTTTTTATCGCCACATGATACTCTTTGAATGTTGTGAAAAATCTAAGTAATCGAAAATATCGGCTTTAACTACATTTCAAAATTCCGCTCGGAATCTGAAATGTATCATAGATTATCAATACGGAAAATTCGACAGCTACTAAATCGTTTATTAAAATACGCCTTATTAATAAATCGTAAATATGTCACTAAATTATTATAATTACATTTCAGATTCCGAGTGTAGCGAGGGAACTATTGGTTTTACTAAGATGTTGATTTCTTTTTTTTTCTAGTAAACTTACTCCGATTTTTACGTGTAACAACTTTTCTGAAAGCTCAACTTGTTTAAATGGTACTTTAAACATGTCATTTTTTGATTTTCGACGCCATTTTTTAAATGAAACGCTAAAGTAGGAAAAAACGTAGGAAAACGTATAATTTCACGATTTCAATATTTTATAAAAACACGGACGACGTTTTCTACCAGAAAAAATGATTTAATCGAAAAATAACAAAATACTCATTTTGTTGCCTTATTGATTTCCTTTCTAACAGTATTATTGTCAAATCTTTTGAGCTTTTAAGGAATTTTAATTTTTGGTAGTTTTTTTCCCTGTTATTCGGTTATAAATACACATTATATTGAACTTTCCTAGACGTGGTAAAATTTCCAAAATCACCGGAAGACCTTTATTTTTTTTAATAAACGTTTCGAAATCAAATTTAAACGAAAATCGGAAAAATTATGTATTACCGAACTGCGTTCGGAATCGTCTTTCGTCAAGCAATGGTTACAGATATAAATGAAGTAACCTTATGTATCCTCCTTTTCCAGCTTTTCACCTACAACAGTAGCCGCTCTCATCCCCAGTAACACCTCTTTTTGTTTAGGTATAATTTTGTTAAGCTAGTTTCAAATAATTACTATGTAGTGAACCAGCGCACGAATCAGATAGCAGCCGAATAAACTGATTTTATATAATTTTTTTTATAATATTATATTTAAACTATATGAGTAGGTTTATAACATACTAACTTTAAATAATGTTAATAAAACTTTTTATGTGTATAAATTAAACACTTATTTTTAATGTTAATAACATTTTCAATATGATAACACAGTAAATATGAATAAAATATGTGGAAACTTAGTTATAATATAGTAGGTACTGATTAAATAATTTCACTGATATATTATATAATTTCAAAACAACTTATATTTTTAATATTTTCTACATGTATAATATAAAGTAGGTAATTATTGAAATTTTCATTTAGTTGCAAAGTGAATCGGCCGAAAAAGGAAAGGTATAATTTTGGCTAAAAAGTGATTCGGCCGAAAAGAGAAAGGTATGGTTTTGGTCAAAAAGCTTAATGCCTCTTTTTGAACATTTAAATTCTCGTTAGTCAATTATAGTCAATTTACGACATAATTTTTTTTTAAGAAAAAATAATAAATATTTTTAAATAATTATATCTTTAAAGTTATAATGCATTTTACTATTTTATATTTTATTAGAATTTTATAGAGATAGACATATTGAACAATTTAAAAAAAAAAACAGAAAATACTAAATTATATTGCCCTGTATTTATTAAATTCACAGTGTAGCCAACGTCACGAAAAATAATGTATAAAAAAAAAGGAAATAACTATAATCAATTCGTGGTTAATTGACCATATTTTGACCAATCGAATTATTCGTGTCACTTGACCATTGTTTGACCGATCAATTAGTTAAAATAGTTAAATAGTTAAAAGCAGAATGAAGAATTATTGGGATCTATCCTCGAAAATAATAAAGTATCCAAAAAAAATTATGTATGCTCTGAATCTATCAAAGTAAATGTTATTATATTCTTTATGTCGATGATGATAGCCATACACTTTACCTTATCACTTTATCAGTTAATGCATGTTATTTGCGCCTCTGGCAGCCGGACGTGCCTAGCATAGATAATAGAAATTTTGATGATATTTGAAAATATGAAGGTAAGCATAAATTATTATTAATTATTTTATATTATAATTAACTTTTACTTAGTTTTTTTAAAGTTTGAGAATAAAGTTATTAATTATTATTTACTATAGTTTAGATAATGACAGTATCAAAACAAAAAATGTAGGTTTTAGAATCTAGTTTTATTTTCTCCTCATCTGGAAGTTATCGTATGGGCACCTTTGTAAGAATCTACTAGGTTTAAGTCATTGAATGTATAATGTAGATTACATTGGTTGATTATTTAGTCAGTTAGTTTTCGTAATTGGGGATTTACAGATTCTGTTCACAAAAGAAATATAATTTAAGCCATTTTAATAAGAATTCGAACTTGTAAAGCTTTTGGTAAGTTTAAAACTTTACAAGTGACACGCAGAGAGTACTTATAGCTACTATAAAATAATAAACCTAAGAATTCGTTTAGGTTCGAATACATTGAGTTTCTTGGTTTTGTTGTGGGATGTAGATAAATCCAGTCAAAAATTAAGAAGATTGAATTTATTATTATTGCGCATACTTCTCCAACCTTTTTATAATTTTTTAGGCACGAATAGCCCAAATAGTGTTTCGAGAAAGATTTAAGCCCTATAATATGGAATATGTATACGTAGTATTTACTTGTGAATGACTTGATTAGGGTTGCTTAGTTGCGTTTTAAGGTTGGGAGAAAATCCGCCCCTATTTGCACCAACAAGACGCAGTATGTATGGGTATCAAGGAGGGTATGGTTACGGCATTAGCTAAAAGTAATAACTTTTTTTTTCAAGGCACAAATTACGACACGTGAATATAATCGGATTTACCTTTAAGTTTTTCATAAGTTTGCTAATTTTCAGCAAATATTGCAAAGCGACAATGTTAATGTTTACGGCTTTTCTCAAATGTTCATCGAACCGTACGGTAGCAGCAGAATGTATGATTATGTTCACCTAGATCGGGTATTATACAAATTGTTTGTTCATAAAACGTATTTACGAAACTTTATTGGGAATAATGATATTTTTTATGGTAATTACTTCGTTTTCGAGAATTTTCTGGTACTGTTCACAGATTCCCATGTTCGGCAAAGTGCAATCGCCGATTACCAAAGAGATTTTTTCCAAGTAGTTGGGAACTTGTTTTTTCATCACTTCGAATAACTGAAATTGAGACAAAATTTTGCATTTACAAAATTAACAGAATGTTTGGCCGGACGAATTAAATTCCATAAACACCGTATCATTGTTTGACATCAAATCTAGAGGCATATTTTGGAACAAGACATACTGACTTCCGTAAAACCAGTCTTGTTAAGCATTTGAATATTTGTATTTAGAACATTTATTTGGGGGGAGGGGAAGTTTTATGTACTTTAGAAATACCTTTTGATAGATAAATTTTGAATAATTTTAAAATAGTTTTTTTATCGTATTTTTATTACAAAGTATAAAAACATAAAAATAATTTTGTTTATTTGCAAGATATATAGATAATAAATAAACAATATAAAATATGAAACATACCCTGTAAGCTAAGCTTGTGATAAGAGAATTGAGTTAATTATTTTTTTATAATAAAATTAACAGTAGGTACAATTAGTTAAAACAAGGGGTACACTACAAGCACTACAGGGAAAAAACCAGAAAAGTGACTTTTCTCCAAGATATTGGTTTCAACAAATCTGTATTGATGTATTGTAACTTATAAAAGTAATGAGCATTAGAAGTTTAAGCCTACTGGAAAATGCATTTGTTTTTTCCTATTTAGATAAAAGGAGAAAAAAAAGTGCACATTTCTTTTCAAACCCCGAGGAGTTTGAACTCGTGACACCTAGATAACAATACGTATTCATGAACATTCAAATACAACAAACGTAAAATAAAGTATACAATATAGTTATCTAAATATATAATATCCGCATATCTGAACTTCAAAATGCTATAATTTCGAAACTTAGTCAGCCCGCTCAATTCTGACCTTACCATCCTTCTTAAATCGGCAATACACATATGTTCGAAAAAAAAAATTAATTAATTGAAAAATTAGATTTGTTCCACATAATTTTTTACTCAAACAATTTTCGTCAAAATGTAGTATACAAATTCCTTTATAAAATCAAATACTACATTAAACTCAATTTTTTTTTTACCTTAAAGTAATACTTTTAATGAGCCTCTTGTTAAATTTTCAAGCATTTCTGTTTAAGTCTAACAATTTGACTACACTGTTAGTTGTATTTTGAAATGAATTGCTTAATACAATATAACTAAAGAATGTGTTACAATTTTTATTTTTATCAAATGTTTTATATTGATTAAAATTACTAAAAAAATGGGTAGACTAAGATTTGGAGCGTAGAGATCTATTTTTTTTTTTTTTATCTTTAAACAACTTTTCTATCAGAAATCTTGCTCCGAAATATCAAGTGTAGCTCATTTGTTGAAAGATAAACAAATTATATTTTTTTCATGTAATTTAGTTAAGAATTATTCTAGACACGTGTATGTTTCACAAAATACTTATAAGTATTGGCCTTTTGTTAACATGGTAAAATTTTCAAAACATTCTAACTATTTTTAGGCATTTTATATTTTAGTGTTTTTATATGTATTTTTATTTGGTAGGCATATCTGTCATTGAAGTTATATGACTTAAGAGAAATCGCTTGAAAATGTATCACAAGGTGCATTAAAAGGTTTTACTTAGTATTCTAAAGAAAAAATTGAGTTTAATACATTAGTTTCTTTAGATTTTGAATGGATCAAGGAATATTAGTTTTACAATAATATTTATTTTGTATTTTTTTTTCTCCTGTGGACAACTTTTCTACCATACATTTTGCTTCAATTTTCAATTATAGCACTTTTTCTGAAAGGAAATCTGACTGAGGTGGTACAATAGGGATGTCATTTTTTTGATTTTCAAAATGAAAAACGTATAAAAACGGGAAAATAGGTACAATATTAAACAAATATATAATGCATATTATGTAAATATTTTACTATAATATGACATATATAATTGTTGATAAAGCAACGCTATTAACCGAACTCGGGTCAGAATTATTTTTCGTTAGCAATGGTTAATCGTCGCGTACAAATATATACATTCAATTTCCCCTCTACCTTCCCAACTTCTCACCTACAACACTGGCCCACCCATCGTACGAATTAATTATTATGTCCGTATATTTTTTCTGCGTGTGTTCGATCGATTTTTTTTCCGGAAGTACAACTATTTTATACTTAAAATGATTTAGAAACTGAATATTTTCTGTATAAATCGAGAATTTAAATCCAAGTATACGCAGTATTAATAATAGCGATTAGGGGTGCATGCCGGTATTTGGGACTTTGGTAAATTACAAATCGACACGGCTAAAATTTTCTATTGATGACACTAAATCAAAAATATTCGTAATAGTGTTTAATACTTTATGCCGAGTCCACACACGTACAGCGATAAAACTTTTTAAAACGCAACAATAAATATTGAAATACTAGAATTCATTGATTGTTCTAATTTGTATAAATTGGCTCAAGTGGCTAATATCATACACACTATTTCTGTTAGTATCAAATTATTATTGCAGTCTACATTGTCTATTTTCATTTAGCGATTTACTATAATTATCAATCAATAATTATATATTACTCATTATATTGTGTTTTACCTATCGATCGATGCAAAAATAGACGATCCCAAGAAGAAAAAAAAAACCGTAGATATTTGTTGATATTAATATGTATGTAACCGTAAAAATAATATTTAACCTATTCTATAACAATAAAACAGGAAATATAACTATATAACCGAACACAATTTATTCATCATTTGACGTCTTCGTCGTATATGCATAAATATATTCATGAATATAATTATTGAAATGATTGCTACACATTATTATTAAACATTTTTAAGGTTAAATGATTACTATATATATATATATATATACACGTATATACTCACCGGGTCATCGAAGAGTTCTTTGAACCGTTCTTCCGAATGTTTGCCTTTTTTCTCTCTGATTAAAATATAAATTAGTTTCACTCCAGAACATGTTCTGCAAGATAAAAAAAAATTATATTGTTATTATAAATGTCGCGGTAATATATCTTATGTAAATTTATTTTTGAATTAAAAAAATAAAAACGTAATTAACAAAGTCACAATTTTATTTTAAAATAAATGCGATTAGTATGAGCTAAACCGAATAACATAACAAATTTCCTACCTCAATAGTTTTTCCAGAATCAAACTTCCGATGAATCCGGTGGCACCTGTCAAAAATACCGTTGTGCCGTTGTAAAATGATGCAATTTCCGACATTTCGGTTGCTGCGCTTGCCGTGGACGAATAACTGTCAATCGCCATGTCGGTGGCCATTCTATAATAAAATATAATATAATTTTAACTACTGCAAAATACAAAAGATTGCCTAGATAAAATATCGATCAATTTTGCATTGTTCATCGACACGCATATTTTACAATGTAGACATATAGGTAGATTAAAGTATAAAGTCTAGGATGGTTCTTAATCAACAAACAAATTGCGTCCCCCTCGTTATATTTTCCAAATATGTAAAAAAAAAAAAAAAACATGCATTAACTAGCCTAATAACATATGTTTTTTTTACACAATATTCAATCTTTTATCCATAGTTTTTAGAGATCTGAAAATACGTTATTGAAGATTTCTTGAAATTCCATGTTATTTTAATGGAATCGTCAGAAACAGTATGGTGTAATATGTCTGATAATTAAAAAAAAATTAGCTATAAATAACTCCTATGAAATGGCCGGTTTTCAAACCACATAATATAGACTGTTATCTTTAGTATTTCATAGTAGAATAACTCAGAAACTTGTCTTTCAAATTTCGATTACAACACTTCAACATTTTCAGAAAAATCATCTTATTTATAATTTACATTAAAATATGTAGGTTTTTATTTGAAAAACCAAAGTCGGTGTCTCTATAGGATACTCCTCAAAGGCGCTCACAAACCACAGTGGTAGCGGTAGCGGCAGCGGCAGCGAAAACTTGTCTTCGTACATTTAAATGAGAAACCTCATACTGCCCCGAAATTTTTCGCTGCGGTAAATTTTTACCGCAAGATCTGCAACTAAATTATTTATTTTTTCGCTGCATCGATTATTATTTCGCTTACCGCAGCGGTAAATAAATTTAACTAGAAATCGTAGTCCGTTGAAAATTATATGTACGACAGAATATTATGGAGTATAACTTTTGTAATATTGGTAAATTAATTTGTATCTGTATTTAAGTTATACCAATGCTTATAGTCTGATATGTACCTCGACGATAAATAATAAATGATAAATGTTAAACGATAAATAATCGATTAACGGTATAATCGTTATCGATTTATCTTTATTTATTTAATCGTTATCGATTTATCTTTATTTATTTAATCGTACTCGGTTTATCACCAATATTCGTTTAGTTTATTCGTTGTACGTTTGTATAAAATATTAAAATATTATCATTATCATCAGTATAATGATTATCTACGGTGATACAAATCTAAAACAAATTCTGATCAGGCAAGTTGCATATGTGAAATAGAAAATATGCACACCAGGTGATTCATTTAAGTGAGTACACTCATTATCTCGGAAAGTATTAACTTTGCCCGGATTTTGTTTCCTAGAATATTTAAGAAACGAGCTGATATAAATTTTTTTTTTTAAATTTCAAGTCTACAAATGTTTTTGACTGATTTACATTTATTTGTTGTAAAAAATAACAGAATTGAAAAATAGTAAAAGCATTATTTTCGTAAATTTCCCATTTTTTCTTGCGTTTTATCCTGGTTTTTCCCAGATATTATGAAAACCACTTGGAAAATCAAAAAATGATCTCTCAAAAGTACCATCTGGACAACATTCCCTTTCAAAAATAATGCCGCGCGTATATATCTGGTTACTATTTCTGGTAAAATTTTGTACATAGGATAAAAAAATAAACATCTTAGTAAAACCAATACATTCTTCACTCAGAATCTAAAAATTACATTATGATAAACTTTTTTTTTTCGATCATTAATAATACTTGAACTTGTCAAACAATAATTCTTGACTAACCAACTAAATAACATTTTCTTTTAAAAAATAATCTACTCTTAAATGAATAGAAAAATACTGCGGTGCCTTAAATATTTATCCGTTTTCCCTATACGTTTTTTCCGAGTTGTCCTAATTATTATGAAAACTGCTTGGAAAAATAAATGTCTTCTTCAATGCATAATGCACTAACTGGATCCATAACTTAACAAAAAAAGGCATCTTGTCGTTTTTCTATTGGAGAAAAATGTCTGGTAGAAAAGTTATTTACAAAGAGAAAATGTTTAATACAAAAATTAATATCATATACTTATTGGTTTAAGCAAATCAATACGTATTAGGCAAGGCTCAAAATTAAAAATAATAATAGCTCACGCAATAACATAAACGTCACGTACTATTTTAAATATTCGAAAAACCGTCAATATTATCTGCATTTGTATCAATGTTATCAGTGAATGGCGTGAAATCAATACTGTTTTACGGAAATAAATCTTGAACCTACTAGGATTTACTAATTCACACCCAAAAACTTGTGGTGAAATTAAAACGACGGATTAACTAATATGGACTTTAACTCTAATATGTTGGTCGGTTTATAATTGTCCCGACCAACCCGATTGTATGAATACAATTTACGTTCAATGTAAATTCATAAAGAATAAATTAAATTACCTGTATAATGTTTCTTGTTCTCGGCAGTGGTCTGTTAAAAATATAACGTACCAAGGTATACACTAGGTACTAAATAATCGTGTTCACTGGATAAGAAATAGAAACACCCGTGAGCCGTAGAGCTTCGTCACTCAAGAAATTTACCAGCGTAAATCGATGTGAAACACTTCGTCGGAACTATTGACAATCTCGATAACTTTATGTTATTTTACACAGGTTTGGTTAGAAATTCGGATCATTAAATTCGACTCCCCCCACTTCAGAACGTAACTTGTCGATTCCCGCTAAAATTCAATACTACTTATCATAATTTGTAGACAATAGAATTTGTATTTTATTTATTACTTATTGTTAATTATTGTGTGTATATATAACAGTATATATATATATATATATACTGTTGTACCTACCTATATAAGCGGATAGCACTAATTTTAATATTTTCAAATGCAAGTAGACATTTTATTTTATACATATTTTTACAGGCTAACAAATAATTTGATTTGAATTGGTTACTTAAAACATATATTTTTAATAACCAACCGAATTGTAATTGATATCTCTTCAGACACTTACTATTAAAACAATATCTTAATTTATTTACAACTATAAGGAAAACACATGAATGAAAAACAAAATGAATAAGTACCTATTTAATGTATTAACTAACAGGTGCAACGGGTGTAAACGGTATAAAATAGATCGTATAATTCGTATAAATTGATAATTGATTAGAGAAATACATTAATGATACCGTAGCCGATAAATTTTAGGCATATTGCCTGTGATAAAATCACGGTGGCCGAAAAAAAATTAAACTACTCAGCCATAAATATGAATTGGTTTAAATTGACGAATTTCGAAAAACCACATATGTTTACATTTTAGAGGAAATTCAAATTAGTTTGCAGTGGCGAATTTTTCGACTACCTACAGTCCGAATACTACAATAATACAATGCTACATACCTATATACTTGTTATCAAATCGCTAGCTTCACAATTGATTTGGTAAAATGATTGCCTGTTGAAGAAACGATTTTTATCTTTCAAGATAAAAATTTTGTCCCAATTTTGTATCGATTAAAAATTGAAGTTCTTCAATTTTATTGAATTGATAACATAATATATTTTTCAGTTTGACTGTTTTTTCTTATCATACACGTTTAATTAAGCGTTAATAGCCTGGGTTATTTAGTATTACTGTATAATAACTATTAACTTTCATATAATAATTTAACAGTGTACTTATTTAAATATATCATCATAACCATGATGGGTTTACTAATTGTTAAAGTTTGTTTTTTTCTTAGACTTTGATACATATTTTTTACTTCGATTTGCTTCATTAAACATTTTTGACTAGTATTATAACACGAAAATAAATTTACTGAAAGAACTGTAGGCATGAGACATGAGTGGATAATCAAACAATTTTTGTTTACAATCATGATATCATTGTGAATTGTAATTGTATACCATAAAACCACAACCACATTAAATTTGTACGGAAAGGTTTATGCAACAGGGCATAAACCTTTATGGGCACAATAAAGTTATTTATCCAATTGTTTTTCAATACGATATCATAAGTTATCGAACTGTTTTTATTGATTGTTTATGTAAACCGGCATACGTATTCTCTTTCCAGACTTCCCAATTTATATAATAGCGGCACTCCCATAAGTAGTATCAGTTATTTTTTTTAAAATTATATCTTTAATTATTCGAATGACACGTAATCAATGAAATTATTTTTATAATATACTAAGTATTTGAAAATAGAAAATAATAATAAACTCCCTACCTATATACATTGAAATATTAAACAATAAGCAAATAAACAGAATGACAAGGGTATAGTATATTGCAACGATAAGTAATTTCAAATGAAAAATACTACATTTGAGTGGAGTAGTACCTATTGGTCAATGGTCATATATTTTTTCCTTGTCATCGAGGTAACCCAGAATTTAATACAAATTTAAAAGGCCCCAATTGATAATTTATTTTGATCAATCGTTTTAAATAAAATACTACCAACAAGAAATTTTAAGTACTGCTTGGGAAAATCGGAACATGCTGCGGTACTTCAGTGCACTTTTTTTGATAACCTATAATGTTATGCTAAAAATTGTTCGATTTTGCTGGAGTAGGGAATAGGGATGTTATATACAAATTCTGGAATTGGTCTTATGAATTTAAACTAATTTTGTACTTAGTAAACTAATAAATAAATAATGGGTTAGGGTGTTTACAAGAATAATGGCAAATGTACAAAAACCTTGCGATGTTTTGTTTTTTTGCCCACTCAATTAAATTGAGAAATCTACTGTTACTGAATGTCAATACATCAACTATACAACATTATTAGTTAAACTTTTATAGTTTTTAATAAAGAATTACTAAAAAATCAAAGTACTTCTCTACCCATAAATTATAATAATTTGATTATAAAATATATTTAAAGTACAAGAATGTCCAAATTTATACAATATATGAATTTAAATAAATTACTATACATATAAATGTATGCTAACGGACTGTTTAAAATATATTTGTTCTCTTTAACCGGGTCCATACTGGTAAAAGTTTACGCTGTGTGTCAAATGTAAAACGCCCCACTAATATTTATAGAAAAATAAATTTACTGTTTATTTATAAATAAATATTTACGGCGTGCGCTATTTATCCAGGATCAACATGTGCGTTTTATCGTAAATTATTATTTCGACCATCGGTTTATAACATTTAATTTTTATACCTATATACATTTATCAATATTCAAAATATTTTTAAATATTATATTATTATGAATATCAGGTTTTATAAAAATTTGGCTTACAATTTTATGCCAACAAATACTATGAGAACTATTTATCTAGCTCTGTATCCATACATTTTTCAGTATCGTTTATTAGCGTGGGGTGGTTAATCTATAAATCCACTAAGGCCCATGATTATACATCAAAATATAATAATAATAATATAAAACATAAATATAACAAATATTATATATAATTATATATATAATAATAATATATATTAATAATATAATATCAATATAGAACAAGTAGTATAAAAGAGAACATATAAGGTGATCAATCTATCGTAAGACACCTATTACCTCGGAAAGTGTTTATTTTTTTTTTCAAAATTTGTTTTAAAGAACATTTAAGAAACGAGCTATTCTAAACTTTAATATTTTTTGTTACCCTAATTTTTGGGCATGAAATGACTATATACTTTTGATTTTCAAATGACAATCTACGTATATTAAAATACATATATTACGTATATTAAAAATTCTATAAATAAATGGAGTAGTAGTTAAAATACATTTTGGTGTTTAAATTTTTAATTTCCGTCAATCCATTGACAAGATATTCTACTTTTAAGTTTGAGTCGGGGGAAAATAGTGGAGCATAATTTGTGGGGGGGGGGTACAGCACTCGGCGTTTTAAAAATGTACCACTACTCTCCCCTGAATAAAATTAAAAGTAAAATATTTCGTTAACGGATTGACAGAAATTAAAAATTTAAATACCAAAATTTGTTTTAACTACTATTCCATCTATGTATGGATTTTTCATATAGGTTGCCATTTGAAAATCAAAAGTATATAGTACTCTTATCCTCAAAATTAGGGTAACAAAAAATAACATAAATGTAAAATTTCAGAGCTGTTTGTTTCTAACATTTTCTAAAAAACAAATGTCGAAAAAAGTTAATACATTCCGAGATAATGAGTGATAGATTAATAACTCTGTGTAATGTCTATTTAATTATTTTACCAAACTATGTTATATATATATATTTTCTACAAAACATCACTATCAACTGAACTCCACTTAGAATCGTTTTTCATCAACAATGGTTTATCGTTGCTTACAGATATACATTAAATTTCTTTCTGTATCCTACAGTAGCGACTCGTGAGTAAATATTCTGGGGAGACTTAAATTATATAATATAAATTCCATACAACAACGAACAAGAAAAACCTTTTTATTGGAAAAATTAATTATAATAATACTTCATTTAATATTTAATTAATATTTTTAACTAAATTTAATACTAAATTTGTTTACAAACTAATTCAGTTCTGCGATCTTTTTTTATCTGCAAACGGCGCAGCGGCACGGCAATAACTGTTGTGAACCCAGGTTCAATAGCGTCTATAATACGTGGCTTATTCTCCCCAGCCTCCTCCGTCCAACCAGCCATGCCATTACATGTTACGATGGAAACTGTCGGGCTTCAGTTTCGCTGAACCGGCCACCGTCGTAGAAATGACTAAAATGGTATTTTCATCGAAATAACTATTAATAGGTTTTATTTCATTTATAATTTATAATAATAAACAATGAAAACGGTATAATATATTTTCAATTTAAACAAAAATATCTCTATATGTTATTATTTTTAATTAATTATTATTTACAAGTAGCTGTTTTTTTTTTTCAAGTGGAGACGCAGTCTCAAAGTCTCCCCTGACGAGCCGCCCCTGGTATCGTACCTTCCCAACTTCCCGCCTTTAACAGTGGCTGCACCCGCATGTAAAGTATGTCCGTCTTTTTATTATTGTGCAATTATTTTGTAACTCTGTATCTCCGCCACAAGCATAGCTTGAAGGAGATATGCATTATTTAATATTTTATTAAGTAATATAATTGCACATTATTTTTTCGTTGGAAATAAAAAAAATAAAAATATTAATAAAAATTAATTTGAACAAAGAATACGTTATTTTTCTTATTCAAGAATACGAAAAACAGAGTTTGTGTAATAGTTTGAGCGCTATGTATAATCTAATGATTTAAACAGTTTTAAATTTTAATCAAAAGTTTAATTTAAATAACAATGTATTGTATAATTACTATTTATGATTATTTTTGTGAACAGAAAAACACACCATGAAAAAATATGTCCGCGCTAGAATAATGTTGTGACGAAAATTTCTGTTATGGCGCGAAAAACCCATGACCGACGAATCATGTGTGTAGAATGCGCCGAAAATATTTCTGTGCGTTGTTATGTAGTGGTGAATACGTCCACACACGCACACATTTTGTGCCGCACGAACAAATTTGCGCTAAATGCGACGCATAACGAACATTTTTACTAGTGTGGACGTGACTTTACAATAATACCTATCTATCAAAATGTATTTATTTTTTTTTTATGTATTGCCCTTATGAAGAAAGAAGGTGAAGTGGATGGATTTATTAATTATTTAATTAATTTATTATTAATTTTAACACCTCATAGTTTATACCACGTTTCCGAGTAGTCGGGATGATCTTGTATATGAAACGAACCTAGGTTTAGATTTTGATGGTAATTAAAATAACTTGGTCGTTTTCAAAATGGCACACAACTATGTGATTCAAGGTAGGTTGATCCGCGAAGTGAAGAGATCGAAAACTATATATTGGGAATAGCGAAATTTCCAGCATATTAAGATGTATTTGATGTTGCGTTGATATCGTTAACATTAAACGTTTATGGAAAAAACGAAAAATAATTTAATATTTATGCAATTGTTTAGTTCACTCGTGTGGTATATACCAGTAAAAAAATTGACAACAACGCTTAAAATTTCGTATGCAATCGTGTACCCGAAAATCAGGTACCTAACGTTGTACGCAATCGTGTAGCTTAAAGAAACTCGTGGTTTATGTTTATATAGCAGAGCACTGCGAATGAACTTTATCTAAAAGGCACGTTCTTCTGAAAAATGTATGAACCGCTGCGTGCTTAGACCATGTGCGTTGAAACCTATGATGGGTACTACGAAGTAAGCGGTATCTATGCGAGAAAAAAAATGGATCATTTGAATTGCTTCGGGATCTTTTATGATATATAATATAATATACACACGATACTCTTTTATAAATATTAAAAAAAGATCGTTTTTAAACTATTTCAACTTCTTCTTGATTTAAGAAATCGTATCAAAGAAATATATAATCGAAGAGTACATTGTTTATACTATGGTATTGAATAATGGACAATAGCTAGACAAACTGGACGTGAACATTTAACATTTAAGACAAATCGGTGACACATGTTTGCCTATAATCTGAATTTATTTTAAACAATTTATCTAACCTTATAAATTTTAATCTATATTTACGTTTTTGTATATATGCATTTATGTTATATTGTATTGCATTATTATGGTCATACGAAAATAAATTAATAAATAAATATATAAATGATGGATCGTGGTTTACGAAAAAAGGGAAATTTCAATTTAAAACTAACAAGAATAAAATGTAAATTATTATCAAGACCACTGAGACTAAAAATGCTAGTAATGTGTAATAGGCCATGGTCAATCTGAAACAAAAAAAAAAAACCAAAAGAGATTTACACAGAGTGTCACACAAAATTATTTTGATCATTGCGATATCCTACTTTTCTAATTTTTTTTTTTAAAAATTCCGAATAAAGTGGTAAAAGTACTTTCCAAGATACCGGATCATATTTTCGTGGGACACCTGTATAGTGGGTACATTATTATATCGTAATATTGCTACGAGTGATTTTACTAACTTTTTTAAGCGTTTAATTCCTTTCGAAAGGGTTTCTATCGGTTCATTAATAATGTACAAACAAACGCCTATCGAGTGATAGTGGCAATAATCGAGCCATTTAAATCCGGTCATATCGAATTGGAATAGAGACCGGTCAACCTCGGACATCTTACTCAACAATGTTCGCCTCGCCGAACATCCACGATCGCATACCAAAGTATTTTATGACCTCAGCGAATATGTGTAACTTTCTGTAACCGTCAACTAATCTGGAAAAGAAAAAAGGATAGAAAATTAATAATTAATATAAGAGTATAACCTTACTGCTTTCCTGGTTTATCGGGTACACTTACTGTGGGTTCTTTCCCATGATTTTGGCCATGGAGTCGATAATATACGCTGGTAAGATGTGCACTAGGAAACTTAAAACCAAGTACTCATATTTGTTAGGTGTTAACTTAATCATAATCGGCCAAAGCTTAAAAGAAAAAAAATATTTATAATCCATACGTTATCAAATTAGTGTTATACTATACCGTTAAAAAGTAAAACACTAAATAAAAATACTGTACATACTCACCTGTCGTTTACTGGGTATCCTATGCCCGTAAATTTTGTTGTATTCCGAAAACTCTTTTCAAGTAATTGGGTTCGTGTTCGAAGACACGTAATTGTAAATAAGCGGCGAAAAATGTTTGTTGTCCAGACTGCAGCAATCGTCTTTAATCGTAGTTTTCTCGTTGTGCTGGTTCCTATATGTAATTAGTGAAATTCAAAACACAGCAGTATACTTATTAAGTCGATCCCAAATTATAATGAGAAATAATATTATTTTATATTTAAAAAAACGAATTTTCTAGGCATAATATTGCGGATTATGCACGGAAATGGTGAAGGTGGAATTTCTACATGCACACCGCATGGAAGATTTTTCAATCGCGCCGTGTGTTTGGAATTTTTGGAATATTGTACAGATATTATAGAAGGTTTTGCGGTTCCCTGTAGTTTGATGCCATATGTCCATAATAGTTGGAGTTAAAAAGAAGTAATTAGCAGTAATTAAATTACTTTTTTCCACGTAACGCAATTGTGACGAAATTATTATGTAAATTTAATTTTTCCTTACATAACGTATTAAGTTTTTATAAAACTAAGGGGACCTAATTTAAAATAAAATTGATTGTGTATTTGAATCACATTGTTAATGTGTTTGTCCTTTGTAGTCAACATAATCCAGAATTCTACAAAAATATAATTCATAATATGTATCGTTCGTGTTCAATTGTTCAATTTGTTTAAATCCGGTGGAGAAAAACCGTTGGAAATCTAGATAAATGATTCAAATAAAAATTACCGGATGAAAAATGTATATCTTTGAAATCTTGCCAGAAAAATAAGAAAAATAGTTTATGAAGGGAAAAACAGAATCTAAAAAACAAATTATTTATAACGCCTAATTTTTTAAATCAAAATACAACGTAATGTTACATTTGAAATTACATCATTATAAATAATCATTTTTTTTATTTGTTACATGAAATGTAATTTTAAATATTTTGATAATGGTTGATTATAATTTATCCTTCACTGCAGATTTTGTAGAGAATACATTATAACACCGGGATCGTGTTTAAGCGTAATTTCGGAAATGTTTACCATTTATTGTGAAAGTCCCAAGCGCAGGCCAACACCGCGTTGCTGAAGTAGTCTGCGGGCACCATTTCGGCTATTCCGTCGGGTTTGGAAAGCATGACCCTCATAAGGCCTATGTCAGCAGCTGCGACCACTCCTGTTGGCCCGTAGAAATTGTTGATCCATCCGGGAATTGGTTCTTTTACCGTGGCAATAACTAGGAAAAAAAAATGATTCGCTTAATAATTTATGTCATGAAGTAAGTTATGGTAGACTGGAAACGAGATAAGGATAATCATCACTTAAATTATAATAATAATCAGCGTTATCAGAATAAGAATAATCATCACTTAAATATTAATAATGGTCATCAACAAAAAAAACATAACAAGAATCAGCGTTATCAGAATAAGAATAATCATCACTTAAATAATAATAATGATCAGTAGCAGCATAATAAGCAATAAACCAAAAAAATAAACTTGATAATAAGAATCAGAATAATCAGAATGAGAATAATCATCAATAAAATAATAATAATAATCAGCAGCAGCATAATAAGCATCATAAAAAAAAAAAAAAAACATGATAATAAGCATCAGCATTAACAAAGTAAGAATAATCATCACCTAAATAATAATAATGATCAGCAGCAGCATAATAAGCATCATCAAAAAAAAAAACATGATCGTAAGATTCAGCGTTATCAAAATAAGAATAATCATCACTTAAATAATTTTAATGATCAGCAGCAGCATAAAAAGCATCATCAAAAAAAAAAACATGATCGTAAGATTCGGCGTTATCAAAATAAGAATAATCATCACTTAAATAATTTTAATGATCAGCAGCAGCATAATAAGCATCAAAAACAAAAAAAAAACATGATAATAAGAATCAGCATAATCTGAATAGGAATAATCATCACTTAAATAATAATAATAATAATCAGCACAATACTAATAATAATCATCAACAAAAAAACATAATAAGAATAAACATCACTTAAATAATAATAATGATCAGTAGCAGCACAATAAGCATCAAAAAAAAAAAAAACATGATAATAAGAATCAGCATAATCTGAATAAGAATAATCATCACTTAAATAATAATAATAATAATCAGCACAATAATAATAAAAATCATCAACAAAAAAAAACATAATAAGAATAATCATCACTTAAATAATAATAATGATCAGCAGCATCATAATAAGAGTCCAAAAAAAAAAAAAACATGATAATAAGAATCAGCATAATCTGAATAAGGATAATCATCACTTAAATATTATTGATGATCAGCAGCATAATTATAATAACAATCATTAAAAAAATAAAGAAAATAATAAGAATCAGCATAATCTGAATAAGGATAATCATCACTTAAATATTATTGATGATCAGCAGCATAATTATAATAACAATCATTAAAAAAATAAAGAAAATAATAAGAATCAGCATTTTCAGAATAAGGATAATCATCACTTAAATATTAATAATAATCTGCAAAATAATAAAAATAATCGTCAAATAAATAAAACATAACATAACTATAATAATCAGCACAATAACAATAATCAGCGTTATTAGAATAAGAATAATCATTACTTAAATAATAATAATGATCAGCAGCAGCATAATAAGTATCATCAAAAAAAAAAACATGATATAAGAATCAGCGTTATCAGAATAAGAATAATCATCACTTAAATAATAATAATGATCAGCAGCAGCTTAATAATCATCGTCAAAACCAAAAAAAAAAACATGATATTAAGAATCAGCGTTATCAGAATAAGAATAATCATCACTTAAATAATCATAATAAAAATCAGCACAATAATAATAACAATCATTAAAAAAATAAACAAGATAATAAGAATCAGCATAATCAGAATAAGGATAATCATCACTTAAATATTATTGATGATCAGCAGCACAATTATAATAAGACTCATCAAAAAATAAAAACTTTATTTTATTAATCAGTGCAATATAATAATCAGCACAATAATAATAATCAGCGTAATCAGAATGAGAATAGTCATCACTTAAATAATAACAATGATCAGCAGCAGCTTAATAAGCATCATCAAAACAAAAAAAAAAACATGATCGTAAGATTCAGCATTATCAAAATAAGAATAATCATCATTTAAATAATTTTATTGATCAGCAGCAGCATAATAAGCATCAAAAACAAAAAAAAAACATGATAATAATAATCAGCGCAATCAGAATGAGAATAATCATCACTTAAATATTAATAATGATCAGCAGCAGCAGCATAATAAGTATCAGAATCAATCATCAGTTTCATATTTTACCCAACAAACTACCAAAAATTGCCCCATTTCAACACCATAAATTTGTATGGACTTGGGAAAATTTTATTGCCGGCCAATTTAAAAACGGCCGGAATGAGTTTTAAGAAATATACCGCAGAGGACAACCATATAAATTCTAAATTCGACAAACAGCCGAATCAGCTGATTCAGGGCCTAAAATATACATCAGATTTTAGGGGATACAGTTTTTAATTCGGTCGATAGAGTTAATAGATTTTCATAGCCAAAAAAAAAAAAAAAACCTATGGCAGGACGTAGTTATGGGATAAATTTAACAATAATGATTAACATTAATAATGATCATTTAAATAATGATAAAATGTTCGTGGCCTACCCATCGTGCAAAGTATGTCCAGTTGTTTTTTTTTTGTGAAGTTCAAACATTGATATCGAAACGTATGTTAGTATTTCGTCGTTATTTCTTACGTTATTAATAACGCAGAAGGCTATTTTACATATTTTTTTTAATTCGTTCGCTAACTAGCAATGTTAGTGTTTGTCAGAAGCGCGCGTTAACTGCTATAGTTTTGCATAATTTAAAGGTCAGATTGCATATGGGTCGTTGGTACGATGAATAATTTAAACCGAAAAACGATCGTCAGTGAACTTTGACTTGTGCAGCGTACTCGCATTGGAATCCAGCTAATATGTTCTTGAATAAGGGTGGAGTTACACATCACTATCTAAATTTTAAATTAAGAGTATATGATTTGGAAATTCAAAGATAATTAATTTTTAAAGTCGGCCAAATGAATGATTATTAAACATTTTTACTAAGAACTTAAATTAAAACCTTACGGTACTAACCTCAGTATTTTTTCCAGAATCAAATTGCCCATAAATCCGGTGGCGCCGGTTAAAAATATCATCGTGCCGTTATAGAAAGATACAATTTCCGATTGCATATCGGTCGCACTAGAATCGATACTGCCTGTCTTCGTCGTACCACTAACCATTCTGAAATACAATATTAAATGCGAATATTCTTTTAGATTCTACTCGAAACGAGAAATGTTTTGGTTTCTCTATAGGATGATAATAAGCATAAATAACCATTAGATCACGAAAATTTTACTTTAATAAGGACAATATAGAGTAATTTAACATAACATATAATATTCGCATAATATCAGAACTTCAAAAAGGTATAATTTCGAAACTTAGTCAGCCCGTTTAATTCTGACATCGACTTCGTTTTAAAATCGGCAATATACATATGTTCAAAAATAAAAAAAAAATAAATAAAAAAATAAGATTTGTTCCACATAGCTTTTTGCTCAAACAATTTTCGTCAAAATTTGATACTAAAATTACTTTATAAAAAAAAAAAATATTACATTAAACTCAAATTGTTATTTTTATCACAAAGCAAGACTCTTAACGAACCTCCTGATAAATGTTGAAGCATTTCTGTTCAAGTCTGACAATTTTATCACAGAGTACTTACCAAATAAATATTTCTTACAGTTATTCGAAAATAATAAGAAAACATCCGGCCGAGCTTTGTAAAATATTTGTAAACCAGGCCGTGCCTTTGTACAATAACAAAGAATCTAGGCTGGACCGGGCTTTGAGAAAAATATTTAAACCAGGTTGAGCCTGGCTTTTTCTAATAAAATACCGGTCAAAGTTCTGTGAATTCTGTCAAAATTTAAAACATTTAACAATAACTCCGTAACAATAGATTTTATAGTACTACAAAGAGAATGTATGTTAAACCTTGAATAAAATTGTCAAAAAGCCTGCCAATTGTTACCCACAAAAAAAAGTCACATTATAGACATTCATATTTTTAAATGTCATACTATTATAATCTACATTGTTCTTGTACTGTTGCTCTAATGTTAAAAAAAAAAAAAAATAGATATTAACGGATAGGAAAAAAAAAATAAATAAAACAGCCATCGTAGTAAAACCTGAATCATAATTTAAAAAAAAAAAAATCTGGTTTTTAAATTGAATTACTTGCATGATAATTTTTCCCTCGGAGCGTCTATTGAAAGTTATTCTTTATGCAGCGCTATAAATGCAGTTTTAAATACGGTTACAATAATTGTACTAGCAGCACAGTTCGATTACTCATATAGTCCAGTACTATTAACTGCGAAAAAAACAGTCTACGGTTATCACACTAAATTCTATTTGAATAAAAAATACGTAATATTATTTTCCATGAGCTCAGGTCGGTAATTCCGAAACGCCTATTCTAGAGGAAACGTGGATCGCATATTTTGTATACTTAAATAAATTACATGCATGTCATAGTAGGTACTTAATTTATTTTTCTTAGTTCAAATGTTTCACATCGGAATAGTTTTCTCTTTTATAACTGCATTCTTTTGTCATGTAATATTTGTTTGTATTTTTAGATTCTGAGAGTAGCGAAGATTGTATTGGTTTATTTTTTTTTTCTATGTGAACACTTTTTCTACCAAAATATTTACTTCAGTGTAATATGATGTAGATCTTTTTCTGAAAGGAAATTTGTATGGGTTAGTAGTTAAAGGAAGTCATTTTTCGATTTCCCCGGCATTTTTCCCAATAAAAGAGGAAAATGTACGAAATATAATAGTAATTATTAAATATATTTATATTAATATTTTTCCGAAGGTAATTTTTTCAGAATGGTATACTCCACGAATACTATTAATTGATTTTACACGAATATCGTACTTCCCGAATAATACGTGAATACTCGAATACATAATTATGGTCTTCAAGGGTTGGTTCTCGTACGACATTTATTTTCTGTTCAGAAATTTTAGTGATAGTTGTCGTTTTACACAGTTTGCCACGTACTTGTTTGCACTCCCAGTATATTTTCCCATTAATGGGCATTTTAGCCAGCACATACACGAAATCATCGTAAATTAATTTAGATTCTTTCAAAATTGTAGTTACACTGTTTGGCGTCATATTTTAAAAAATACGGACGCACAACTATACGTGTTATAACTATTTAAACATACTGAACAACAACAAAAATAATAATTGTGTTCAATATGTATTTCACATAGGTTTTACACTGAATTTATACCAGCTATGATATCTACAACAACAAATCATGTAAATAAAAATTAAAAAATATTCGACAGATAATATTTTAGTCATTATTGCACGAGAACCGTGTAAAATGTATCAAACAACCTAAACAAAAATTTAAAAGGGGGCCTCTCCGTATTTCCCCGTAACAATTACAATTATTAAACGTTTTTGCCCGGTAAAATCCAATAGGCATATCTCCCAGCTCAAATCTAGGTAAAAAATTAGAAAAAAAATTGAAACAAATGCATAATATTTGCTTTTATTTGTTTTTCCTACCATATTCAGAACTATATTATTATAATTTACCAATCGGAAAATATACTAATGAGAATAATAACATTCGGGCCAAATGGTTCGTGAAATATGGTTTCGTAAGAAATACTATTCGGAATATATATTCAATTCGAGAAGAATGGTAATCGGCAAAATGGATGTTCGGGAAAAATACCGGGAATCGGTTTGTTCAAATAATGTTTATTTTTTAATTTGTTCTGTACAACTCTTCTACCGATTTACAATGAAAAATTATGATTCCGACAAAAAACGGTTTCTACAAAGTATTTTTCCAAGAAATACTGTTGTGAAAAAATATTTTCCAGTATTTTATACGCCCCCCAGTATTGCGGTAAATTTAAATATATAACCCGCAGTACAGAGTACTCGAGTCTGGGTCGCACTTGACCAGGTTTTGTGTACAATATTTTTCCGTATTATACTGTATTATCATGTTCGACTATCATACACGTGCGTGTACATAAGATTGCCTATATACTATTCTACGTATGACGTATCCTCTGCACCCAATATTTAAGGTGTTGTATATAAGCAATTTGTACGACTTTTAGAAAAATAGGTTTTAATCTTGATCGGTTATTTTTTTATTTTGTATTTAGTTTTTTTTAATAATCCGTAAAACCTAAAAAATGTAGAAAGAACAGTTAAGTTTACAAAATTATAGTTATTTTAGATTTCTGAGTGTAGTGAAGAATGGTTAAGAATACTAAGATGTTTATTATTATTTTTTTTTTATACTGTGTACAAAAATGCGACCATAAATTTTGCTCAGATATATACACACGGCACCATTTCTGAAAGGAAATCTTGTCCAGATGATATTTTAGGGAGGTCATTTTTTGATTTTCCAAGTGGTTTTTATAATATTAGGGGAAAACCAGGATAAAACGTAACAAAAACAGGAAATGTAAAAAAATGCTTTTATTATTTTTTCAATTTTGTTACTTGTTGAAATTCAGTAAAAAATTTCGTATCGACTCGATGGAATTAAAATCTGGACAAAAAACATATGCCTTTCAATGTAGTATTTTTTTTTAAACCGAAAAAACGGAAAAATTGGTACTATATTAAACAAATATTATTAAAGAAAATATGTAATGTCCATTTAATTATTTTACCCTATGACATATATATTGTTGACAAAGCATCACTATCAACTGAAATGCGCTCAGAATCGTTTTTTCGTTAGCAATGGTTCATCGTTGCTTACAGATATACAATAAATTACCTATAACAGTAGCTGTACCCATTTCTATTTCTATTATCTTCTATTATCCTAAAATGTTCAATTTTGGTTTTTTATTGTAAATAAATAATTATAAAATAAAATATTTCTAGAGACTTGAAATTTTGATAGAAAACTTATATTTGTATTTTTTAGATGTGGAAAAATTCATAACTGGTGACTTTTGAGCTATTTATATTTAAATGTTTTTTAAGTAGTTTCTTATTTGTTAGGTACTATAGGGATATAATTGATTGAATAGAAATGCTTGAAAACTCAACAGGTGTTTAACAGAAATTAAACATATTTACCTTTTCTTAAACCAGCGTTCGCTATTATTTTTTATTCCCCTGTCAGTTATTATATACGTTTATATATACGTAAAAACCTATTATTTAGATTCATTATATTTCTAATAAATTATTGTTTTGATAATTTTAAGTTTCCAAAAAATTTGGTTCGAAACAATTTATTTTCTACCTCGTTTATTTACTATAATTTTATAAATCTATAGCCGAAAATATCGTCACTCTTATTTACTAATTCTTCAATTTCGTTAAAATTATTTTCCAATGAATTCAAATCTAACTATTATTGCTCTTGATTTGTATTTTCTGTGCATGTATTCCATTTCATTATCATTACTATGCACGCTGTATATTGCACGTAACTATAAAACCAGCAGAACGAATAGCACTTTATTTTTTTTTCGACCGGTTTTTGCGATGATAAACGACTAAAAATGTGAAGTGTGCGACTTATAGTTCTCTAAAAAATGTCTGAATTGTAATTTTAAATAGCTATTCATACACATGTTATGCAAAGTTCGTATAAAAAGGGGTGTTGACCCTCAACCCTACCTCCAAGTGTGCCCCTGTACAAAACCACGCTGTAAATATATAATTATATTAACATTAAAACGAATAACGCTCTTGAGTATACTTCATACGTAATCGTCTATATGACCGCGAATCCGTCAGATTTCAATTAGGTATTAGAAAGTTTTTCCGTCGTCGATCCGCGTAAACCAGTTTTACGTAATACCCATTAATAATAATTCAGTGTCAGTAAACTCTCCGCATGGTATAATACCATGTTTCGTTTATTTTTAATTTAAAGTTTATCCGGCCATTGAGGAAACCACACAATTATTGTACCTATACATATATTGTAATCATCAATTATTACCATTAATATACCATTATTATCAACATAATAATATTTCAATGATAAAGTATAAAGGCGCCCATACGGTAATTTTCACACCGGGGAAAAGGTGAAACTAGATTCCAAAACCAAGAATTTCTTTTGCAATTTTTGGTTTTAATACTGTCATTTTTTAAACCATAGCATATAATAATGAATAATTTAATTCAATTTGTTTGTACTTTTGTTATTTTATATAAGGGGACATGTGTGGACTCTTGCCCACCAATGTGTACCCATGAATATATTATATATAATTAGTAATTTGGACAAAATAAATTGTTTAAATAAGAATCAATAATAATAATAAATTATACAGGCCAAAGAGAAAATAATGAAAATTAAATTAAATTTTATTATTAGGAAAACATTATTTTTAAGCATTTCTGATAATTTTAAATCACAAACGATAATTTGATTTTTTCTACTACTAATCGAAAATGTGTTTCTCGAGGAAAGAAACCAAGCAAAGGATATAAGGGATGCATTGCTCACAATTTCAATACATTTTCAAATTAACCAACACCGTATACAAACACAGAATCTGTTTAGATACTGTTTGAGTAATGGGCACATTAATTAATAGGCAATTTATTAATTAAAAATGTAATATTATACTTTCATATCAATCGCAAAATATTAATAAATGAAAACGCAATAATCTATGTATTATTTATTAATAATAGGTATATACACAAATAAATATAATGCCTCCGTTTATAAAAATATAAATTACACATCGAAGATCGTTTTTAAATGTATAAATCATCTCAATCTAAACACGTTTATAAAAAATAAAAATGAAATGTTTTTACTGGATATTCTATACACGCGAGCATTCTAACAATTTGAATTCTAATACATAATAAATTCCTATAAAAAAGTTTAAAAAAAAATAATTAAAAGTACAAATTCTAAAACATCGTACAGTAATAAGAATTCCAGTAAAAATTTAAAAAAAATATATACATAAGGTAAAAATAATACAAATATTATTTATAATATATTTTTATAATTTGATTGCCGTTTACATATCATCATAGGAATAACGGGGAATTATGTTTATTCGTCAATTAAATAACAAAAACAGTAAGTAAATTATCAGCAATGCGAATGCGACTAAAAACGCTATTAATGTGTAATAAATCATGTACAATCTGAAAAAAAAATATATTATTATTATTATGCTATTTTTGTCGGTTAGAAGTTTACTATAAATAGTTCATAATAACCAAAAGCGGTGCAACAGATCGTTAAAATTAAAACAACAATTTTGAAGTTTATGTTAAGACATTTAACAGTGGCGAATATGAGAGAGTGGAAAAATGGGAGCGATTGACCTCCCCACAAAACCCGTTTGATAGTTTAACACCAACTAATGATTATGAAATTAGTTATTTCAGATCTAATATATCCATAATCAATACACAAAATATACATTGTGTTAGGTTAGGAATGCACACGATTTTTTATCAGACACCACTGTATTCCAATTAGATATTAGGTATCAGTGAGATCGTGTGTGATTGTACTATCGATTAGATCTGTCACATGGAAATAACAGTTTTTGGACCGTAGTGTTTCTGTATATAGTTTACTCTGTCTGTGCTGATTACCTCTGATAATGGGTTAAACTGACCGAAAAAGCATGTCTAAGATAATTATTAATAACTATCGTAATGACAAATGCAGTTACTGACCGTTTTACGTGTTTCAATCCCTGCGGCACGGTATCTAACGATTCCTCTCGGAAAATATACTTCCGGATGCCCCTCACGGAATTAAAAAAATAATCATCCCAACTAATTAAGGAAATGTCGAAATTGAAAAGCGTTCGGTCCTCCTTAGACATTCTGCTTATTAGAGCCTGCGTATTCGGCTCGTTCCACTTCCACGAATTTAAAGCAAAGTACTTCAAGATATCGGTGTACTTGTGTAATTTCTCGTATTCTTTCATTAATCTGGAAAGAAAAGAGAAAAAAAACATATATAAATTAAACCGTTCAACGAGTACTTTTCTCGGGGTCACGTGAGCCACCACACAGATACCTGGGCCTCTTTCCCACGAGTTTGGCCAAGGAGTCAAGTACATAAGCGGGCAAGGTGTGCAGGAGGAAACACAAAACCGTGTACAGGTATTTGTTTGGGGTCAGCTTTAACATGATCGGCCAAATCTAAAACGATTTTTAAAATGTCCATTATTTGTCTAATAAAACGCTCGACAATAGAATTTATATGAGCGCGTATCATATTATATAATCAAGTTCTGCAGCAGATCTGTGTACGTACCATCTTGTCTATGGGTATTTTAGTCCCATGACATTTGTTGATCGAAACAAATTCTCGCCACTTCAGTTGGTTCATATTCGAAGACACCAAGTTGTAAATAGACGGCGTGTAACTATCCCGGTCGAAAACATTACCGTTAACCGTTTTTTTATGCTCGATCCTAATATACAAAATTCAATAAGTTCCTAGTACCTAATATAATTTAATATAAGACATTAATTTGTTCAATACCTGTAATTAGATGTAGGCAATTTTTCGGATATTTTTCATAACGAATAGAAAACGAAATAACGTTATGTTGATTTTATTTTGTGCAAATTGTGTAATCGAAGTTTTGAAACCAAATTGATTTACGCACGTATACGCACGAAAATATTATACTATTATAAAAACTTTATAGATTTACAGTATGTAATTTGATCATGTATGGTTATAAGTTTTGACTAAACTAACGGTTAGGTACATTTTAGATTCTGAGTGGAGCGAAGAAACTTATGGTTTTAAAAAGATGTTTATTTTTATTTTTATTTTTCTGTCGACAACTTTTCTACCAGGAGACTTGCTCCGATGGTGACGTGTACCAACTTTTCTGAAAGGAAATTGGTGTAGGGAGATACCTTAAACAGGTAATTTTTCGATTTTCTCCATAGTTTTTTCATCGAATGCGAAAAAACGAAAAAAAAAAGGGAAAAATTACGAAATATAATAAATATAATTTTACATTTTTTTTTTCTGTGGACAATTTTTCTACCAGCAATTTTGCTCCGAATTTTAATAATAGCAATGTTTCTGAAAGATAATTTTACTTGGGAGGTACTTTGAAAAGGTCGTTTTTCCATTTCCCCCGGAGTTTTCTCAGCAAATGTGAAAAACTTGTTAAAACCGGGAAAATCGGTAGAACATTAAACAAATATGATTAAAGAAAATATATAGAGCCTATTTAATTATATTGTTGACAAAACATCACTATCAACTGAACTCCGCTCAGAATAGTTTTTTCGTAAGCAATGGTTTATCGTTGTTTACAGGTATACATGAAATGACCTATAACAGTGGCTGCACCCGTCCCCATTATCCAAGGACGTCTTTTTTGTTTTTATGATATATGTAATGGTATGATTAATATATCTGACTCTAACAGTATTTTATTAGACAATATTTCGTCCGCAACGTATTTTATCCGTAAGTACATGTGAAAAAAAATATTTTATACGTACATCCGAAAAAAATTTGTTGAGAAACGTATTTGATTTCTTGGCGTCACACCCAAAGGCGAAAAACATTTAATTCAGTTTCCTTTTTTTTCTCCTTCGCCTTAATCCCGATATTCACAACTATTTGGGGTCGGCCGCTCTCGTTCTAGAATTCCACTTGACCCTATCCCCCACATCGTCCTCGCATAAACCCGTCGTCCTCATGTCATTCTCAATCGTATCCGACCACGCTCTTATGTCCTCCTTATTTTTGATGTTATTATTTTTGGATTAAATATTTTCGTTCATTAAATTCTCGTATATTTAAATATTCTTCGAGCGAAATACGATATCTTTAAAAATTGTTCGTATTAAATACTTTTGGGAAATTTATTTTCGGTTATTTTATAGTACCTCTTATATAAAAGTCGGAAATTTGGAAAATATATTTGTTTAAAAACAAAAAATGCCTAAGTTTCGAAAATAAACAACAATTACCTATTGTCCGTCTTATAGCCTATTTTGAAACTATTGGGCGCCTTGTAATAATTGCGCATACATTAAGAATGTAATAACAGCATAGCAGTTTAATTTCGTAAACATTACCACTTGTTATGTATATCCCAGGCGCAAGACAACACCGCGTTGCTGACAAAGTCTCCGGGAATGATTTCAGCTATCGCATTCGGGTCAGCAAGCATTACTCTCAAGAGCCCTATACCGGCGGCCGCTGTGATTCCGGTCGGCCCGTAGTAATTGTTTATCCAACCGGGCACGGGTTCGCTTTCCGTACCAATGACTATAAAGGATAAATAAAAATATAAGAAAGTTGTTTCACAAAAAAAAAAAAAAAAAAAGGTATTTAGACCAATCTTTTTAGGGTTTGGATTTAACAGATTTTAATTTTGAAAACGGATTTGGATCAAGTTTAATCAGATTTATAGTATAGGTGATTTTAAATATTCCAAAAATGATTTGATTTTATGATGAATATAAAAATATAATAATTCATCTATAACACAGCTGGAAAAAATATATATAAAATCACCCTCATTGTAAATCGATACAAGGTTGGTAACCAATCAAAAACCTTTTTCAAAATTAAATTTTTTAAACCCAATCCTTACATATTCGTCTGGATTTTCGGTCTAAAACGTAATAGGTTAACGTCAACCTAACCTAATCTAACATATTCATTCGTAAAAATGGTCATAAAGCGGTATGGTATTAAAATCGGAGATATCAGGCAATAGATCAATGGAAACATCTTATCATTAAAATGTTTAGGGCCTATTCTAACCTATTTAAGAGGACCCTACAAAGTGCGTATTTTGCATATGTTTTAGACCAATAAAAGCAATGATGAGAAATATTAGGTAAAAACCCAATGTCCAATTTTAGTTTGTAATGAATAGGAACAAAATCTTTCACATTTTATCTATAGGTGGTGTTTTTTTAGGAAGTCAGTTTTCAATGTTTTGCAGTCTGCCGCAAAATAAAGATAATTTTTTTTTAATTCCAATATATTAGAAGAAATATTTATATTTATTTTGAACACAACAGATTTGAATTATAGAAATTGTTATTACCACAAATAAACAAATAATAACTTAATACTTATAAAGTCGAGCAACTTGTATAACAATATATTTTCAAAAATAACCGAATTTCGGGAAGTGTATCTGATTTATTATACTTCTTTTAGTAGTATTTGTAGTGTACGCAATCGAAAATATTTTTTTATATTCCGCGAATAATCGCGGTATAAACCAATCGATTTATTGAAGAATTAAAATTAAACAAGTAGATAGATTTTAACACCCAAGAAATTTAAGACCTCCCCCCCCCTTCCCCCGGAAAATTTACCAAATTACTATTATTGTGTTTAGGGTGTTAATCGGCAGTGTAGTGTATATAATGCGAGTCTATAATGTCGAGCGCCGAAAATAGAAAGTCTAAAGAAAAGAAAAGAGAGGTATACACCTAGGTATTATAATATTATTATAGCTGCAGAAATGATGAGAATGTCAAGGTGGACGTGTTGGTTTTAAAATATAATATGTACATAGGATGGTACATAATAATAGTAGGACGTTTGCTTTAAATTGTTTTCTTTTATAACTTTACCCGGGGCGGGTTAAGTTATTAGTAAAAAAACATCACGCAACGTTCATTGTGTTTGAGTACACAACCCTAAAAAATGACTAAAACAATTTTACCTCTGCAGACCAATGGTTGCCCTACTAAAATTTCAAGGGGGGAACGAAATATTTTTCACATCAAATTCAATCCTTAAAAATGGTAAAAAAAAATATTTCGTTAATTTAAAAATTTATTTCATGTAATATTACAAAATAAAAGTCCTTTTTTGGTTTTTTTGTTTTGCAAATCGGTCTATAATATTTTAGTTGGTGGTGCATACCGTCCCCTGGTCCCCGCCACATTATCATAGCCATATCACAGAATAGGTGAAACCTAGTGTTGCCAAAAAATATTAAAATCATTGATTATTTTCTCGCTTTGTTACCACAATTATTTTGAATCATAAAATAATGTAAAACATAGATATATTATCAGGTTTTTGTTGTATAGACCAAGGGGGGGGGGCGATCTACCCATCGCTGTTTTCCCTGTAGGATCGCCACTACTGCAGACGCTATAATATACCTAACGAATTATTCGTTATCGGTATCGGTTTATACGAAAATACAAAAAACCGTATCGATTTGAACGTTTTCGATACGAATTTTCACTATAGGAACACGGAATAACTGCTGAGAAAATATTAACAAGAATGATTATGAGAAAGATGACGACATGTATAGAGGGACGATAGCTGATAGGTTAAATTAGGTTAGAGATAAAGAATTATTTATAGAAATAATTCAGAAGATGCATTTTAAACTCACTCATAGACGGTCTTATCATTCCAACGGGCAATCCTTTGCCCATGGTCAACACTTCGGATTCAGCGATGGCCTTCGTGAACGTGTACGTGTTCGGGAATTCTTTTAATAACCTGCGGTAAACCAGAAACCGTAAATTATGTGTACTAGTATGTCTAGATAATACTTAGAAGTATTTTTCGTTAACAACGACTTATTATTGCGTAAACATTAATTTTTTTCGGGTCAACCTCCTAGCACTACTTTTTTCATATAGTAACACGACTTACGAGGGCGTTAGTATTTTGATGTACTCGTCGTCCAAATTGTTTACGATCTGCACTAATTGATCCCCGGTCAACGGTGGTTCATAGAACACTTCGTCTATCTCTTTCCTGATGGAGCACTGCGAGTAGGCCGTGGATATATGAACAAAAGACTACGTACAATTAATACAATTAATTAACAATTTTTAATTTTAATAACATTATGGTTTATATGACACGGAGCGCAGTAATTTAAATTTTTATATTACTTTGAGATTTTTCATGTCCTTGCACATTTTCAGTAAATATTGCAAACCGACTACATTGATGTTCATGGCCAATCTCAAATGTTCATCGAATCTCACGGTGGCGGCAGAGTGTATAATTACATTTACCTATAATGCATTTATATTTTTTCGTTCAAACGAGTTGACCAGTATTAACAATATGTATAATATTTCTATGTACTTCGTTTTTGAGAATTTCCTGATACTGTTCACCAATTCCCATTTCCGGTAGACCGCAATCGCCGATCACCGCAGAGATCTTTTCCAAATAGTTCGGAGTTTGTTTTTTCATTAATTCGAATACCTGAAATTGTAATAAATTATGTTTTTTTTTTATCGTAGAATACGTTATTTTTTAAAATTAAAAATGTACCCGAGTATATACTTACGGAATTGTTGAACAGGTCTTTGAACCGTTCCTCGGGAGTTTTACCTTTTTTCTCTCGAATTAAAATGTAAATTCTTTTTATTGAACAAGTTCTGAAAAAAAGGCATTATGATTTTATAAATTTAGAGTGTAGCGAATAATATGTATTGGTTTTACGTTGATTTGAGTTTTCTAGGTTCAGAGCGTAACGAGAGATCTATTAGTTTTACTATGATATGTGATTTTTGTTTCTTGTCTGTGAATATTTTTTTTACAAGAAATCTTGCTCCGGTGTATCAAATGTAACACCTATTTTGAAGGAAAAGATTCTCTAATTGATGCATTGAGGAAGTCAGTTTTTTGATTTTACAGAAGATTTTTACAATAATTGGGAAAAATTGCAAATATTTACGATGCGCCCTGATGTTGCGAATATCATTGTTTTTAATTTTTACGAACTACATTTTATATCAGAAATATTACACCAATCAAAAAAATGCTAAATGACCTTTTATATTGAATTTCGGATCTAATTTATCTCAGGGTAAGTCGTTTTCAATATGCTCAAAAATGTCACAAATATTTTGAACATTTTACGACGTCTATAAAAGGCAAATATAAGTATTATGTCTTAAATGCTAGTCTCTAAGAATACGTTTTACTGAATCATAACACAAACACAAAATTGAAATTAACAAAAGCTTTATTTTCGTAAATTTTCGAAGAACGTTTTAAATAAGGTTATAAAAATCTATGAAATAAAAAAAAATCCACTACATATTGTTCTTTGTAAAATTCAACGTATTAATTATTCTGTGTATACATACAGCGCCTGACGACAATTTGTAAACGGAAAACGTTTCGGTGGTACGTGTACTAATCAAAATCGTGCACGTGGGTAGGGTACGTTATACATTTATAATTAAGTTTTCGATGTACATATTTTTTTCAAATTTCTGTATACTAACCAAAATATTACTATCACGTATAAGGGTAAACGCTTGTAAACATTTAAATTTAAATATAATCTAATACTCTTATAGCTAGGTTAAAAAGTGTTTTAAACACTTGTTTAAAATGTGAAATTAAAATAAACAGCTCCTAATACTTCTGGATAAAGAAGTAAAATTGTATTTAAATTGTCATTTAGTTCCTCATCAATTATAATTATTATATTCGCCAAAAATAATGTTTTTGCGACTTTGTATTTGTAATATATTTGTAAATATAATATTATTATATATGTTTTTCGTTCATCGTTAAAGCGAATTCATCAATTCGTATAGTTTTTATGTATGCATAATGCATATATTTATTTATTTAGAACCTACCGTATATAATTATGTATTTTTTAAATTAAAATTTGAATTGAGTATTGTGCTTGATTTGTATAGTGTAGACAAAATCCTGGATATAGCTGGATCGAAAATTGAAAACATATGTCCCCGTTTATGTGATAAAGCTCACTCTACCGTTTACAGTATAAAACCAAACGTGAACTACCTCATTAATTTTTCCAAAATCATAGTCCCCAAAAATCCGGTGGCGCCCGTCAAGAATACCGTCGCATCGTTGTAAAAAGATTGAATTTCCGATTGCCGATTTTCGGCCATTGCTTCACTCTGCACCACTGTCATATCCATCGCTGTAGCCGGCATTTTCTGAAAGCGAAAAAAAAGATAACGATTATTTACAAAACATTTTCTAAAATAAAACAAGTACAATATACAAAAAGAGGTACCTAACCTATTGGAAGTTCACTGACACGTATATGATATTCTTAATAATAATTTATATGAGAGTATACGTGACGTGGTTTTTTCGTCGACTAAAGTGTTGACATTATACCATTTTCATGTAGACAATAATATTGAAGTGCGTCGAGTATGATATCGCATTTTATAGCGTCCAGGGGTTTTTGGCGACAACTAAACGACTTTCAGATAATTCAGAAATCGATAACAATTTTAACTGATTCTTCATTGTTTTAAAATAAAGTATCGCCTGTTGGAAAGTCTTGTACCTACTGTTTGAAAAATTTGTAGTATTTTTATATATTAACCGAAAATTTTTTTTAAAACATATGCATCTTAGTGTTTTAATAATATAATGTCTATAATAAATAAATATTATGATTTCTTCGGTGCTCTATCAATATCTAAAATAACGTATTACATTGTTGTTTTTGAATTATGAATAAAGGACACTTATTATCTCGGAAAGTATTAACTTCTTACTGCACTATTAAAACGCTGTGCACCGTACCACCACACGAATGATGCTCCAATACTCTCCCCCGATCAAAACTTAAAACTAACCTAACCTAAACCTCGTTAACGGATTGACGGAAATTTAAAATCTCAATACCAAAACGTATTTTAACTAACACTCCATATATTTATTACATTTTTTAATGTAGGTAGCCATTTGAAAATCAAAAGTAGGTAGTGGTTTTACCCCCAAAAATAAGGAAGACAAAATATAACATAAATATAAAATTGGAGAGCTGTTTGATTTTTAAATATTCTAGAAAACAAATTTCGAAAAATGTTAATACTTTCTGAGATAATGAGTGTCTTACGGTAGATTGATCCCCCTGTATAAACATTAAACATGTAGTAATAATATTTCACGATGTTATTAACACGCCGGTAAAGGTTACGCCTAGTAATAGGCACTACCGAGTGAACACTATCGATTCATCTCATTAGTTTCAAGCTATATATTTATTCGATTCTTTCTAATAACTATCAACTATACTATTGAAACTATTAAACTATATTAAATTTTGTTACATTTAAAATATATTTATTTTTATATTACAGATAAAAGTGATATTCAACCAATTGTTATGAAATCAAATAAATTTAAATTTTTGGTTAAACAATTATGATTCTTAATGTGTTTTATACATTTCGGGTTTAAACATTAATAGTCCCAGTAGTCCGTACCAATATTTTAAGAGGGAAGTAAAATCGATAGTCAAAACTTGGTCCCGTCCATCACCAGTTACGGCCGGTCGGACGAATGTACTAAAATAGCGAACAATCGGTTCAAAACCAACGTAGGCGTTGGAAACGAATAAAATATAAAATATATATTTGCATTTTATAAAACAACAACGCGAATCCGTATGATATGAATGGTTGACTATGCGTGACCGGTTTTTTTTTTTGGCAAAAATTCAAAAAAAAAAAATACCTGAAACGAAAAAGACGAGTAAGTGACGTTGTCCTATACCAATTTAAATTGTATAATTTTAATTTTTTTTTTTATTATAATTGAATTTGAATTTATTATTATTATATTATTTACATTTTAATCTATTCACGGTAGGCATATTTCAAGTATTTCAATCCGGATAAAATAAAATGTATAACTTGTTCTCGTTATAATGTTAAATACTGAGACTTATTTACGTGTGCATATTTTATAGTATTCCATTAAATAGAGACGTTAAAGGTTTCAGGAAGTTTGGCAGTATTCTGGCATTGCGACAACGAAACGCTGAGCAAAACAGGCCTGCGTTGGTGAAAAACCGCAGCATGCCGATAAACACGATAGTTTTTCCCTATCAGACGTACGGGAGCCCAGTGTTAAGAAAAGATAATGAAAAATGTATGTACATAAAGATAAAAGATAATTTGTATTTTAGACTGAACAGAAAAATACAAATTTTGATTTTAATAATTTACCTAAATATATTTTTCATCAACTTATTTATAATTTAAAAATAAAAATCAAATTATTGACAATATTTTACTATTATCTGATATTTATTTTTGTAGATTAATTTTTTTATTTGAATTCAAATTGATTACTAATCAGTTAAATGTATTTTAGCTTCATTATTTATTTGATACAAGTTGACCCATCCGGCTTTGCCCGTGAAATAAAAAAGTTTCTAAATAAAGCTAATAGATAAATTATAATTAGGTATAGGTATGTTATTACTATAGTTAATAACAATGTTTTTTTTTTCATCCGTGTTACCAAGGTAACCCATAAACTAACAAAATTAATTAGATTTTTATACTAAAAATACGTAAAACACCGAATATTGGAGAATGTTATACAATAGGGAAAGGGTTTTAATAGCTATAAACCATCTACGGACAACGTGTAATAACTACCCAAAGTTTCACGGTGATCGGATGAATGGTAACGTATACGTAACGTATAAACATACATCCATTCGTTTTAATATGTGTAGAGACGTTTTTTAAAAAAAAAGTTGATTTACTGACCCAGTCACTGTTGTAGGTGGAAAGTTGGGAAGGTAGGATAGTTAAAATGATTTAATTTATATCTGTATGTAATACATCATTATTTAAATAAGGTCAACGATAATTAATTATTTATCTAGATATGATATTATTACGAATTATTCAATAATAAATATAAACAGTGATACCAAACGATAAAGGGTTTACATGCAATTAATACTCATTTTTGAACTTTCTACAAATACGGCGTTATGGTGATCTAATGGTAATATAATGATCTGTGCCGTATACAATCACAAACGTCCAAGGTTTAATATAGTTATTAGTTTTCAGGCCAACGAAAACAAGAAAATTAAAAATTCATATCAAACAATACGCATAAACCTGCTGGTTATTATGTTTTTAAGGGAAACGATGCATAAAAAAACATAAATGATTCTTTCTGTAAAAACTTTACAAAAAGAAATCTTATTCCAAAGTATAGAATATGTTATCTTCTCTGAAAGGAAATTTTATCTAGTCGGTGCATTAGAAAGGTAATTTTTAAATTTTCCAAAGGGTTTTCGAATAATTGGGAAAAAACCAGAAAGAAAATAATGGGTATAACGGTAAATATTTACGGCGAGGTGTGACGTTACCGGTTTTATTGTTTCTAATTATTGCAACTTATGCTTTCTACTAGAATAATAATTGTCCCAATCGAAAAATGACGAAACATTTTTTTTAATTGCATATTGATATAATTCGTGAATAAGTAGATCGTTTTTTAATTTTTTAAGCAGTTTTCATAATAATTGGGAAAAAACAGAAAAAACATAAGAAAAACGGGAAAATTTACGAAAATAATACTTTTATTATTTTAAATTTTGTTTTTTTGTTGTAATTCAGTTAAATATATTTGTCGAGACTTAAATTTTGACATAAAACTTATATTTGTCTTTTTTAGACGAGGTAAAATTTTTAAAATATTTAACCTATTTGAGCTATTTATAGATATTTTAATTTTGTGAATTTTTTACGGAATTTTTATTTGGTAGTTACTCTGTGGATAAAATATACTAAACAGAAAAAACTTAAAAATCGCTTGTTCGATATAATTATAAGTGATATTTTACGGTTTTGAGATTAAATTACCAAATAACACGTTAATACGTAGGAAAAAAAGATGTTTTTTATTTAACGTGCAAAAAAAATTTTACTGTGAGTAAACTCGAAAAATATTAGACCCGGTCCAAAAAATAAAAAACAAACTCAAATAATATAAAATTTATATTATATTATCTGAAATCAGTGATAAACGCTGTAACGGTTTCGACAGTGATAATTTTTAAACGAGAAAAACTCAACAAATTAATAATTCAATCAGTCAATAAAATTCTGTGTATATTGGTAGTAAAAAAAAAAAAATAATAATAATAATAACAACAAAATCAATATTTTTTTACCTGTAAATATTGTTTTCCTCACGGCGGTCCAGACTGACACAATATCACAAAAATGCGTTCACTGCAGCGGTCGTGAAAAATCGAAACAGTAAAATATTCTTCTAGTATATTTTTCCCCTATGTTTCCCCGAAAGAAACAAAAAAGAAAAATCAAATAAACAAACAGATTGCTTAAACAAATCTAAACGTTTCAGTAATCACAACCACTGAGTGCGCACAGTCCGGTTACTCTGGTGGTACTGAATGAGATTTCACGTTGTGCAGATGCTCTTGAAAATACGATATAAACATCAACAACAACAACGTTAACTATATATATTCACACCGAGGCGGTCTATGTCACGTATAAATGCAGGGAATTACCCCCGGCGGCTTCGGCGGCGTAGGTATAGGTGATGGAACGCGTTTTATAACAATAAAAAACTATAATATTTTTATCTCGTTTCGACCATCGTGTTTTCACGGTGTGGTGTTCTACGACGAGACCGGTCGACTGGTCCTCGTCGTCCTCCGTCCGAGACTTGATTTTTCGATTTTTTTTTCGGTAGACAGGATAACCAATCCAGATTTAATATTTTCGATTGCAATGTTCTGAATTGCCTAAATTATCGTGAAACCTCTAAAACCACTTGCGGAACTACTAATACGAAAACTTTGCCAAATTTTACGGGCAGTGGCGTAACCGTGAATGAAGGGCGAGTGGGTTATAATTTCTAACAATTCCAATAATATCCAACACCACTGGTTTTGATAAAAAAAAAAACAAATAGAATTTCACCTTTTTTTATTCGGTATCGTATTTTCCGCTGCTCTGTCCTCTACGTCCTAAAAACAACGAAGTTCAACTAATTGTTAAAATGTTAACTGTTATGTGTTTTTAAACAGTTTTTTACGTGTTAAACCAACAATATTTTTGATTTGAAACAATAAACAACAAATTAATCATGCATAGTCATAATTGGTATAGGTTCTATACCCAAATCTTTGCTCTTTCCATCTTAATAATTACTCATTTTAGCCTCCGCAAATCTGTTAGTTTTTCTACCAAATTTAGCCCAAAATAAAAAAATAAATTAACGTTTTATTTTCTCTTAATATCTCGCAAATATCAGGACGAAGAAAAATCATTAGTATTTTTTTTGTCAAGGAACAATATTGGGAACTTTAATATATGTGTTATTTAAAATTTAAAGGAGGTTAAAAATAATAGGTAGAAAAACATATTGACATTTGTGGGACAGTACATAGAACAACGGGAATCGTATATTAAATTTTTATTTTATAGGCTAAAATTCATAGAAAACTGTAAGGAAAACGCGTAGATTTGCGTGATTGAAAAGAGGCTAAAAAACAGTACTAAATATGTTGAAAGCCGTGTAGAAATTTGGGTAACACAATCTATTCATATTATTAATACTAATCATAAATTATAAATGGATCAGTTCCAAAACCGGCATGAATGGAATTTGTATTTTCTTACATTTGTTTTATCTAAATATACAATTAAAATTATTATTTTTTATTATATTATATTTATTATTATTTGTACATATGCAAAATTGAATAAAGTTCTAATTAATAAATAGCAAACATTTTGATTCTATTCGTGTAACTATTATTTTCGGTGCGTCATTAGATTATTGCATTATGTGAGCCCGTCAACGTAGCGCGTTTATTATTGATTTTTAATGGAAACGGTTAGAAGTCATTGCGGAATAAAATAGACACAAGAACGCAGACGGAGCTTCATACAACACATAAAAATAGTTTTCGATGATTATAAGGTCACGGTTTAGCGATACAGAGGTAACACGATGGCGTTATGCGAGGAAATCATTACGAAATTACTTTTATCCGCTTAATATGAAACATGTATAAAAATGATACTGAACAATATTGGATAATGCAAAATCACGGATTTTTATTGGTATAAAACAGTAAGCATCAATCGAAAAATAAATCTACAGAAAACGGCAAATATTGAATACGAATACGGCACAAAGGAACGATCTCCGACTTTTAAAACTCTCCAATACCGAATACGAACGGACAAGAAGCCAGTTTTTATACGGTCTCGAGAGTTGCGTTATATTTATGTTTTGTAAAGTCGTCTGAAAAACAATATGTCTAGGTTAATATACAGTAACAATATTATAATTCGCATGTTTTTTTTAAGTAAGTTAAGTTTTTCGGTTTTTAGGCTATACATTTATGTTTTTGTACCAAAATGAATTAATGCACACCATTTTTATTTCGGGTCGTTATTTGTACACTTCAATTGTATTTTTGGCTTTAAGGTGTTCGGTTGACTTTTTGTATAAAACACAAATCGAAAAAAAATATTTTTATGAACTATATACAGATGAGACAATTGAAGGTTTCGTGCGGGTCGAAGCGACCTCGAATCGGCGTTACCGTAATGGGGAAAATATAAATTTACTAATGACAGAGGGCCTTCAAAATCGCTCTAACCGTCGTTGTCCCGAGAAGGAGGCTATTATACTCGATTCTAATTTTTAAGCCACCAAAACTGCAATGTTCGTGCAAGAAGAACGGCGCACTTTTGTTTAACAACTCATTGTTTCGGTACCTAATATTGTACATTTGAACGACTATAAAATATCTATGAGTGTAATATAGTTATACTCGTAATAATAAATAAAACGCACAGCCTAAACTAAAGGGTCTAGTAACTAGGAATTGTTCACACATTTGAGAAAGGCTATTTCAAAATTCATACTTCCAAGGGGTTGAAAAGGGGTGCAGATTGAGTGCAGAAAAATAACTCTATAAATCAGTGGTTCTCTAACTTTTATCACAGTGACCTTAAAATATATGACATGATTTATAATATTAAACAAATATTATTAAAGAAAATATATAATGTCTATGAAATTATTTTATCATATTATGGCATAATCATAATTATGTATTATATATTGTTGACAAAGCAACACTATCAACCGAACTCCGCTTAGAATAATTTTTTCGTTAGCAATGACTTATCGTTGCTTACAGGTATACATTAAATGTTTCCTCTTCTATGTTGCCATCTTCTCACCCAAAACAGTGGCTCAATGTGCGAAGTATGTCCATATTTTAGATTTCGAGCGTAGCGAGAGGAGCTATTGATTTTACAATGATGTTTATTTCTTTCTTTTTTTTTTTCTTTTAGTCTATGGACACGTTTTTTCCTAGTAAACTTACTTCTATTTTAACTTGTAGCATCTTTTTTAAAAGTTCAAGTTGTCTAGATTGTACTTTAAAAGGTTTTTTTGATTTTTGATACCATTCTTTAAATATAAGTACTTATGAGGGAAAAAACTTAGAAAAACTTAAAATTTTCACGATTTCATTATTTTATAAAAACACGAACGACGTTTTCTACCAGAAAAAATGATTTAATCGAATAATCACAGGACATCTTTTTGTTTTACTTTCTTACGGTATCATAGCCAAAACTTTTGAGCCATTTTTGAGCTTTTAAGGAATTTTAACTTTTAGGAGTTTTTTTGCTGTAACTCGGTTATAAATACATGTAAAGACTTGAAACTTGTTCATAATACTTATATTGGACTTACTTAGACATGATAAAATTTCCTAAATCATCGGATGACCTTTTTTTTAATAAGCATTTTGAAATCAAATTTAAACGGAAATCGCAAAAAAAAAAAAAATTACGGCAATTTAAATTATGTATTATCGAACTGCGCTCGGAATCGTTTTTCGTCAAGCAATGATTTATCGTTGCTTCCAGATATAAATGAAATAACCTCATATACCCTACCTTCTTAACTTCTCATCTACAATAGCGGCCGTCCTATCCCCAGTATCAGCTTTTTTTTTATTTTTAATACTTTGCACTCGCCATTCTTAACACCAATACACCAAGACAATAGGTAGTCAATAATATTTATCCATAATTATTAACATTTAGAATGATTGAAAACGTCGCCAGTTTATATATAATGATAACAGACTAATCGACAGAGACGAAATAAAATTGTATTATTGATGTTTCAATACTTCATTAATATAAGGATTTTAGAAATTATAGGTTCGAATGAGTTATGGGTGAAGTCGAATGACCCTAAATCCTATAAATTTATGTACCTATGATTATCTTGTACATCAAGACTTTAAGAAGGGCTCCTAAAAATATTGCAAAAATGGCGCCTGGAGCAAAATAGTCTCGTCGCCCCCTCTTTGAATGGCCCTGCCGTTGCAGCAAACTTTATACCAAAAATGCATCGCCAAAATACATTTATATGATTGGATTTATCCGGGCTATTTTTATAATCGTTGTGACGCGTGCTGGTCTTCAGGGGTCAAAAACCATTATTCGAGAGGTTGAAAACAATAAGAATTTATTATTCAAAATGTGCAAATAAAACGCATTACGTACTTGGGAAATGACCTTGTCGGAATCTACCAAATTAAATTTCGTTTTTGCTTTCGGCCATATAATGTAGAATTTCGCAATGATAGCGATTGTATAAATATTTGATTTAGATTGGAAATTAAATATTAAATAATTGTGCAACGTTGAATTATTACAAAAATATCAATGTTTAACTCAAGTTTTCAATCAATGACTATTAAAATGTAATATTATATAATATGTAATTTATTTTCTATTGAACGGAAAATGTTTTAAATATTTATATCGATTTGGTTTTAATAAAGAATTATTTTGTGTTTAAATTCGAATATTAGTTTTATTAAAAATTTATGTTGTGGGAATGATTTGTGTAACCACACATTCCGGACATAGTCTTAGTTTTTTCACTAAATCTTGATGCTTGAGAAGTGTGTAACAGAATTACGTGAAACATGCAATTTAAAAACAAAAAAAAAAAAAGATATTATTTTTTTAAAAGCATGACAAAAATGATCCCCGCGATAGAGAACAATGGCGAAGCGTGCCGTACGAGACTTTGCAAACGGAACGCGGCCTAAAATGATACCGAAAATCGAAATTAATGTTGTTAACAGGTGCGTTAACTGCGTTTCGTCAACCGCTGTTAACGAGCGATGGAAAAATATACAGAAATGATACGATCGGTATGCGATAAACAGACTACGTACAACGAAAACAAATTTTCGTCCGCAAAATAACACGTTTTCTCTCTGTATAATTATTTTATTATAATAACAATAATTTTAATACTATATTATTAAAGGTGCCCACTTGTTACTCGAAAATATCACCTACACCATTATTATAATTGATTTTAGCGAAACCCAATGCGTGACGTCATGGGTTTTACCGGCTAGCCGCACTGAATTTCCATACGAGACGTGTAGTTTGTCCATAATGATTATTATTTACTTCTGCGGTAATTCTGACAATCCATTATGAAGTTCATAATATGGTTTCCTAATACAGTTCGATTATGAATCACGGTCAAATTGTTATAATCAAAACTTTTCCCTGGCCGGAAATTCGATTTTCTCGGGGAAACTTTTAGGCATAAATTCTAAACTTGGTAAACATTATGGTACAATTAAAGGCAAAAATGATTGTTGAAAATTCGAAAATGCCGATATTGATAGTGCCGGGGAAACTTACCTTCGTATCGAAAACGAAATATAGACTACAATAGAGCATTATTACGTCATTGTCACACTACGTTCGTTTCTTGTTTGGCGAGCGTATAGCAGATACGAAATTCTCCGTTTTAAGAAATTTAAAACAAAAAAAGGTTCCATCCAAAGGGGACGATTGATAAACAATGTAAACATTTGCCGTCGTGGGCACGTCCTTACAGTGCCTATACGTAAATACGCCCTAGAGTATTTGTTGAATGTTCACCAAAAATAAACTGTTTGTAGGAAATAGTGCGTTTTAAACAAGCGGCGTCATTATTAACAACGCTTATTAATCTGGGTACTCGCCACTCAGGGGTCTGATACATAGGGGGGTCAATAGGTAGGTATCTACCCAATAAGTAATGCGTGCACAAATTACGTGGCAATATATTTTGTACTGACCATTACTTATTTAAAAATCAAAATATAATATACATATGCTATACTAAACAGTACACAACAATTATTACACAATAAATCGCAATGTTTAACGAGTTGTTTAATACATGTTACAGTGCTATGCGGGAATATTATTACTAGGGCTCGGAAGTTGTAGGATTCGCATGTTTCTTATTTATAACGGACCGAGCTACAAATTCGTTTCGCGCACACCTGAGGTAAAATATGAAATTTTTTTTCGTCCATCGTGTTCATCAGTAATCATAATATTATTGGTCTTGACAGTTGAACTATCAATGTCTAATATCAGTATTTGAGTATTATGATTTAAACACATAATATAATGTGTTAAAGAATTTAATTTGTCAATAATATCATGTGACGTAATCCATCCGACCGTCCGTCCGTTGTTATAGTATCTCGCATGTATAGCGCCGTCTGACCTTTAACTCTAGGAAGAAAATTAAAGTTTAAGCAATTTTTATCTTCGTTATCGAAAATTAAAACGTGATATAAAGTAATTTTTCATGCACCAAGTAGTCGTCAATCACTAGGAATCGTTCCTATATAAATGATTATTCAATATTAATATTAACTACTTGTTATAGGAAATTTATTATAATATTATATCACAGTTGTACAACATAATACGAGTACAATATGTATTCCGAGTAAAAACAAAACTAATAAAAATAATGTTATTATAGTGCTGATAAAACAGAATTGTATCACAGAAACATTTATAGATAACAGTGACGTCATGGATATGATGGATCAGACGAAAAAATTTTCCAGCGAAGAGAGGTATGAGTTTTCGGCACCGACGACGGCGGTGGTGTACATTATAGATATTATTCCGAAATACATATTATAGAAGATATTATTTTAATATTTGGATTGTAACAATACCGTGTTTAAATTTCATTGTCAATTTTATAACGTTATATATAGTCATCTATTACAATAATTATTACCAGCAATTTCATAACATCCCAGACAAACTGTCAAATACAAATATCAGTCCAAGGTATATAAATAATTCAATGGATTTTATAATATAACAGAAGGCTTTTTTCCAGTAGGTTATCGGTTAGTATTATTATTATGGTTTGTTTTTGATCAACACAATTCACGTGAAGCGCCACATCCGCCGGCTGAACGTGAACCAATAATGACGAGCAATGGGGGCGCCTCCGGGAAGGGTATATAACTAATTCCTTTTTAACACCATGACAGGAGAATAAAAATGTGTACAATAATATCCTAAAGGCTTTATCATCAGTTTATGCAGGTATAGCACGGATGGGTAGTATCACGGACGCAGGCACAATTTCATTTCTTTTAATTGAAAGAGGTCTGATAAATGTACATCAAACAGACTCGTTCAACATACCTATTGAAATCTTGCTAGATTTTTGTTACGTTATCTACGATTATCTACTTACTTATATTAAAAAGAATGTTAAATATCTTAATTTAATAAAAGAAATTAGAGGATATCTATCAACAATTCATTGCGATTTATGTAACTTTTGCAATTAAGTCAACTATTTCTTGATGTAGTAAATAAAAAAATGTTAATAATACAATTATAATGATAACGATAAGAATATTGTGGCATTATGGCAGTGGCTGCACTGACTACAGCTTATTGTACTTCTTAGTTCTTATGATACAGACTTTTTTTAATCAAAATAATTGTTTATTGCAAAAAAAAATTAAGCGGAGACAGTTAAAAATTTGGACATAAGTAGACCCCCCTTCCTGCGTCTCTCCATTTTTTAACCGCATATTTAAATTATTTTGAAGGGCAAAAGTTAAGGCTAAAAAGTAGTAAGTTGGGCCTCCATTGACGTTTTCAAAACCCAGCGTCTATGCTTGTAGGTACCCATGTTCTGAAATTAAAAACAATCAAAAAACTCTACAGTATTATAAAATGCATAGATATGTAACCACATTATATTTAATAGTACCTACATTAATAAAAATTGTCTACGCTTTAATTTAGTGAAACTATCCTTAATCGGTAGTCGGTACTATAATATCAATACTATATTATTTATAACGGTGTTTATGTTGTCTGATATTGTTAAAATTATAAGTGGTAACAAAATATTTTTGTAAAATTACAAAGTAAGCGTTTTAAAATATAAATTATAAACATAAAAAAAAAAAAAAAACAAATAATTGTATGGGATACATTTTCATACCCTTGCATTCCGAAAATGACGCCCCTGAAATAATATATAAATTACCTTTAATAAATATCCTCAACTTGTAATTATTTAAAACTTATTGTATATTATTTAAATTTATTGAATATTTGTATACAAAACGAGTATCTTGTTAATTCGTATCAATATCATGAACCAACCCATTTCATTAATCATAATTCATTAATAATATTGATACCTCATAAATGCTAAACCTTATTAGCAATACATTAGCAACATATTAGAACAAGTCATAAGTTTACACTAACCATACACTTCATTAATGTTATATTATAATCATTTGTTTAAATTATTTTTAGATTTAACAACAACAATAATATTATGTAAACAAAATATACAAAATCAAGGGATAGAAAATGGCACCCTCAGTCTCCCTTTCGTGAGCACGTCCCTCAGTCGATAATGTATTGTATAACGTATACAATATACAATCGTATACTTACTTTAATTTTAATAATAATACTGTGCATGTTTTACGTTAATGCATCTGCAGCAGGCTGTCGTGTCGTCAGATTTAAAACGTGGGCGTGGTTTTTTTATGGGCACAACTATAGACATTTATCGCTGTAGTTAACGGTTATTAAATAGGTATCAGACAATGCCATGATTATACGAGTTATTAGGTACGCCGACCAATCGGAATACGATAAAAGTCACATATGCACTGGCACTCGGCTATTAAGGCGTCGCGGCGCGCAAACTCTCCATTAAATAAAAAAAATTATAACCAATATGTTTCTATAATATTATATGTATTAAAATGATTTTAATATTTTGATTTTGACTTAAGTTTGTACGTCTAATTGCTGGCATTTTCAAAAACGAAAATTCAACTGTAAATTACAAAAAACTTCTACTTATTCTTCTTTATAACCAAGTTTATCACTTAGTAACGCGTATGTTAGTTTATTGCTGTGATTATGAAATTTACGGTTTTTTTTTGATTTCGGTAATACTTATTTTTGTTGTTATGGTTTTGACAATAACAGGTCCACAACTATTATATTCAATCATTACAAAGAAAACAGAAACTAATTAATACTATTAAGAAAGCCGAAGATAGGAGGAACTCACTGCTAGCCGAAAGATTAAAAGAAATACCAGCACTCAGACTAAAATCAAGGAAACCGCCTTGGAAGACAGCTAAAGACCTAATAAGATCAGGATTTGAAACTAAAAAGTGCTGGTGCGATTAATGGACTAACTCTACTATACTAATCAAAAACAAAAACCTGGTGCTAGACCCCAATCAAGGAGTTATGGGTTTGGAACTGCCTAGACATGAGTGGTCTGTACTAAATCGTCTTCGAACAGGCCATGGCCGTTGCGCTAATATGATGTTTAAATGGTGACTCCAAGACAGCCCAGCATGCGACTGCGGCAACGATAGACAAACTATAAATCACATTATAAAAGAATGCCAGCTAAGGAAATTCAACCGGGGCATCGAAGGAATNCGCATTGTTATTTTATATTGTTATATTATATTATATTATATATTTATAAAACCTTAACCTTTTCAATCTAAATTTAATTAAATTATGCTTTATGTTTATATTTTATTTTTACTGTATAATTTTGCTGTAAATGATTTGTTAAGCCATACGAATAAATAAATAAATTACCAATAGCGACCTTACAGTAAACAAAAATATAGTTTATTTTCTTGCTGGACAGTGAAGATTCAGATTCCGTACTTTTCCGATGGATTTTCCTAAAATTGTGTTACATAAGCACCTTCTCCTGAGAATTACGAATAGAACAAAAAAAAGAATTAGCGAAATCGGTCTAGCCATTCACGCGTGATGTGACTACCAAGGGAAACAGGGAGCCGTTTTTATATACATAAATTTACTATATTTATTCTATTCGATCATCACTTTCGATACGTTTGGGTAAAGGCCCCCTGGACATATTATTAAATGACATAGCGTAACTTTACATATATTTGCTAGAAGTACTTTTTTACTTAGGAATAGTTTCACTTTGATATTTATCGAGGTCGTCGTCGAGACTACCCCTAAACAAGACGTTTTTGTAGTTGGTTTTCAAATAAGATTTGTCGTTTCGTTTGTTAGACCATTTGTGCACCCCAGACACTCGATTATCACCATTAAAAAGTACCAATTATACATCATTCATTACGCACTTGCAGCCTAGATTTTAATAATCATTATTATTAGCTATTTCACAACTTCCGAAAAACCGACGAGTAAGAATAATAGTGTGCGGTGTGTAAATAATTCAATAAATTGTATAATACGAAAAGATAGTTTTTCCAAGTTGACTGTTGGAAAGTATATTTTTTTACTCAGGTTTTTAAAAAGTTTTCACGATAAGCATTTGATGTAGCATTTAATAATAAATAGGCGTTTAAAGTTGCAAAACAACTAGCAAGCAAACGGAGTTACCTGAATGCCCGATCTTGCGTAGCGTGATTTAGGTTTACACTTAAAACATTCATAGTTAAGATTTCCGCAAAATAAATCATACATTTTCTTTGTAGTTGTAAAATGTATAGCATCATAATTTTTACTCATTAGTAACCTAAATTTAAATTTGAGTGTAAAAGAGGTTACTGTATTATACCATATTACCAATTTATTAATTTACAAAACAAATAACTTAAACAACGAATTACAAAAGACTACCTATTGGTCATAAACTTTTATTTAAAATATCTACTAAATTCTAGGAAATGTGTATTGGGTAGTACACAAGTAGATATTATAAATATAATTCGTGGGTCATAGCTATTAATGTCTTTATTATTAAGATAAATTAGTTAATATAATATAAAAAATAAATTATCTTATTTTTTTTTTTTGAATACTTTTTCTAAATATATGATTTTCTACATTCTAGTTTCTCATAAATCTACGAACTTCTAATATTTGCCATGTACAACGGTAATAAATGGACAATATTTTTTTAGATTATATAAAAATTAATAAAATACCACTCCAGGAAAATTCCCTTCCAGAAAAGGTGCTTCACTTGATACTTTGGAGTAAGATTTCTGGTAGAATTTTTGTACAAAGTATATATATATATAAAAAAAAAAAAAAACATCTTTGTATAACCAATACATTCATCTCTCCGTTCTGCTTTGCTCCGCTGTAAAATTATAGTTTTAAAATATCAGAATTTCAAAAGGCTATAATTTCGAATTTAAGTCAGTCCGCTCAATTCCGACTTGATTATCTTTCTTATGGTATTATTACATGTGCTCGACATTATGCATGTGTTAAAAAAAAAAAATTGACCAGTTACTAGTTTTATTCCACATAATTTTTTAATAAAATATTTGTTGGATATTAAAATTCTTATAAAAAAAAATTACATTAAAATACATTTTTATAGTTTTGACCACAAAGTACGACTTTTAATGAACTTCCAGTTCATTTTTCAAGCATTTCTGTTCAGTCTAACGATTTCATCCACAGAGTAGTAGTTACCTTATACAAATTACTCTCAAATAAAGCTCAAATGTTTTTTATAGTTTTACCACGTCTCGAAATGGCAAATACAAGTTTTCTGTCCAAATTCCAAGTCACTATGAATTATTAACTTAATAAAACATTTTTTTTTTAGACCTTCGTTGATGATTTTCGTACAAATAATTTACCCTTTTTAAAGACTTGATTATTTAGTTTCAACTATTGGTTGTGTTAAATATAATGGTGAGCTCGGAAAATACCGAGAAATTCAGTAATGCAATCGTAGGAATCATCGAAATTATTTTGGAATATAATTTTTATAATTACAAAAAAAAAAAAAAAACTATTCTTGTATAATTACCCTTTTTTAAAAGATAAGAAATAAATCAATACAATATGTATTTTAATATTAAACTAATCAAATAAATTAAAAACCCATAATAAACTGTTTTTAAAGTGTAATAAGCAATCCAAAGTCTGAAAAAAAAAATTTAAATGACAAGTTTTTATTAAATTTACTTTTCCACATCAAATATAATCAACAGAAATAGTTATAGTTACTTCTTATATCTCTGTACAGCTTTCGGGCTACATCCGTTTTCTTTTAAAATATAACGTTTGAATCCTATTATAGATTTTAGAAAATAATCTTCCCATACTATATTGGATATTTCTATGTTGAATAAATTTTTGTCCGTATCGCTCTGCGATGCAATCAGCTCTTGTAAACGAGTGTCATCGAATCGAAACTCGTTAAAGGCGAAAAATTCCATTTCATTCATCATGACGTCCAGTTTTTTATACAGTTTTACCGCTCTGTTTAAAAATATTTATCGTTATTTTATGTATTAATATAATGCACTGCACTGAATAAACCAACAAATAAAAATTTTTTTTAAGTCCCCTGTGACTTTTCAGAGTTTTGTCACTAATTTATTATTCCCCCAAACTTATATCGAATTATAAAAATATGTTTTGCCTAAAAATAATTAACTAAAAATTATAATAATGATAAAATTCCTACAGTATATAGCAAGACAAAATAACCATTTAAAATTGTCTAACTAGATACGGCTGATGCTTATAATAAAGTTGTCATCGTACTAGGTTATTTGGCTATGCACATTGTATACCTATATTACTTTCAAAACAAATTAGATAATTTAATAAAAAAATGGTAGGAGTGGATATTGCACGTTGAAACCGCCAAACGGCACATTCTGGATACTAATGTCTTAAGCATTAAACATACAATTGTAACACTCCAGGTTTCATTTGAGGGGTCAATAAGGATTTGTATGCCTAAAAAACGCCCTTATTGAAAAAAAAATCTAGGTTAAATTCATATTGAAATTCAACTTGTATGTAATAGATTAATACAATTTTATATAATAATTTTGCTTAAATAATATTGTGACACTATTTACATTGATAAGAATCTTCGATATCTTAAAAGGATAAAATATCACGATATAATAACATTTAGATAGATAAATATAAATTATTAGAAATATATTCAAGTACTTTGTTTTTTTTCCCGAACACCACAAATAGATATCGCCGAGAAAAGCCGGAACATAATGATACAGGAAAAATAAAATATTATATAATATTCTCGAATCCGTAGTCTTCACATACGGAATCCAAATCTAAAAAAACAAAAATCAAAATTGTATATTATACTTGTAGATACTTCTCTAAAAGCGGCTTAGAATAAGTAGTAATCCTAATTTATAGATTATATTACGTATACCCATTGGAAAACCTCAGACCGTTAAATGAATAACCTATTTTAGTACTCAAATCACTCCCTTTACTCCCCTCGCGGTTTGGACGTTTATCTCGCACGACTTTGCCCGTGTTAGTGTTAGACGAAAACATTAATTTTTGTATCTTTTTAAAACGTATTTTCACCTTAACTTTCCGTTTCCACCAATATCCCTAACTAATATGTTCACTGTTGACATTTTTTAATACAACCGTACTAATTATTATATTACAAACAATAATTTCTAAAGCTAAACCGAACATACAATTTTCAATTCGAATCTAAAACAAACTTTAGGAATTTATATCTGTACGAAAGGTAAACCATTGTTTACAAAAACTATTTTGAATGAAGTCTGCTTAAACATGTTATTTGATACGTCATGCTTTTTACGATTTTCGTCCAAGTTTGAACTTGAAAAAACTTCTTAATTAAGTTCAGCTATTTGTTTTCTTTTTTTTTTATATTTACCATAATTCGTGATGAACATCGTATAATAAATTCCAAAATTTTTGATCAGTTAAAACATTTTTATACATATAAAACCAAATAAAAACTAAAAAAAAATCAATTTTATTCAATTCCTAAAAATAACTTAAACATTTTCGTAATGTTTTATCACGTCTAAAAAAGGTCAGTAGAAGTTTTTCAAGAAAATTTAAGGGCTTTATGACTATTTTTAATCGAATCACAACAACCAAAAAAAAAAAAAAACCGAAATAATGAGATCGTTACTATTATCGTATACTATTCTAGGTATTACTACGGTACAATTATAAAATGTATAATAACATATTTAATACCTTGCGTATATTGATAATTTGGTATGAATGAAATATAATATAATAATATAACATGAAAATATGAAATATTGTTCATTTGAGCTTCGCCTCACCTCATCACTACACTTGNGAAAAAAAATAGAGGAAATGTTTCATCACTTTTAAATTGGCAAACTCATCGCATACAAAAAACAGTAAGTGAATATACTTAAATATTTGTTTCATTACCAATTTCATTTTTTATTTTTGTTTAAATTATTTCGTAGGATAAACCCGATAGTTTGACTGTTCCAATTAAAGATCAAAATAACGAGTATGTAGAACAAAGTAGTATTGAATTGTTTGTAATATATTTTATGTTTTTGTACATTTACACGTTTTGGGCTGCAGATACAATTTTTTTTTCGTTATTTAGAATAAATGCCGATGATGTAGAAATGGGTTGCAATATATTATCTCCGTCGACATCAAATATTAATCACAATATACTTGATTCGAAGTATAAATTACTTGTGACAAATATNTGACTCACGCACGCACTTTAAATATTGCCTATACCTAAATCCTTAAATATACACCACCACCGATCCCCATAACTTTCTTGTGTCTTTCCTGATTTCTCACGATAATTATAAAATTCTAAAATGACCTCACCAATGCATCACCAATTAGGTACACAGTTTTATAAACAATGTATCTTGTTATTAATGGTGAATAGGATGAAGCCTTCTGATAGAAACACGTTTTATTGACACAAACACAAATAATAATAATAACAATATTTTATACATGGATAACGTCCAAAAATAGGTGTATAATTTTTGAGACAACCTCGAACCAAACTAATAGTTTGGTTCGATTATTGGCATTTTTCAGTTTCAAAAATCGAATAGTTCTTAACATAATTTATAATTAAGACCAAGAGTTGGTCAATCAACAGGTTTATATTTAGCATTTTATACCATTATATATTTAGCAATGAATATTGAAAATTGTATTTACTTACTCCTACTTCTGAAGAAAGGTTGTGTTTCTTTATTAAATTTGTAATATATTCCATACATTCACCGAAACTTAACGGTGGTGTATCAAGGGGCGTGTGGTTGAATACAGGAACTAAATCGTTTGAACTAATGAAAATATAGAAAAAAATTATTATCGATTGAACATGATGTAAAAAAAAGAGCAAACTTTATTTTCAAAAATAAGAAAAATGTTCTATGATTAAAAAATTATAAAATATGACCCATGACAACGAAAAATGACGCACAAATCGAAAAAAGATTTTTGGTACACAAGTAGCGCAAAGTTAGAAAAATAATAATTTAAAAACATCTAGGAAAACTATAAACTTTATCCCTCATTCAGAATCTAATAATAACGTAAACAAAAGAAAACGGAAAAAATGTATAGCTAAAATTAAATTTATTTAAGTATTCTGAATGTATGTGCAACACAAAAATGTTCAGTAAAATTTTTAGCTCACTGAACTTCAGGGATAACTGAAAGATGAATTTGATATGACTAATCATAAACTTTTATCTAAGTATTACCGTAAAACGTCTGATACATGCAAGGAGGGCTACCAATAAACTACCACAATTCTCCCTATCCTCCACCAACCACCACTGAGTCGGATGTCCGAAATCGGAAGCTTGTGAATAACCCTTGGACTATGTTAAAAGGAATAAAAATACCAAGACGTACGTGGTTGATAGTGAAAAAAAACAGAGCAAGGCAGATGTATACACCTTTAACTTAAATTAAAGTAAAGAGATAAACTTTCGTGAGATTATGCAGAGACCAAGCAAACAATGGATCATATAGTGACAAAGTGCCTCAATAGTATTTTCTCCCAGAACCTGACTGTTATCCATAACGTCAACCCGAATAATATAAAATTCATCATAAAACATAAAACTATTTTGATTTAGAAACGATAATATTTAATATATATGTTATATATTTGTTAGTATGCAATATGAAATAAGTTAATTCTTATTTACTGGTATAATTTATTCAAATAATTTGTTTTAGTGAAATTTGTATTTTATTTTATGAAGGGAAAAATTAATTTTTAAAACGTCCTTCAAAAAATCCTTATAGCTATATAAAAGTAAGTAACCGTTGTACATATTGGAATCTCGACAAACGCCCCCTTCCCCCAAAAAAAAATTATACTATAGATTATTAAGTTGTAAATGATATACTTACTTTGGTTTGGAAGCATGCCAAGCCGTGGTGATAATCATATTACATACGTTGTCAGCCGGCATAACAACTGCAGTATTACTGCATTTGCACTTACAAACGTGTATAGCTCCTAGTGCTACGCCCACGCACAAGCCGGGCACACTCATCATATTGGTAGCCCATCCCTCAATCGGATCGCTTTGAGTGAACACAACTGTTGAAAATTATCTCTAAATAGTATACATTAGTGTCACAAGTCTATACAACCGCGGATAAATGATGAACTATGATGGCACGATATGCGTGATAGAGAAAGAACCATAAGAGATTTTCTCATGGAAGATGTAAAAAATCTGTTTGTTTTTCCAGTGATCCGTAAATAATAATCAACTATTGTTGAAAAAAAAAAGTCTAACTAAATTAATATAGAGAAATAATAATGGTAAAAAATTATATTAGCTTTTNGTTACAGGAGTATTGTAATTGGCTAAAAAAACGTGTATAGCTCCTAGTGATACGCCGACACACAGGCCGGGCACACTCTTCATATTAGTAGCCCATCCCTCAATCGGATCGCTTTGAGTGAACACAACTGTTGAAAATTATCTCTAAATGAACACAACTGTTGAAAATTATCTCTAAATAGTATACATTAGTGTCACTAGTCTATACGACCACACAACTGTTGAAAATTATCTCTAAATAGTATACATTAGTGTCACTAGTCTATACGACCGCTCACTAGTCTATACGACCGCGAATAGATAATAAACTATGACGGCACGATATGCGTGATAGAGAAAGAACCATAAGAGATTTTCTCATGGAAGATGTAAAAAAACTGTTTGTTTTTCCAGTGATCCGTAAATAATAATCAACTATTGTTGAATAAAACACGGTATAACTAAAATAATATAGAGAAATAATTATGGTAAAAGATTATATTAGCTTTTTTGCAATTTTTATTTTTGTATTCTTTTTCCATTAAAATAAATCAAAATAATTGTGGGAAGGTATTTGTCAAACAATTTTTAAGTGTAGAATTTTGAGTACTATTTCATAGATTCTAATATTGATAAACCTTAAATATCTAATATCAAAGTGCCAATTAATTTAATATGTATTTATAGGTCTAACGGTACTGACAGTGATAACTTTATAATCTCATTAAAAAAAAAAAATTGATGGACTAAAAATTAATAATGATTTAACGCTAATTAGTGGTGTTATGAATATTAATGTATTTGGTGTGCAGGAAAGTAATAATAAATGTCTTAATATGTTATCTGAAAGTGCATTTATCTTGTTTATAATCGTTTTCACAAGATTATTAAATCGTTTAAATCATTCTTTTGTAGACCATATTTGTATAAATAGTAATGCAAACGTAACGTGTAAAATTAATGTTGGTATAATACTTACTGATATGACGGATCACTGTATGGTTTGTGTTTCAATTCCAAATAATGCTATTTTTGTTAATTATTGAAAAATGTTAAGTTATATTGAGTATAATTCATTTACATCAATATTGGCCAAAGAAAATCGAACTCAAGTATACGATGTCTGTAGTGATATAGACCATTGGTATAATGTCTTTGATAAAATTATTAAAAATGCAATTGATAAATCTACAACAAGTATATTTTTGAAATCTAAAAAAAAACGCATATATAAATGGACATCTAATGAATTATTAACCTTAATTTACCGCAGATAATTTCCCTTAGTGAAATGCAAAAAAATAACAATAATTTAACTAATAATTTAACTTAAGCTTTGAATTATAAAAAAAAAATAATAAATTCATAAAATCTGTATATTTAAGCTAATTTTATAGCTAAATTTTATTTATATGTACAAAAATTCGAAATTGCAAGTTCTAATTCAAAATTGTCATTGAATCGAATAGTTAAAGTTGCTGGTTCTAAATTAAGATCTGAAGATGACATTATCAAAATTATCCGATAACTAAATCTAACATGTTTAATAATTTCCTTATTAAGATCGTTTAAAATAAATTTTAGTAATCTGATCCCTCCGGATACAAATCATGTTCATAAAAACTTTTCTATTAATGATGTGTTTCTTAAAAAATCGATTCATCGGCCATACTTTAAATTATTAACAGCTTAAAAGACGATACAGCCACGGATTTGGATAATGAGCCCGTTAAAATTTTAAAACGTATAAATTAATTAATTTTAGTGAATCCTCTTGTATATATAACTATAAGTATTAAACAAAGTATTTTTCCTGAAATCTTAAAATTATTCGATGTTAAACCTTTATTTAAAAGTAATAATAAATCGGATGTGAACAATATTATGATCATATCCATGTTAAGTATATTTTCGAAAATATTTGAAAAAGTTACATAATAGTGTTTTGGTACCAATTATATTTATACAAATTTATATCGACGAAATTTGTGATATTAAATTGAATAGTTTGATAGTTACTTATGCTAATGTCACTTTTCGTCTATTCTCACATAAATCAGGCAAAATTCAAGTATTGGGTGTTATTTTTAATTATAATTTAAGATGGAATTTCCATATAAACAATTCATTAGAAAAGTTACGTTACATTGCTTATAAATTGGTCAAACATAAAGAAACGATAAGAAAACAAACAATGAAAAGTTGAAAGAGTTTGCTTTACACTATATCAATCCTATTTTTAATTGGTATGGGGTGACATTCAGGATAACATATTAAATACTTGATATATACATAATATATATTTATTTTTGGAATTAAATAATAATTAGCAGTAATATTAACCACCTTGTTTTAATAATTGTAATTTTTTGTACCTATAGTACATAATTTATTTTATTTATTTACAATGTTCTGTATAGAATATGACATCTTTTTTCATCTAAGAAAATTTTTTTATAATCTTAATTTTAAGTTTTTAGCTTTGTTCGATTTGTTGTATTGTATTTTAACATTAATTTATGTTTTATTATGTTCTTTTAGTATATTTAATAGTAATTATAGCTCCCTATTTCCAACACAGTCTGCATAAGCATACAGGAGATAAGTTAATCAAGTTCTGTAGCTAATTGTAAATTTGTATCTGTAATATTTATTTTGTATAGATTTCAATAAAAATATTATCTCTATTAGCATTATTTTAACATGGAATAAACATTTTTTTTTTTCTAATTTTCATGAGAAAACCTCACAAGTCTATCTCTTTCATATGACAATTATCATTTATACATGCATATAGCATATGATTTGTTATTCCGGTCTATTATATTATAGTACGTATGTCTATGTTCCAAACTAAGCAATGGATTTTGATAGAGAATTAACTATCACTTAAAAAAAAAAAAAAACTATATTTAAAAAAGGAAAGTAAATTGATTTTTTGTAATCCAGACATAAAGTTCTTAAAAAAAAAAAAATAGTTTTTGTTACTCAAATTTTTTAATTTTAATAGTGGGTGAAAAGATATATCACTTGCTCTTCTGTAATAATGGTATAGGTACGCCAATATGTATAAGGTAAAAAAATAAATAATAATATAGCATTGATACTGGCCTGGGTTTTTACCTCTCAAGTGATGAACATGTTAATGTTTTAGACATAACAATTTTGTCCGAATAAAACTGAAAACTTCAAAATGTCACATAGTTGTAAATAGCTCAAAAATCGCCAGATTGTTTAGGAAAATTGTTTCCTGTTTAAAAGAGGCTCAATATTCTTTAAACATTGGAAATATATACGATAATTTTAAACCGAATTATTACAACAAATAAAAAAAACTAAAATAACAGAAGGCGTTAATTAATGTATATTTTCGTTTTCTTTACGTTTTAGCGGTTTCCTCCATTATTAAGAAAACCGCTAAAAAAATATTAAAAAAAGTGAATAAACTGAACAAAGTTTATAACTCAAAATCACTGCCAAAGTTACCGATTGAAGCAAGGTGACCGCAATAATTAATTGTTTACATACAGATAGAAAAAAAAGTACACATAGTTATTTTCCACACTTTGTTTAGAATCTAAAAAAAATCAACTTTACACTAACCCTTTTGATTTAAACGACAATGAACCTTATTTAAACTTTTTAATTAGTAATTGATCACCCATATTATTTTTTAAAATTATTTCTATGTTTTAAAAATATCAATAATATCAATATTATTACCGACACAAGGTCTTGAAATACTTATCGGCATGTTTTTGCCGTAGTCTTTGATGAGGTTCTCCGCAACGGCTTTTGACAGCGTATACGTATTAGGCCATTTTCCTATAATCCTTTGCATGGATTAAACGATTAACGTCAAATTACATACCGATTATTAATAAGTCTATAACACTTACTGTGGCGTTATCGAGGTCACAATCGAATCGGGCAGATTTTCGACNTGGTAAAATCATAGTTATTTTCCAAACTTTGTTTAGAATCTTAAAATATCAAATCTAAATTAAAATTATTTATTTAAACGACGATGAACCTAATTTAAACTTTTTTTAAAATTATTTCTATGTTTTAAACATCAATTATATCAGTATTATTACCGACACAAGGTCTTGAAATACTTATCGGCATGTTTTTGCCGTAGTCTTTGACGACGTTCTCCGCAACGGCTTTTGACAACGTATACGTATTAGGCCATTTTCCTATAATCCTTTGCATGGATTAAATGTTTAACGTTAAATTACATACCGATAATTATTACGTCAGTAACACTTACTGTGGCGTTATCGAGGTCACAATCGATTCGGGCAGATTTTCGACTATGTCGATTAACGTTTCTGCTTTTATGTGACAATTGTAGATGATCTCTTTGATCAATGATTCATTCGGGTTGGAAAACGCCGTCGAAACGTACACAAACGACTATTAAATAATAGGCAATCAAATTGTTATGAATATAAATTATCGACTCATCTGTATTATTAGTTTTGAATAAACCTATTAGTAAATTACATGGCCGATAACATGTATATATAATATCCCTTACTTTTAAGTTCGGCATACGCTGCGCCATCAACAGTAGGTCTCTGGTGGATCTGACGTTGATGAAACACGCACGTTTAAGTGTTTCATTGAAACTAATCGTTGCAGCGCAGTGGATGACAACGTTTATGTTGGCCACCAATAATTCTTCGTCTTCCGCCGATAGACCTAAATTGGGATCATAGCAATCGCCAACAATACCTACCACTTTTTCAGTGAAATTCGGTTGGTTTTCCGCCAGTCTTTTGAACAGCTAATTATTAAGACAATGTTATTTTTATTGTTATTATTTTAAAATAGGTATTGTAAAATTCGGGTGACTAACCGAATCGCTAAACATTTCGTTCAATCGATTTTGGGGCTCTTTGTTTTTCTTCGGTCTGATCAAAAGGTAAAGTTTGTTTATATAACATGTTCTAAAAATTAATAAATTATTATTATTGGTTCACTGAATTATAAATTATAATCCAATATAAACTATAAATATATAATTATGTGTTTTGAAGGTATATCTGAGTAACGGTAAATTTAAGATTTAAAATTGGTAGCTTTTAAATTTCATGTTCGGTTTTCTAAGCGTACGAATATACTACAATTGAATGCTATCAAAAGGTTTTGAAAAAATCAAGTAAGAATTTAGTCGGACTTGCAATCAGAATGATGTGAGATAACTTATCAAGAATATCGTTATTTCTCCTCGTTTTAACGTGACAAGAAATGTTATGCAACATACGATAATAAATGAAAACCGCAATAATATAGGAGATTGTAGCACGGAACACTCCATATCAATGTAATATATTGGAATTTAATAATTCTAATGTTTTAATAAACAAAATTCAATAAAAATTGGTACAACAATGAAATAACGCGCATGACATATTTAGTATACATACCTATAAAAGAAATAGTCTGTCGACGACCAGACCGTAGTTATTGTCGCATTAAATTAATAATTATTTTGTCTCGGCCTATGTTCACATAAATCGAAAAATAGTAAGCAGAAGTCGGTATTTTTGCAATTTCCATTGTAATTTAAAATTAAAGCGGACATTTAAAAACTAATTACATTACGCTTTACATTCGCAGAGGGAAAAAAAATAAAAAAAAAAAATAGAAAATTACGTCACGACAATACGTGAAATTGTACATTTTTAAAAACCATTATAAAAATTAAAAAACTACCGACTCAATATAAACACTACATTCATAATGTTACCAAGACCCCTATAATTTTTGATTGAAGCAAATTGATTCTTGCTAAAAAGTTGTTAACAGATAGGAAACAACAAATGATTATAAAAATTGACTCACCTAAGAAGTTTTTCAACTAATACGTGACCTACAATACCCGTGGCGCCAGTTAAGAAAACGTTGGTACCACTAAAGAATTGCTGTATTTCGCTTTTTGGTTCATCTACAGTGTCCGGCATCTTTTCAAAGAAGTTATCGGTATTACGCGCACTCCAAAGTTGTTCGTTTCAAATTTCGATGAACTACAAATTGCAATATGTACCTGTATAATAAACTAAGTAGAGAGAAAAACGAAAAATATAAAATGATCCTAACGAATAATGTTATTGAATTACCGTTGTCAACTTCATGCATATATTAGGAATATATTCTATAATTTAACTTTACAATAGAAAAACTGGCATGCTCAAATATTATTTGTTGATTATTAGGTTTTATGAATTATTCATTTAATCGGATTATTATTGTTATACATTACAGTGTGTTAACCTTACACATATCTAATTATTTTACAAGAATAATTTGCAAATATAATGCGATTTGCTATTTTTTAAATTCATTATACATATTACATACGCTTTGAAAGGTCACAAATAAGGTAATATCGTATGAGGAACACCATCGATGGAGTAAATCAAACGTCATCGATGAATCTTCGTATTTTTTGGTATGGTAAAAACACTTCACTACTAAAAACGGGCATAAAGGTAAAAATACTGAAAAATCGATAAGTCATTACAGTTGTTAGTGCTGCGAAAAACAAATGGGACGTAAAGTAGTTTTCGATCATTGTCTCCACAAGTTTTCTTGGATTTTAATTTCAAATCGATTGAACTACGCTTTTGATTAAATATAGGTCAAAAAGAACTGATTTGATTTTTGAAAATTCAACTCCTTAGGGAGTAAAGTATGTATTTTTAAGTATTTTCAGTACGACCTATACTTTTATATTTTTTGTTCATTCATGGATTATATGAATGACAATTTAGTTTTAGGATTTATTTTTGTAACTAATATTTACGCGAGCGTTNATATTATATAAAATAAAAATAAATAAATCAATTAATGCGTCACCTGGAGTTTTACGATAAGTGTATTATACATATTAGGCATTCATCAATTAACATAACAAATAACTTAAACAACGAATTATAAAAGGCTACGTATCGGTCATAAACTTTTATTCAAAATATCTTTTACAATTTAGGAAATGTGTATTGTGTGGCATACAAGTAGATATTATGAACATAATTCGTGGGCCATGGGTAGTAAAAATCATTACTAATCTGATAAATTAGTTTTACCTGTAAATATAATTAAAATACAAATTATATTCTTATTAAAAATATTAGCTTAATTTAGATTCTGAGTGTAGTGATGAATATATTGATTTAAATAATGTGTAATCTAATTTATTTTTTTTTTTTTATAATTTGTACGATAATTCTACCAGAAATCTTGCTCTGATTTATACGCTCGTTATTATATCTGAAGGGGAATGTTGTCCAGATGGTACTTTTTGAAGGTTATTTTTTAATATCCAAGCGGTTTTTATAATATCTGGAAAAAACGAGGACAAACCGCAAAAAAATGGGAAATTTATGAAAATAATGCTATTATTTTTTTTTTCAATTTTTTTATTTGTTGTAATATTATATTAAAAATATTCATAGAGACTCGAAATTTGAACTTCTCCGAATTTTGTTACATTTGGACATCGAATATCATCGGAAATAGAAGTCGAATTCTTAAATTTATTAACTATTATAACATCCCTAAAATGAAAATCTCTTGAAACAGGCACACTCTTATAGTCTTAGTTATTGAATTATATTGGTTTTTTAAAAAAATTAATATTTCAGCGAGTGATACATAACGCTAGGGAGTGACAAAATAATTTATGTACACTATCATTTCTGTTTGAAATTTCAGTTTTTTTTGAAATAAAATACATGAATTAAAACAAAAACTTTAACTGCATAAAAACATATGTCATAATAGTATAATTAAATATTGTCTTACATAATGTATGTTTGTCGTAACTGAATGGTTATACAGAGTGCCGGAGCAAAAACTACCACGTTCGAAATAAGCGTAACTTTGGAAGGGGGCGTCGCACAATATTGCCGAACTTCTCATTGTATAGTACGTAACAGAAAGTTAAGTATAATATCACAATGGAGTATTAAACATCGCTCGTTCGCCGTAGAGACATATTTTCGGAACAATGAGTCAATCGTGGCTACACAACGCGTAATCCGCACGCGATCCGGACTTTCTTCGCGTTTGTTCCCAACCACCGATCGATTTTAAAATTTAAAAATGAAACAAGCAGTGGCGCCGTCCTGTTGAAACCAAATATTTTCAGTGTCTATTTCATTTTCCTCCAAGTAGGGCGAAAAATCTTAGTAAAATATTACTTTTTTCCTGTAGGAAACTTTTCTACCAGATATTTTTCTCGAATTTACAATGACAGTACATTTTCTGAAAGAAAATCTTACTAGAGAGGTACATAAGCGAGATCAGCTATCGATTTTCCCAAGATTCTTCCCAAAAAATTTGAAAAGCCATAAAAAAGACAGGAATAAGGCAAGAAAAACGGGAAAGTCGGCACAATATTAAACAAATATTATCAAAGAAAATATATTATGCCCATTTAATTATTTACCATATGATAGCATATAATGTACAAAAGAAAAATACAATTTTTTTTTTTTATAATATTATAATAATAATAACAATGTATTCAGATATAGAATAGTAGAAATAATCGAAATTGCTTTGAAATAAAATTTTTATTTTTATAAAAAAACAAACCTTTATTGTTTAATAACTCTTTTTTAAACACAAAATTAAATTAATAAAAGATATATTTTAATATTAAAATTATTAAATATAGTATAAAAACATAATAAAATGTTTTTAAAGTGTAATAAGCAATCCAGATTCTGAAAAAAAATATTTAAAAACCTAGTTTTAATAAATTTACTTTTTACGTGAAATATAAACTACGGAGACAGATATAATTACTTGTTATATCTTTGTTTAGCTTCAGGGCTATATTCGTTTTCTTTGAGAATATGACGTTTGAATCCTTTAATAGTTTTTAGAAAATGATCTTTCCATACAATATTGGATATTTCCATGTTGAACAATCTTTTGTCCATATCGCTCTGCGATGCAATCAGCTCTTGTAAACGAGTGTCATCGAAATGAAAATGTCGGAAGACGAAAAATTCTAAGTCTTTCATCATAGTCTTCAGTGTTCTATACAGTCTTACCGCTCTATTAAAACAAATTTATAGTTATTTTTTGTATTAATATAATGCACTGCACCGAATAAACCAACGAAAAAAATATTTTTAATGTCCCTTGTAACTTTTTAGAGTTTTGTCATTAATTTATATTTTTCCCAACCTTAATTCGTAATATAGAAATACTTTTTAACCTAATACAAATCAATTAAAAACAATACGAATTTTAAAATACCTACAGTATATAGCATGACAAAATAACCATTTAAAATTGTCTAAATAGATAAAGCTGATGCTTATCATAAAGTCGCCATTTCTAATATAATAAGAATTGTGAATTTTCAATAAATCTACAACTTATAGTTATAGTAATAACTATAAGTAGCAGCCGCTAGTAAGTAAGAACAAATAACATAACACGATTCAATATTTTTAAAATTAATCTCAAAAAAAAAGGCCTTATATAAAAGATTTGAATTATTTTAGATGTGCATTTTGCTTAAATCANCTAATATAATAAGAATTGTGAATTTTCAATAAATCTACAACTTATAGTTATAGTAATAACTATAAGTAGCAGACGCTAGTAAGTAAGAACAAATGACATAACACAATTCAATATTTTGAAAATTAATCTCATGAAAAAAGGCTTTATGTAATAGATTTTAATTATTTTAGATGTACATTTTGCTTAAATCATATGGTTAAAACATTTATTTTATTTACGGACTTTAAGTCTAATTGCATGGCAAAATCATAAGGAGCGACAATATTTATATGATAAGAATCTTCGATATCCTAAAAGTATAAACTATCACGATATTATGACATTTAGTAAGATAAATATAAATAAGTAAAAATATATTTAGGTACTTTGTTTTTTTCCCCGAACACCACAAATAAGAATCGCCGAGAAAAGCCGGAACATAATGGTGTAGGAAAAATAAAATATTATATATTATTCTCGAATCCGTAATCTTCACATACGGAATCCAAATCTAAAATACTGAAAATCAAAGTTATATATTATAATTAAAGATACTTATCTGAAAGCGGTATAGAATAAGTAATAATCCTAATTTAATATAATATTTAGCGAATACTAAAACACACCTATATTATATAAACTACTAGGTGTCTCGACCGAGCTATTTCTTTTCTTGAATCAAATTTCTTAATCGACTATTTTTTAATATAAAAATGTATTTGTATTACAATGACTTTTTCCATGACTTCACCAGAATAAAGTATACATGTCCATACAGTTTAGTGTCTGTGTAATACTCCTATTTCGCTACAAATCAGTGCCTCTTGGGTACTTCCCCTCGAAAAACTTTTCATCATTCCCGGGAACTAAATATATATTGGTTGAATAAATGAGTACCCATTGGACAACTTAATTAGAGCATCAAAAAAATATCGCGTATTATTACTCAAATCATCCCTTTTGCTTCCTTTACGGTTGGGACGATTATCGCGCACGGCTTTGCCCGTGTTAGTGTTAAACGAAAACATTCATTTTTCTATCTTTTTTAAACGTATTTCACCGTATCTTTTCGTTTTAACCCATGTCTCTAACTATAATGATCACATCTAATATGTTATTATACTACAGTACTAACTATTATATTACAAACAATGATTTCTAAAGCCTAACAGAACTTACAATTTTCAATTTGAATCCGAAACTAATTTTAGGAATTTATATCTGTTCGAAACGGTAAAACATTGTTAAACAAAAAACGATTTTGAGTGAAAACCGCTTATACACGTTATTTGAAAAAGATAAAATTATTCAATTACCCAATTATAATTGTATTTTATCGTTATTGCATATGAGAAAAACTTCTGATAAAAAATTATTTAATGCCACAAAATCAAAAGTAATAGTATTAATAATAATCAAAAGGACGGACATACTTCGCACGTAGATGCAGACATTGTTGTAGCTGGGAAGTTTGAAAGGTAGGATACAGAGAGGAATGTGTATCTATAAGAAATGACAAAGAATTGATAACGACACAACGATACTGAGCGTAGTTCAGTTGAATG